GAAGACTACCCGAGACTTCGTCCGGGTAGAAACTAACAAGGTACAGACTACCCGAAGGTAGAAGCGGAGGGATTTAGCCTTAGGGATATAATCCCGAGGCTCGGAGGGTCGGACTAGGAAGACAATCCTAAGAGCCGAGGGAACACGAGGAATGAACTGAGTCTAAGATGATATTCGAACTGAGGATATACTACGGGTTACAAGGGGTTTATATACTATAAGGTATCCGACGGACGTCCGGCCGAAGCGCAGTCTTCGGATCAGAGGGCTATGTAGAAAATGTACTAACGGATATGAACTGCTGCGGACGATCGAGAATGGAGCCGGAGATTAAATGAAACAGGGGGGACAAGTTAAATGAAAGGAAAATGAATAGACTAACGGACGGATCAGAATGAACCCGGATATTAACTGTCAGAAGGATCCGGGCGTATAGGGGCATCAAGAAGCATATACAAATGGGGACACGGGGAAATGAATTCTAGAATGGAACCGAGAGAACGGACGGACCGGACCGGACGAGAAGCTTCAGGTACGGAATATGACAGGGACTTAGAATAAAATACAACACTTTATCGTCTAATACAATAGGTCTACCATTAGGATTTTAATAAGGAGTGACATGGTGGACCTTATGAATTTTTTCGAAGAAAATCAAAGTTATAGCCCTTGTCAAGGGTAGTCCTTCCATAGTCTCATGACATTTTTTAGTTGAGATCCTAATGAGTTATAAGCAAAATACTACGAAGTGGTGTGTTCAAGAAAGTTCAGGCACACAAGTAATATGACTAATGTTTCCTTAATTTTCCTTAGCCAACTTGCACCTAATTAATTCTACTTTTGTCGAAATAAAACAAAAAACCAACTTATTCTCCTTAGCCACCTACTTAATTCTACTTATTTTCCTTAGCCACCTTGGTAATTTTTTTAAGTAAATTAAGGAACTCGATGATTTCCTGATGTAATGAGACGCGGTAGATAACACAATGACTAGCGCAAGACTAGCGTATTGTGGAATTTGCCGACTGAGTTTGAAAAATGTGTAAATCAAAAATTCGAACTTGGGTTTTTGTTCCTCAGGTAGTACCATAGTGTCATATACCGTACACTGAGCCCCTGAATCATATCCCATCTCTCCCAACAAACAATGTCCGGACCTCCGAAATGTAGCCAAGCTATACCTTTCCCCTCGGCAGGATAACTCCGCATCCCAGTCTCCACCGGACATACCCCTCAGCAGGATCTGCCCTGTTTCCCATATACATCGGACGTCCTATACGTCGGACGTCCTATTCATCGGTCCTCCTCCTGTATACCTCGGATCGTCCTTTTCGTCGGACGTCCTATTCTTCGGACGTCCTATTGGTCGGATCTCACTCATGTCGTCCACTCGTCCGCTCGTCCACTCGTCCGCTCGTCCACTCGTCCGCTCGTCCACTCGTCCGCTCGTCCACTCGTCCGCTCGTCCACTCGTCCGCTCGTCCACTCGTCCGCTCCTCCTGTATTCGTCGGACCCGCTCGGGTCCACTTAACCCCTAAAGCATCGGACCCTAAACATCGGACCTACTCAGATCCTGAGCTTCGGACCCAGGTCCACTTAACCCCTAAAACATCGGATCCACTTCACAGTTCATCTCCGTCCCCATTTCCCGTGATCCGCTTGACAGTTCATTTCCGGTCCTGCTCCTAGTCTGTTACCCCATTTGTATAGTCCCCTTGTCCTAACCCCTATATGCCCGGATCTGTTTGACAGTTAATATCCGACTTCATTCTCGATCATACCTCCTATGCCCGGATCCATTCGATACTTCATCTCCGTCTCCGTTCTCGATTGTTCCTGTATTATTTTCCTTGCGCCTGTCAGTTTAGCCTTTCCGTATGTTCCTCTTGTTGACCCGGATCTCCGCTGACTCCGTCCCCGTCGCACATGTCCATAGTATATAATACCTTGTAAACTCGTAGTAGTTTCCTCAGTTCGAATATCACCTTAGATTATCCTCATTCCTGTTTCCTCGGACCCGGATCCATTTCCATGGGCCCGGGTCCACTTCCCTGTCCAACCTCTGTGTCCTGGGATTGATTCCTCGGGCTATACTCCGCCTCTACCTTCGGGTAGTCTACCTCTGTCAGTTTCTACTCTGGACATTGTCTAGGGTAGCCTTACCTCTAGCTTCTGTCCTCGCGGACCTTCTGTCCTTTCGGACATCCTGTCCTTCTGTCCTTTCGGACATCCTGTCCTCTCGGACTTCCTGTCCTTCTGTCCCCTCGGACTTCCTGTCTTTCCGTCCTTACACCTGTCTGTTCTGTCCCCCTCGTCCGCCGGACTAAAGCCCCTATTCTCCGGGTGTACTAAGCCCCTATTGTCCGGCGGACTAATCCTCTTATGTCGGCCGGACTAACCCTCCTTACGTCGGCCGACGAACCCCCTTTATGTCGGCCGGACCAATCCTCCTATGATCGGCCAGACTAATCCTCTTATGTCGGCCGGACTAACCCTCCTTACGTCGGCCGACGAACCCTCCTTACGTCGGCCGACGAACCCTCCTTACGTCGGCCGGACTAACCCCCTGAACATCGGCCTGACTCTTCCTCGAAAAGCCTACCAGACTTGTCCCCTTGAAGTCCACCGGGATTCATCATCCTCCCTCGGACTTTGTTTCTAGCCTTCGGAAATTAAGGGCACGTACTCGGGTAAGGGGCGCAGCGCATGAGCTGAAGCCAAGCCCTTCGGATCCGCCCTTTGAGCACGGTCTTAACACATAGGGAGATTCGTTATGCTCATTCCAAAGACCGATACGAGCACCATGCGCGGCTCCCCATCAGCGGGACACTTTCAGCTGCTTAGGCACTGATCCGCGAACATCAGCCGTTAACTTGTGTCTTTTAGGTCCCTGAGCAGGGCGCCCTGGGAATCCTCATTTTTTCTTTGCTGTGGGTGAGGCTGCCCTGCTATGGCTGGAGGTCTCCATGCGAGCTATGATGACCCCGCAGCAATGATTTGAACACTTTTCGAATTTTCCTCCAGTAAGTAGCTATCTACTCGGTAAGTAGTTATCTACTCTCCCTCCTTGTTCTACCGCCGCTAACACCTCTTCGCACAGTGTTTTTTCAACGCTGCGGGCTAGGCATGCTGATGAGGTGTGGACTAGAACATATTGTTGAGTGCGTCCTCTCTGATCCTTTTAAGTGTGAACTCACTCGAAATCCCAAGTCATTAGGACACGATATAAACGATGACATGTTGTCGTCTCACCCCTTGGCACTGTCTCGCATCCCCCTCGTTCGACCATGCCGATCTTTCCCCTTAGCAAGTTGCAAAACTCATGTCAAATCTTCTTTTACAGCCGTTGTAGTGCAGAGCAAAGGATCAGTTGCAGGGAAAACTGGGGGGCGAGGGTTGAGAGTAGGTGTAGGATATGGAGCGAATGAATCGCTAGAGCAGAATGGTGATGTGACACCAGTGGTGGTAGACGCGCTGGAGGTGCTGGCAGAAACAGAAGGTGTTGTAGAGCTTATAGCAAGAATTGATGAAGAATTAGATGGGGTTGAGACCAGCAAATACTCTAGCAGAGGGTGCATACACTCCGAGAGCCCCTTTAGATCCCGAGGTGAGTTTTTCTTTACCATAAAACTAATGTAGGCTCATTTTCCAGTCTTTGTGCTACTGTGGGCATGGTACCACGCAACATCTCCAACCAGTTCTTGCAGCAGCGCTGTTTCCTCCTCGTGGAGGCCTCCAAATCAATGGTATATCCTGTCTCGGTTACCGGACTATACACAATGCCCCCGTAAGTGTCGTTATTTGAGTTCCGAGTTTCTGTATATAATCTAATACATTGGACGTGAATTATAGATAACATATTTTCGGCAGCCATGTGCTGGATGTACCCTTGGGTATAGTTCCCATAATCCACTGGCCTCAACACCATCGTCCGCAGCATCCTTTTCCACTCCCCGCCTGCCTCAATTGCCTCCGCTTCAAGAATCCCCTCTCGCATCATTTTCACGCCCTGCCCCATTGCTCTCGATTCCACTACCTCCAGTGTAAGTCTCAGTCACTCTAGTACAGTAGTCCAGCGTATTTACCTATCTGGTTCTAGCGCATATAGCCGTCAAACAGGCCGACTTAGTACTGGCGGGAGTTCTGTTAGTCCTGGATCTGCTGGCGCTCCTCTTCCACCAATGCCCACATACCAACCTTCATCTCTCCTTACACCATATACTCGTAATGCTCCTTCTTCCAGTGTTCCGCTACCAGGTCCACCCCTGCATACCCTCAACAGCAGTAGCAGGCAGCATGGAAATCGAAACCGTACTTATGCCTCCCGGAAGCCCTATGATGTCCCTCGCCTCCACAAGCCATTGAAGGAGCAAACATTAGTGATAGAGCTTGTAATGTATCCCCACGACGTAGGTCTCTTGCCTCTATGAAACATGTATGGGATCTTGATTTTTTTTTTTACAGTTTATGCCTTTACCTTCTCATGTCGAAGACACTCTCCTTTATGAGCCCATCACCATACCGTGTCCAGATCGCCTACCTTCTGGCGAAACCTTTGCATCTCAACTTCAATTTCTCTCACAACAACACTGCACCTACCGTCTTGAACTCCACGCATCCAGTCCCAATGATGTCATCCTTGATCAAGTATATACCGGCGTCCATAACATGATGGAACTTGGATCACTGGAGTTTCCCACATACTCGGACATGGCATTTGACTTGGACCAAGACGAGGAGAACCGCAATATTCGAGTCCAATATGCCCGCCTCCCTTTCCGCCTCCTGATGCCTGGCAATCGTAGCCGCTATCCTGGCCGGCCGCTCAGTGTAGACACTGAGAACTCTTGGCGTCAATATACTTTTTCTGCACTTCGCAAGCTAGCAAAGCGAGTAGACCATCCCTCTGGCCAGGTTGGGGTGCTTTTGCTATGTATGTCATTGCCACCTGCTTGTTCCCTCTTTCTTACATTACCTTCTAGGTCCCAAAGATGGCGCAATTATAGGCCCTATTGTATTAGGAAGCACAGAGAAACATGCATTCTTTGCTGATCGCATTCACTACTTTCTAGAAAATGGTGAACCTTGCACTCGCATGTCCTGTCATCTTGGGTGTCCATGGTCATCCCAGTCATCCCAACGTCGTCACTCTCTCTCTATTGCTACCAACAATGATTTGGACAGCGATTCCAGTAGCGCAGAATCATCCCACCCATCACCTATTGATCTTACAGAGTCCCCAGTGATTTTGTCAGACCCACTGCCCGAACTTGCACGTCACTCCAGCACGCTAGTCTCTCCCACCATGCAGCTTCTCAACATTGAGCTAGCACAACCCCCTCCTCGTACAGGTACCTTGGCTACTCAGACCCATGAACCTTTAGTTCGCTCTATCTCTCCCCAGCCTCTATCCTCCCGTACCATATACACACCCTCTCAGCCTCCTTCCCTTGTAGATCTCGCTGTGCTTGACAGGGATGTTCGTGCTTCTGGACCGGAGCATTTACGGAATTCAGTATGGCATGTTCGATCAGAGTCCCTTGAATCTACAGTCAAAGGATTGCTTGCCTTTATTATTCAAGCTCGTCACCGTCCTGATGGACCATTCAATGCTCCACCAGACTTGCCCACTAATTTTACCCTCATCCCCAATAATGTCCGGCTCCATGAAGTATGGACCATGCATTGGTTATTCCGAGCGTATGTTTTCAATTTAATGATGAGATGCTCAATATTGACCTCCGTCTTTGCAGGGGCCGGTCAGGTGATACTATTGGTGATGGTGTCACACATCAGGTTCTCTATGAAGCAATATGTGTTGCCAGTAACCGCACCTGTCAGGATGTGCAAAGCACTGAGGATGGCTTCGTGTTCCTCCAAGTTGACGAGTTCCCTGATGCTGATCAGGAAGACTATGCATTTGCACTGGGTGTCTTATGCACTATGTTCTTGCTACGTGTACACTCAGCACCGCTTCCTGTCTCCCCAGCCCTCCTCCAAGTGACTATTGGGGGGATAGATTCCTTGGTCGACTCTGCATGGCTAGAAGCCATCCTTCCAGATATGTTCAACGTCCTCAAACTTTTCCCTTCATCTGCTGGTGCTGCTCAAGATTTTTCTCGTCTTACTCCCCAAGAGGTCCAGGACCTCCAGCGTATTTTATGTCATGTTGGCAAGCAAACTGTATGCTTCTGTCACTATTGCTTCTGTTCTAGCTGCTAATCGTCATGATTATCACTAGCTCGCACAACTATCTTGCACACGCGCGGCACAGTGGCCGAATATGATACGAGCCTTACATGCTTCATTACTTCTTGGTGTTCGAGCACCCCAACTCCATGAGTCTACGATATATGCTGCATTCCGCCAGGGCCTTGATCAGGCTTTGTCTCCAACGCATCACTCATTTATTGGTGTAAGTCAATTGTAATATATCGCTCAACTACTGAGATCAATATATTCTACCAGGCTATCTCAAACTCATCCAAGTTCCTTCTATACGAAGCATACAGCTGCCGTCGTTTAAGTTCCCCTTTGCAGTTATTCCCTCTCCTATCATTCGACGTACTTGGAGATGCTGATTTTGAGAATGATATGGCTACCCTGTTACCAAACCTAAGGGAACATGTGGAGCGTTACTTCAAGGGAGTCGGGCACCCTGCTGACCCTCTCTTTACCAACCTCGTCAGTTCAGCTCAGCTAGCTACCGATAACCAGGATATATGCTACCGTGCTCGTCGCTTTGTGAAGCTGATAAGCGGCATCACTCTTCTGCCTCCTGGCCTCAGAAACTTCACTGTATGTATGCTTGACCGTGTAAAATCATTAACTGTTGCTAACTCTTCATAGATTACTGTTCACCAAGACATTTCCATTTCAGCAACATTCAATGGTCATTATGATGTGTGCTTCCAGTCCACAATTGTATTGATCATTCTCTGATATAATCATAGATCCACAAAGACTTCCTACCGCCTATGTTTCATGCCTGCACATACCAAATGGACCTCTGGGCCAATAATGCACTTCGCTCATTTTTACGCTCCCCTCTTCCCCAAGACGATAATATGGTGACGCCCTTTGATACATGCCTTCATGCCGCCCTCATCGACACTGGTGAGGATAGTTTTAATGCATGAATAGTTCTATTGCAATTCTATGCACTACCTTCTGTCGTCACTGTTATGCTGCCAAGGTTGTAATCCTTCTACATGTAATACTTCTGTGCAACTGCTACGATACTGAAATACAAATAATGTGCATCCTATACCCATTGAAAGATATCACGACAAACTTGTAATGCAGCAACCCATAGTGCGTGCCGCTGCTCCATAGTATCTATCGACAAATCTTCGATGTAAGTATGTAGATATTCTAGCTGCTGAGCTGTAAGTGGACAGTCCGGCGCCTCTACCTCTACAACGTTATGTTGCTCAGGCCAGTGAGCAACAAACGGATTGTTTTCCAGATGATCAGGGGGGTTTTCATCAACGTTATGATGTCGTATGTGATGATCGTCGTAGGCTTCCCAGTCAATTCCGTATTCTTCTATGCCATCAGGGGTTAGATCGTCTGCCATTGGCTGAAAGTGAGGTAGAATATTTCCATGGGCGTCAAGTCCACGTCCACCTCCGCTAATGATACTGAAGAAGCGGAGGGCATGTGGGCTGTCATTACGCTGACCTGGCAATGTCATTGTATGGGCATTCCATGAATTTGCCCACTGTAGCCCTTCAGAGTTGATAATGTTGAGAAATAAGTGGTGCAGTAGCCAAATATGAGACGGCAGGTCAGGATCAAGGCCATCATGGACCTCGAGGTTTTGAAAGAAAATCTTCCACTTTGAGCCAACCCCGCTGGTCCAGTCGACCCAAAGACGCTCAATGCGAATATTGTGGACGCTACTATAAAGATATCAGTATGTTCAGTATTAATGAATTCAAAGCAATTTGACTCACCGACCCCAGATATATGATCCCCGATGTGATCCCTGCACCTCCTCCATATATCTTGCTACCATTACATTTTCACCTCCGTGATCTCCACGTACACGTTGTGGAAGACCGTGTTCTTGAATAAGTGACTGAAACAGATCAAATACTGTTTCTGCACGGTTGTTGTTGCTGATACGAATACCAGTAATGAAGCGTGAAAACCCATCAATAAATGCATGGGTCACCAACTTGTATCGTATGAGGCCTATGGAGAGAGAACTGACAGTGAGTGATATGTGGTAAGAAGAAAAATAAACTTGCCATGTTGCCCATCGTGGTGCTGTAAGGAGTTATAGCCAGCAACACGGTAAACTCGCCTTTGAATTCGGCGAAGTCCAAAAGCCGCCACTGGTGGACCATTCACTTGTGCGTAGGACTCTTGAATTCGTCAACGTGGAACATGTTGCCCTAGATGGTGGAGGTGACCGTCTATCATTCGACGACCGAAAGATGGGAATGTGGTGAGAATATCCAACATGATGGTATCAAGCTCTTCATCTGTAAGAGTTGATTGTGAGCCAGTCGCGGATGTATAGACACGGGTTGTATTCCCCTCGTCATCTGTAAATGTAACATAGACAGGATTTCCTGGTTGGACAATCTCCTGCTCAAGTGCACGGCGTCGAATGGTTCTGGCAGAGACTCCAAAAACTTCAGAGAGCCGTGCTGGCCCAGCAAGTTGGTATGCAGTAGCAAGTATATCTGAATCAATCTCAATGCGGGGACGGCCACGCCCACCAGTATGCATCATCATAGTGTGTACTGCAGGAGGTATGTCAGGCTCGTCCGTTGATGCTGTCTTTGCAACCTCTAAGTCAGCAATCATGTCTTGAATGCTCGATAGCATGAGATGGCGGTCATTTGCTGGAATGATTGTTGCGTGCTGGTCCTCATAAGTCACATATCTGCTAATCGAGAAAAAAGACTCACATATTCAATGTGCCGCTCAAGGTTTACGCACATGGCAATTTGCTCGTCTAATCGAGCAACATCGCCTACTTGTGTATTGAGCGCTCTCCGAACATCATTCTTAAGATGCTCGAAAGCCAGAGAAATAGTTGCCAAGGGGAGTGGAGGTTCTGTGTCCATGGGTAGGCGGTAGCTCAAGTCAAAAGGTATTATCAGCGAGTGCCAGAGATTAACAAAATATAGTTGATTGCTTCAGAAATTTAGGTACTACATATAGTAGATAAGGATAGTCTCAGGTAGGTAAAGAAGTAGTCATGGATGACATTCACCTGCATTTGCGACTTGAATCCATATAGACGTACAGGAAGTGGCCAATCGCGGGAATCAACATATACGCTGTGACGGATGATTTCCAGCGTGTCCTTGAGTCGACATTGATGGACACGTAAATGCCTGTGGGTATGCGCTCAGAAGGGACTTGAAGGTTTTTTGCGCTTCTGACTGTAGATAGAGTGTGAGGATCTCAAAGACATACAAAAGTGATACAGAATGACCTACCTTCTAGCCTGATATATTGTCCTTCCCAGCTTCCGGGCATGAGGGTGCAATAACGCATTATGGTAACGAGGATTGAAGTTGATGTTAGTGGTAGGTGATACGAGTAGTAGGAGAAGATGGGGGTAGGTATATGGGGGCGTGGATGGAGTTTGGCTGAGAGGGAGAGAAGAGGTTGAGGGTTTAGGCGATGGCTACACGTGTATTTTCATGCTGTTGAGGGTCGTTCGGCAGGATAGACGCTGGTATGATTACACTAAGCGCTGAGATCACAGATGACTGAGTACATCCGATGCCTTGCGCACAAGTAGTGTGGTTGTCGGGATACAACACAGATGTGATCGCCACTGCACTATCCGAAGACTCGACAGCACGTTCATAATCCCCCGCTACAGTCGAAATGTATCAGTCAAGTAGAAGATGCAGGTCGTTACAAACACACCATTGAAACTGTTAAGATCCAATCCCCTTACATCATAATCATCACAAACTTGATCTTTGCTGGAGGCTTCGCGTACTGTGATAGCGTGTACGGCTCTGGCAAGTCAGTGCTAGTCAGCCATGAGTTGACGGAAGTAGTCCTGTTCACATATGAATAAAAATACTGCTCAGAACATGCGATACTTACTCGAAGAATGATCGCATCCTCCCAGATCTGGCTGTGGTCTTGATTGAACTCAAGAACGTTGGAGAACACAACCTCTACATCAGTTGCGAATTCCAGTGAGGTTTGAGATTCCTTGCGCTTCAGGTGTTTCTGATGATGTCGTAAACTCATGCTCCAATACCAGGGTAGATCGTGACACTCACAATCCATCATCTTTGTCTCTTCTGCTTCGTCGAGTAACGAGGTGCTCGAATCTGTTTGGATGGGCGGAGCCAGACTGCCACCAGTTCAGATATACAAAATGATAAAGAGCTCAACATTATCACTTACACGCCATAGTCAAATGCTTGACTCTGTTCTCGGGGGGCGTCATAGGACAGTCAAATAAACTTAGAGCTAGATCCAGGAGAAGGTGGTCTGTGGAGGGTGGCATCTTCCGGTTAGCATAGCTTAGTCATCATGGTAGGCTTCGCAAGCTCTAATAGCCTACATACTATAGGCCTTGTCCGACTCAGGCTGGCAGCAACCAGTTCTGATATTTTTTTGAGTGTGATTTTTTCTCAGTGAGACTTTTTTTCGAGCAGTGTGACTTTTTTGAAGTGTTATTTTTTTTTTTGATAGTGTGACTTTTTTTTGAAGTGTGACTTTTTTTTGGTTGAAGTGTGACTTTTTTTGGGGGCAAGCGTGACTTTTTCGCTCATTTGAACTGTTTTTATTTTTGTCCAAAGGGGTCCCTCATAGTTTCCGGCGTTCTGCAGCATCTGATCTGTTGATATTCAGAATCAGTCGCCTTTAAATTTCGCGTCTCCGTGAGCTACTGACAAAATTCCATCCCGATTGTCGTCCTTTGTTTTTAGGAGGTGTTAGGTCGGTTGAAAAGCCTTATGCTAAAGCAGTGCGATTTCAATTTCTTCCGCCGTATTGTGGATTTTGATCCCCATATTGATGCACCTGTGACTCCCACCTACGCACGGTAACTATAGGAGATAATGCACGTGTGTCGCACCTGTAAGATCAGGCGGATATAGTGAATCAAAGCCTCCTCCAATATCTCCTGGATAGCTAGGGACTTTATATAGCTGTAGGTACGCAGAGGGTTGTCAGTATTACCGTACTATTAATAGAATCACGTGATGCGCTTACCGTGCCCAACATCGCATAGTGACGGGAACGTTCGAGCTCGTTGTGTGACACGTTGAGCTCGAGTATCTCACTCAAAAGTGGTCGGATTGACGGCGTGTTTCGACGAACAGCACACCAGTAATAATTGCATTACGTATACGAGTCTTATGGGTCCATCAAAGTAGACTAAGGCAATGTAAGACTACTATTCATCCCCCTCCTCTTCGTCAGAAGATTCCACAAATTCAGCGCTTTTAGGACCTTCCTGGAGCTGGGCAGGGTTCTTCTTTGCTCTCTTCAATGGTCTATGATTCTCCTTATTTGCCCGTCCTGCGCTAGACCCGTCCTTACGCTTCCGAGGTACTCCAGCATCCGAACGCTTTTTTCGTGGTTTCCGAACAACTTCCCCAGCTGAACGTCGTGTATCGAGTTCAGACGCATGAGCTTTGACCTCCGCCGGTGATAAAACGGTCCAGTAGCACATACGTGCCTTGAGAGCATCACGGAGCTTGCAAATGTCGCCGACGGTCCCGATGTTCGAAGGGCTGGTGAACTTGACACCATGGGGCCAGCCCACAAGGCGCACTCCATATGTTTCGATGACAGATGTTTCGTAGTTATTGTAATTCATTACAATATCTTTTTTGCCAGTCACGGCAACTGTGAATAATGTTAGAAGGGGGCGGCGTGTGTAGAACACATTGATACTCACCTAGGCCCCGGAGGATCAGTCTGCGTACCTGCTTTCTCACAGCTTCCAAAGAGTCACGTTCATTGAGGTCTACAGGAGCTGCATAAGTACCCGAGCTACGTAAAGAGGCGAAGGACTTACTTTGATTCTGGGTGCACGCCCACTGTTCGTATTGCCTAAGAAAGTCAGCCATGGGATGCTCGTACACATCCTCCCAAAAATCTTCGGAATTATCTGTGCCGTGCATCGCACTTTGAATGGTGTCGTTGATGTGACCGCGGACGACAAATAGTGTGCCGTAGACACCAGTCCGAACTCGCAGATCATCCAGCTTCAAAAAAATGAGTTTAGTTAGTTGCTGTCAAAATTCAAACGTACCTCCTTCACGATCCTATCTGTTGTGGCTACAACGTCTCGCGCAGCCGCCAGATTGTTCGCCCGAACACTAACAACCTTTTTTTGACGATGCTCCTCGAGAGCTGCAATGTAACCTTCCTTTTCTTGCCTGGTAAGGCCTTTTGTTTCAGGGTCAGCCGCAACCATCTCACGAAGTTCGGCCAACGAGTACCGAGAGCCTGCGGGTCGATCTAGTTAATGCATGATAAGCTTCGTGATACAATTGAGTAAAAATTGATCCGACTTACCTGCGTTCATCTCTTTCGCCTTGGCATGAACAAGTGCGTTGATTAATTGACTTTTGCGCGAGGTTCGATAATGCGTCTGACTGCCAATGATATCATTGATGTGCTTGGGAGTAACGTGGTGAGCCCGCGAGAGTGCTTCGATTTTTGTTTTCTGTGCATTTAAGTATTCAGCGACCGCGTCGTGTAAGTTCTTCGTTCGCTCGAGCCTCTGGTCCCGCTTGATCTTGCGAGACGCCTTCTGGGCATCCGTTAGTCGAGGTGGCGGTGTCCGGGGGCGGATAATCGCTCGTGTTGGGTTCCGCGCTGCCCAAGAGGACGTGTTTGCCTCACGGATTGATTCTGGGATCTCTACAATGGTGTCCGGCACCTCTGCTTCGGTGGGACTCGGCTGAGGTGATGGTGTGCAAGCAGATGGGGTGGGGAGCTCTGGAATAGTTGGGATATACGTAGCTGCTATGTCCACTGCTTCGGTGGGACTTGGCTGAGGTGATGGTGTGCGAGCAGGGGGGGTGGGGAGCTCTGGAATAGTTGGGATATTCGTAGCTGCTATGTCCTTAGTTAGAGCTGCAATTTCATCGTTGGTAAGCAGCATAATGTACAGGGACGGGTCATCCCAGTCAATCTGATTGATGTTGGGAACCCGTTCACTGCCAGTGCTGCTGACCGGATCAAAACCGTTGCCTGAAAGACCTCCGGTCGAGATAAAGTTGCCATTGGCATCAAAATCATCAGCCGTGTAGAGATAACTCATACTTGGAGCAGTGGGTAGACAAAGCGTAGACGGGGACCCAACTTCAGAGTTTGGCGTGTGACGGATCATATAGATCACACCAATAAACGACACGCGACACCGCCGACGCGCCGTGCACATCCTATCATTCAACACAGAGTTTGGCGTGTGATGGATCATATAGATCTCGCCAATAAACGACACGCGACACGCTGTGCACGTCCTATCATTTAACACCAATTTTTTTTTTGAAAAAAAAAGGCATAAAACGGTGTAAGATCTTGAGGTTGACATGAAACCGCTCAGGCAACATATTAACGGCAGTGCAAAGCAGTGCTGATCGAGGCATACCTTCAATGTACATGTTGCATGACTCGGGTCCCCATGCGGACTTGCACCTGCATAAACGGCATGAGCCATTGGCTGTTGAGTTAGGGTGCTGGTATTCTACTGGCCACGGTCGCATTTCCAGCATGCCAAAGCAAGACAATGAAGCAGACCTGCTTCAACTTGGACCAACAACTCATTAGGTAAGCACATTCTGCTAACAAGCGCTTAATGTTTAACAAAACATATCATCGATCATCTCGATCATTGCCAGCTGTTGATGTCTGATCATATTATTTTGATCTCATCAGTTATCTATGTCTCACAGCAGGCTGTCATCACCATCAGTTATCTATGTCTCACGGCAGGCTGTCTCGCAAATATTCCTTTTCCCCCAAACCATGGTAAGCATCTTTCTTCGCATTTGAATCTGCTTGTCTCACTTATGCATTCAAAGGGACATCCGACTCGGGGGAGATCCTGCAGCTCATCATCCAGGCAGCGCACAGCTACACAACGTTGGCTCTCCAAACCAGGGTAGGTCAAATCGTTTGAGTCACTGAAATTTTGCTTACCACCCCCGGGCCCCGGACAGAGTTCGAGAAGCTCAAAACGCCAAGGCTCGTGCTCGAGCAGCTTTGTGAGTCCATCCCCCATGCAACTCTACTGTTCGTGCTCACGCGAATGTTTTTTTAATTAGAAATAGGGCAAGGTAAGCACTCATATATCGCCATGGGTATCATTTACTCAACGGATCTACAGGAGGAAGAAAAAAAAACTAACCGACGATCAAACAGCACCCATCGCATCATCAATTGACGACTGCGAAGACCTGTCCCACGAATCAATTGACGACTGCGAAGACCTGTCCCGCGATGTTAGTTGGGACGCCAATGATGATTCAGTGCTCACGATGGACAACGATCTGCCCTGCCCCTGTGACTCTCAAACTCTAGATTCCACCGAGAGAATCTTCCAGAGGTGGCGAAAGGAGTGGTTGGTGTCAGAAGACAAATGGGGAGAAGCATACGAGGAAGCGCTCGCGCATGCTCGCACGGAGGGGACACATGAGACTGATATTTTCCTTGATCAATGTGCGATGCATGCTTTGGAGGGGAGGACGATCTTGGAAGCCATACGGGGGATTGTACACACCAGTTGCCCTTATTGCAGGGAGCGTCTCAAGTACGACAGTGTTTTACTATACAATTTACTGGTTTCCGTGGTTTCGCAGGTAAAATTCATGGAGGTGAAACTAGATAATGAACATTGTAAATAGGTACTATCATACTCAATCTATAATGACTGGTACTATCAGCACGCGTGCCCGACTCCAGGCTGTCTCATGAGCATTGTAGCAAACACATAGTGAACATCACGATAGCGAACTCATAGCAAACGGGTAGGAACAGATAGCGAACTCGAGTGTACGGATGCTCGGGCTCGCGAATGCAACACTGTTAAAAATATTGAACAAGGTGAGGTGTTTGTTAGGTAGAGGCAGACATGCTTACTTGACCCGAAGTCTAGGCAACCGTCAGTCTGAGCATTGTCGTGAATACATAGTGAACATAGCGTATATAGCGAACTCATAGCGTATATAGCGAACCCATAGCGAACGGATAGCGAATGGATAGCGAACTCGAGTGTACGGATGCTCGGGCTCACGAATGCAACACTGTTAAGAAATATTGAACAAGGTAAGGTGTTTATTAGGCAGAGGCAGACATGCATACTTCACCCGAAGCTGAAAAATGTGGTGGTGATTCCGTGCGGAACATTTATGACTATGACAGGACTGTATGTAGCGGTTGATGCATGATGCAATTGTTTGCCCAATGCTGGTCGTCAAAAATGAATCCCGTCCCTTCCATTCAACAACCCTTGCACGGTGAATATTCCAACAAATGTATGGCGCTGGTATAACGAGTAAGGCGCTTTGCGCAATTTCATTTTGTTATTCTAAATACATGACAGCGCACAATGTAAACTATATTAAAGCTGGCTCATTGTCTCTGTCAAGTCTTCGACCTGCAACCATAGGTCATATGAGTCTGAGCTCGCAGATGAGCCCACAGACAATGTAGGTGAAGGAGGGTTGGGCGAGGACTCTGGAGAGGATGGCCAGAAAGGGCCACCCGCCAGTGGAACTGCCCGAACCCTGCCTTCGTCACACCCGGCCTTATATGCTGCTAACGCCTGCTGAAACGACTTGTATCGTTTTTGAACATTACCGCTAACAAAATTTGTTCGCTCAGCAACATCAGCCCTGACAACACCGTCAAGACTTAGCCAATGCAAGCCAACAGATACCCAGACATGTCACACTTACCAGCGGTAAAACACGCCAACTTCTTGCCCAACCGTTATCACCCAGAATCCCTCGGGTGTCTGATCGGCTCGTGGAGGATGGATGTCGCTAGGCATTGGAAGGGCGGCCGTGACTTGGCAGGGTGTCTGCGCAACCACTGGTGAAGCCTGAGGCCGAGGGTGGGATGGTGTAGCAGTAGAGCAAGCTGTAGTGGAAGGGGGAATGGGTGCCTCTTTCTTTGGAATGGAACGAGTGCTGGTGAGTGTGGATGGCGTGAGGGATGATTTTGATAGGATGATGGATTCTTCTGTTGTCTTGCGGCTCCAAGTGACGGTATCGAATGATGAATCTATTATCGAGTGTCAGTGTATTAGTTTCTGGATGGGTGAAACACCCACCTGATAGTGTCATCCCTTGCAGCAAATTGTGCAAATCTCGAACATGATCACCCTGGGTAGGGCGGCTACTAGATGGTGTTGACATAGGAGCGATCTCACTAAGGACTTGGTCGGAGCGCTACAGATAATCAGTCACGTGAAAAATAGATCAGACCTTTACAGTAGTACAAACATAAGATGCGTCTGAATGACGCGGACTAGTGGAGCACGCCAGCGAGTCCGCACCAACATTTCGCTGCGATCCATTCGGCACATCAGGGCACCGAGGGACAACAATGGATTGCCAGCCAATCGCATGTCCAAAGTACTCAAGCACAGACAGTTGGTTCAGCAAGCGGCAAGTTCCAATGAGCGGCGGCAAGCACGTCTACAAGGTATGCTATGTTAATTCAACACTTAGAAGAAGAAGAAAAAATAACCTGTTGTAAAGTTATGAGTTTGGATGAGCGTCGGGCACTCGAAGCGCTGAAAGAGGGCAATAATACCACCATCCTTGACTGGCAGGACTGCGATGACTTCAGCTTTGGCGATGTTTGCAATGGAACGGAGCCGCTCGCCATCAGCCATGCTGGTGGCGAGTTTACTGACCTCGCAAGAGAGGTTCTAGGAGACTTTTGGAGAATGTGAGTGAAGTTTATTGTTACCTTGACATTTGACTTACCTTTGTGAGCAGCAACAATCGTGTTCGACGTGTGGATAACCGCACACGTCGTGATCGTGTCCTCCGCAGGAACAAGGCGTTTGCTGAGCAGATGCCAGTGATAACCGATGCGTACCTTGCGTGGAGCCTGGCAAGACGTAAGGAAGGGTTTTTTGAGAGATTGGAGAGAGAAGACCTGGATAGTGGCTCTGACTACGGTCAATGGCCAATCAGCGTGATAGATGTGTTCTGTGAGTGATTCGGTCTGTTTTCGTTTGCTTACTTTTTGATGTGACGGCATGTCTGGGCTGTTGTTTAGACGCTGAGAAAGTCAATCTTCGAATCTTGCCAACAGATGCCACTATCAGCACTGCGCTCGTTCGTCAAGGCCTGATGCCTTGTTCACCCATATCACCAACTGTCGGAATCACTACTGAAGCTCTGGATTTATACCGTGTAGCGCATCTTAGAAGTCCTCAATTGTCTATCCAGGCTTTCGTCAAAACCATGTGCGACTTGCATGGTGTATGTCTTCTGATTTCTTTCGCTCTTATTGTGCTGATTCACGTGCAGGTTGGTTTCCACAGACACCTATCTCGTCAATTCTCTATTGCGTTCGACCTATATCTTCAAGTTCGACGTTCGGTGGCTGCCATGGTAGCCGAATCACTACGACGTGACTCACCCGATTGGCGCCTGAAACATGCTTGTCCCGCATGTACATATACACTAACAGATGAACCACAGTTAACATTTAGCTTGCTCTACGCCATGGATGGCAACGACTCTTTAAAAAGAGTCCTTCGCAGATCTCTAGATACTGATGATTCTCTCAGTACATCTTCAGAACTTCCAACAGGGCAGCAACTGGCGAGCGACCGCTACCTATCTCGCACCTTTGTCGACCAATTTGCGTGGGACTCTACTACTGCAGGTGATGAGGTGAGGGGTGCCTTCTGATCTGGGTTGGTGATGGCTAATACATCTATTAGGATGTACATCTCGAGAACACGTGCGAGGGACGCTGGAAGAATATGGACGATACAAAGACGAAGAAAGCATGGGGCATTTATGATGAAACGGGCATATTTGTGGCCGTGTGCCGCCATGGATTCTCTCTGCTTGTTGCGGATATGGTACAGAGCGGGGAGCTGTAAGTTTTTTTTGATAGGTTGTTTGTGAACTAACAATTATTTGACAGCGCAAAGTATCCTCTGGCCGTTGTTTCAAAGTTGCTGGACGTATTTGGAAGCAATCTGGGTGGCGGATATGACATCGGTTGTCAGTTCAAGACCACACTTGACAACAGCTCCCTCGGACCCCTTGCACGGTCTATGCATCACACTTGCCTTGTCGATGCCTTCCATGGACATGCGCACAGGCGATTGTGCCAACTTTTCTCGCTTACTACTTACATCAAAGGTTTGGGCCTCGAGGATCTGGAAACCTGCGAATGAACATTCTCAAAATCGAATTCACTAGCGTCTGCGCTACGGTACGCAAGTGTATTCCATAGACAACAGTCCATCGACACATACTTCGAGCACAACGACGATTTTGAAGTGTACGCTAATCTTTGTAAGCTGTCTTGTCAAAACTCGATCCTGTGCTGACAAATCCTTCTGTTTGCTAGCCGACTTTTTATATAACAACTACAAGCAAGCGCTTGACATTTTGAATGACGGGGATGCGACCCTACCGAACTTGATGCGAGATCTCAAAGTTACCGACAAGACCGTGTTCGAGCACTGGCTGGAGGAAGAAAAGGTATACCTTCAAGGTCTGACACGAGAACCGGAGGTTGAAACACTGCACATGGAGTATTGGCAAAGGTTGGTTAGTCTTACTGCGAGCGAGTGAGTTTAGATGTTGATGTACGGGCCTTGTACTCGCTGACACAAAATTCACATAGGGAAACTCTGGACGCTGCAATAACAGCTTTCCAGGGCTCATCGCACCTCGAGGCTGCGCCATATGATGTGCAGGCGAAGAATACTCGCAATGCTGAGAGTGCCCGACGGCATGCTCTTGAGGACCATGAGAGGTATTTGAAGCTCGTTCAAGCACTTGAGTGCAGGCTCGAGATCGAGAAACGCTGGACTCCTCACGATGCAGAGTGGCAGAGGGTTGGAAGACTCGTGGCCAACCGGAAGTACCAGCGTGCGCTGGATCGACTCGAAGGATTGATCGTTGCACGTATATTTGAGCTGACGAGGATGAACCGTGCGGGCACAGGTGAGTAAAAAGTGGTATATTGCTTGCCGATTCTAACACTAAGCCAGGCTACAAACTGCGAAAGCATATTGCTAAGGCATTGCAAACACGATCCGTCGCCATCCGAACGGCCCTCAACACATACAACGCTATCGCTGGGTCAATGCACCCTCCCCGCCGGACACTTAAGTGGGACGAGGTCGTAGAGTACGCGTTCCTCGCAGACTTCGACTTGCTACGTGATACACGTGCGGACGTTTCTCGACACCCTTGGTCATTGGCTGCTGCTCGTAGCGCGATGGACCTCCACTTCAAAATGTGTCGGGCGCGCGAAGAGATTGAGCGCCTCGATACTGAGGTACGACGCCTCGTGACCTATATACGTGATGAAGAGAGGTATCTACGGGAATGTGAGAATCAGTTAAAAGACACCAGCCCAGCACTCGCACATCAAATCGCCATCCACCGAAACACTCGAGGACGCTTCAACTCACGACATCTTAAACGGCTTTACGACATATCAAAGCTTCCGGGTTTCAGTGGGACACTAACCCCTGGTGTTAGCGCTGACACAAGTCCCGGGGAGAGCGCGAGTGTAGCTAACGCACAGATCCCCACCCAGATGCTTGTTGCACCCCTCCCTGTTGATCACACCGCATCCCCCTTAGACGTAGACACCCAGGATGACCTGGATGACGAGGAGGAAGAGGACGAGGTAGTGGAACAAGCCTCTAGAAGTTTGCACGATGTTCTCCTTATTGCTGATGACTTTTCACACCTCGGTATTCATGATGATGCTGAAGAAGAGTAGTACTGGTCATTTACACGTCCTTGAACATGCATGTATTCCATACACTATCGCAATTATTACTGGTGCGCTGTTAGTCGAAACGCGCCGTCAATCCGACCACTTTTGAGCGAGATACTTGAGTTCATCGTGTCGCACAGCGAGCTCAAAGGTTTCCATCACTATGCGGCGTTAGGCACAGCGACGCACGGTAACCGCATCACGTGAGTCTAATAATAGTACGGTAATAACAATAACACAACTACGTACCTACTACCTACAGCTGTATATAAAGTCCTTCGTTATCCAGGAGATATTGGAGGAGGCTCTGATTCACTATATCCGCCTGATCTTACAGGTGCGACACACGTGCATTATCTCCTATAGTTACCGTGCGTAGGTGGGAGTCACAGGTGTATTGATGTCACTCTGAGTTCTCGTGTTTTCGGGACAAAAAAAGGCAGACAAGATCTCCAGAAAGGGTACATATATATGATGAGTCGTTATCTGTATTCAATAATGTGAGAAAATACAAAAAAAGGGGAGGGTTCCAGAGAGCCACGAAAATTCTTAAGACAGAATCGACAACGAAGGAGAGTCGGGGATTGGCGCCCGCGCCCTTACGATACTAATACCAAGTCGCTCAGTGGGTGCCAATGCCGCAGCTACCATAGTACTCAAGGCTCAATTATCTCCAGGTCACCGACGACGTTGCATCGTGACGCCCACAACACATCAGGAAAATCACAGATCTCTTGATTGCACTTAATAAACTTATTGTACCTTTTTTTGGCCTTTTGACTGGCAAGTGAATTAAAGTCGTTTGTTGAAAAGTTGGACAAGTGTTAAAAAAGGCGGTCCAGGCGGATCAGACGAAAAAGACAGAAAAAGAGATGGTATTGCACACTAAGTACGAACAAACAATAAAGCTTGAAAAAGTGTTAAAAAAATTAAAAAGCAATCTCGAAGGCATGGTGATCTGCATACTTATTTACATAGTAAGCTCGGAAAGTATCATAAGACTGATAGTATCTGAGGTCGTATGAAACAAACTGTGCACCGTAAATTGGAATTAGATGCGCTGCGCGATAAATCGAGTCGATATGAATGATAGACATATGCGGGGCATGATTGGCATGGTAGGCCGGCCGCACCACCCACATCCCGGTATCTTCGTCAGGAGAGTCGCCAATGGTGTCAAACCACCGGATAACTGCGCAGGGATAAGTTATTCCTTGAAAATTAAAGGAAAAAAAACATAAAACACGAGCAACATTGAATCCTCGCATTCCCTCGAGGTCTGGGTTGGTGTTAACAAACACGCAGTCGTTCCGCGCATATTCGTTTCGCCACTGCGGACATGCGCGAATGTATTCAGTGCGCATACCACCAATACCGCTGAGGTCACTCGGCGAATAGAATCTGGAGGATGCCGAGTTAAAGACAGATATTCTGCCGTCGTAGCCGGGAAAGTGGAATTCGGGGACTTCGGAGAGATCTTGAGGGTCGTCTTGATGTATCTGTTCGAAGAGGAACTGTCGGAGGAGGTGAGGCAGATGCGCTATGTTTAATTCTGCTGCGAGGGCAGCCACAGTTTTTGCACGTTTTCGTTCTATAATGATGTTAGTATTAAACGGGGGATTTCGATCTGACGAACGTACGTGGTGTTCGCGCAAGCTCAACATGCGCTTGTAGCACGGTAGGACCATCGTCCACTTCGCCGTTGTCATCCCCTTCCTCGTCGATATTTGAGCCGTTTGCTGGAAGTGCACCGTCGGCAGCTTGAGAATCGGTGCCTCCCACATCACCGGGATCGTGAAATGGTCCTGTCAGAAGAGAAACGAACATTTGTTAGCATCGTTAAATTAGAAAATAAAATTTGATACCTACGAAGAGCTGCCACAATTGCAGACAAACACGTGCCGTCCAACATATTGCGCTTGGTGAAGTCAGCGCGCAAAGCAGCGAGCTTATCTAGCCGCTGGTTGGTTCGAAGCATTTGCCCGAGTGCATTGAAGCGACTCGAGCGTCTCCAAGGTTCTTTTACTGCCTTGATATGTTTGGTCTCCGTAATCGAGGAGCACAATCCGTTGGGGGCGCCAAAAAGTCGGATGAGTTGGACGTAGTGCTTGAGTGAGTGTTGACGTGGCAAGGAAAATGTAGAAACGACACCAGCGTCTCGGAATGCCTCACGGTAGTGGTGGAATCGGGCAAGTGCATCTTGAATTTCGGTGAGGGTCGTTTGCGTAACGATGTTGCGGCGCACGAGGTAGCAGAACTCTAAAAGAGCGCGGAATGCACGCACAATGTCCAATGGGACATGGCCCTCGATTGCGGGCAAATAGACCTATCAACAATCAGCAGTAAGAATTGAGAATTAAATAAAAACGAACCTTCATCAGTGCTTTTGAATCATCGCCGGTCCACTGTTTAAACCCTCGTCCTTCAGGAAAGCGTCGCAAACCTGAGAAGGGTGCGACAGCTGCGATTCTGTTATATATAAATGAGCGCGTCTCCAGCCAAGAATGAGGAAGCGCACCTTCGGTCAATGTCGTCCATGATTCGTTGACCCTCGCGTTTTCCGTGGGTCAGTATCAAATACTTCTCCACCCAATCTACAAGATGATCCTTGAAAGCTCCCTTGATGAGCTGGTGGAGAAGGTCGGGAGCGATGAGTTGGTTTATATCAGCGCGGGGGAAATCATTGGTAAACGGCTAGAAAATTAAATACAATGAGCAAACTTCGAAGTAATTGTAATGGGCTCAGGGGAGACTGTGGCCCCAGTCAAGGGCGCTGGAGAAACTCGCCCAGTGATTGTAATGGGCTCAGGGGAGACTGTGGCCCCAGTCAAGGGCGCCAGAAAAATGCGCCCAGTGATTGTAATGGGCTCAGGGGAGACTGTGGCCCCAGTCAAGGGCGCTGGAGAAACTCGCCCAGTGATTGTAATGGGCTCAGGGGAGACTGTGGCCCCAGTCAAGGGCGCCAGAAAAATGCGCCCAGTGATTGTAATGGGCTCAGGGGAGACTGTGGCCCCAGTCAAGGGCGCTGTAAAAACTCGCCCAGTGATTGTAATGGGCTCAGGGGAGACTGTGGCCCCAGTCAAGGGCGCCAGAAAAATGCACCCAGTGATTGTAATGGGCTCAGGGGAGACTGTGGCCCCAGTCAAGGGCGCTGGAGAAACTTGCCCAGTGATTGTAATGGGCTCAGGGGAGATGTAATGGGCTCAGGGGAGACTGTGGCCCCAGTCAAGGGCGCTGGAGAAACTTGCCCAGTGATTGTAATGGGCTCAGGGGAGACTGTGGCCCCAGTCGAGGGAGCCGGAAAAGCTCGCCCGTTGATTGTAATGGGCTCAGGGAAGACTGTGACCCCAGTCGAGGGCGCTGGAAAAACTCGCCCGTTGATTGTAATGGGCTCAGGGGAGACTGTGGCCCCAGTCTCCAACAACGGCGAGCGTCCAATAAAAAAGGAAGAACCACTCACTACAAGGTCGCCAACGATCCCATAATCATCCCAGATCTCCAATAGAGTCCCTTCCTCCACCAGAGCGTCCACGTATTCACGACAACGGTCCAAGGCATCTTGATCGAGGTTAAGACGTGGTGCGAGGCACCTTTGCAGGTTGATGAGCGGCAAATAGTGTGTGAGACTTGGAGACACCTTACCTTGCGCACCAACGTTTAACGATGCATCCTAACAGGACTTGCTCTTCATAATCAGCGATATAGGGTCCGAGTCCATAGATAACGCGACGGAAGTGACCATCTCCAAAACGAGCTACTTCGGGTTTCGTCATTCCAGGTACCAGCATCTGAAGGATTTTTGACAGAGAAGAGTGGAAGAGTTGGCGGCGAAACTTTCGGAACCTTGGATCCTCAGAATGTGCTCGAGTAGCTTTATATAAAACCGATCATTAGCACCTGTAAATGACATGAAATTAAAAGAATCTTACACTTTGGCATAGCGAGAAACCCTATGATAGCCACTGCATCTCGGTGTGCGCGACGGACGTTATTTCGAACATTTCCAATGGATAGATATAGCGGGTAGTATGCGTTGTTGCCAGTGCCGACTGATACTGTTGTCTTGTCGCTGCCGAGAATGACGGGAACGAAGGTTGCCCCAACTGTGTCAGGATCCTTGGAAATTTCATCCTGTATCCAATGATGCCTTAGTACATGTGTTGCGCTGGAATGTTTTAAAAGAAACACTTACTGCTTGATCCCATGCCCAGTCAGCAGACATGAAGTCTTTCCACTGGCATTCATCAGTCGCTGACGCGTACTCACGGTAAGGCTGATAATCCACTTCGTCGGCATACATTGGGTTTGCGAGCATATTGCGGATGACTTCACGAGGATCTCGAAACCACACGTCGTAAGAGCCGTTCATCCACGGCGGAACATCGATGTCTGGTATGTCACCGCAATATTTGACGGAAAAACTCTGCCACGGCACGTCTCCAAGTGGACTGCTATCAATTGTATGGTATAGGTCTTTGTGGTTGGCAAACGGCGGACGGTCGTTGTATTTCACAAGTGTCGCGGCCCACAGGTCAAGTAAGGTGTCAATTTGAGGGCCGGACATCTGCTCTCGAGTGTATAGGAATTCAGCGGTTTCGAATTCCGTTCGATTACGAAATGGGGTCCAATCATCGGCAGGACGTGCAACAGGTGGGGATGGTGGAGTTCCTGGGGGAAGAAATGCACCATTTTCATCACAAGGCCGACCTTAAAAAAGCGGACCGTCAAACATTATTTTACAGATTTGCGAGAAGTGCAAAAAATCACATACCATCAAGATCCTTATGGTAATTTCGATAAAAGTGATTCCCCGGTCCAAAGAATTCTGCATTGACATCCGGAAGTGGAGATGACATCCTGGGGATTTCAAAATTGGGCTGATCATGATCAATGTCGAAAGGAACACCATCAGCACGTGGGATGTCTTCTTCACGATGCTGGTCGTTTCCTGGGTCCGGAAGCTCGGGAGAAACTGAATGGTGAGACGGGATGGGACGTGGGATTGTCGGATGGGCTGAGAGCCTATGTTTTGTCCTTCCAGCAGCAGTCTTGAAATACCGCTGGCAGTTCTGATGGCCACAAGGAAGCTGGAGTGTGCTGTGGTCCGGGCGATGGTAGGAGTTTGTCCCACTGGCAGGCATTGTGATGCAGAACAAAATAGAGGCGAGTGAGAAAGATAACAAGAGTCTGATGTCGTGTTTTGGGCCTAGGGCTGACGCATAGTAGCAAGCTGCATGGGCGAGTAGCTGAGAAGGCCTGCGAAAGTTCAATGTTTGTTTGGTCACCGTACCTACAAATTCTATTGAAAGTTAAACGTACTAAGCCGAGTTTCTCCCATCACTAGCAATACTTTGCCTTGCTTCCGTCAATACGCGTATAATGTCTTCGACAACTGGTGTCACTGCTCGTCAAACCCGCGCATCAAACGCTAATGCCCATCCTGGTCAGGTCGTTCTAAATGCAAAGAGGAAAAGACGCACCAAAGCTCAAAAAGCTGCTGACGACAAGGTTCTTGAAGAAGAACTCCAAGCAAAAGAAGCAGCCGCTCTAGAAGGCATCCAGCGTCTCGCCAATATACAGGCTGAGATGGAGCAGGTCCAAGCTGCTGCAGCTGTCAAGAAACCAAAGGCAGTTAGACCACGCCCACGTCCGGTTGCAGCCAAGAAGGGATCTCAGCTGAAAAATGTGGCGGCAGCTGCAGAGGATGGAGTTGAGGATCAAGAGGGTAATGAAAGGCAGAGCCAACTGACCTCAGATATCAACCAGGACGATATGAGCATCGGAGAGATAGAGGTTGTCGCGAAGCAGAAACCTGGCAAGAAGTCACTGAAAGATGCGGTTGATGCTCGATTGAAATCGATGAAGACTGATCAGCTTGCACGTGGTAATGTTGATCTTGCAGACAGGAAAGGAAACTCTTTACCGTACGTTCTTCAATTGCTGCCATGTTGTTACTCTCTGAGTCGACACTTTTCTTCCTCAACTTGACTGCGGAATTTAGGTCAGCTGTCAAAACTTCAGTCAGTGGACGCATCAAGGCCTGGGCTTCAGACATACCAAGTCCTCCAAGCTGTCCATCTGAAGGCCGCTCCCAGTTGCATTCTGGTTCACATTCCTCTGTTCCCCCATCCACTATATTCTCCCGCTCTCAAGCCACAACAGCAGCTTCAGATGCGACTAGTCTTAGGTCGCAGGCCATTTCACAGAAAGGCTCCGATGTACGAGTCTCTGCTGATCCCACTGATGATCTGGTTGGAGGATTCGGCGATGAAGAGGGAGATGACATGTATGAACGCGAGGCTGCATTCCAAACAACAGAAAGGCATCCAGTTAAGGTACCGTATCTCTTCCTCTGATTTATCAAGCTTGTGCGGCTCACTTCTTAAAGCCTATACTCCAGATCGGTGATATCACAGACTCGGAATCTGAAGATGTCGAACCTGGTAGCACGTCTTCAGCAATGGTACGTGGTTTTCCTTTGGCAATCGAAATACTCTTTGACCGTAAAACAATTTCTCGCGGCTGAGTAGTTAAATCCTCGGCTGGCATCAAACAGCGAGCTTCCCCCACCATCCTCTCAGCTTCGCATGTTGGAGGCTGCCCGCCGCTTGGCCGCTGAAAAATACAATGGAGCCTCCCAGGCCCCACCATCTACTCAGCCTCGCAAGCCACAGACCACCTGCATCGCAAGTGGCACAAAACGGAAACTCACAGTGGAGTCCAGTGTCGACTCTGTCGAGATCGTGGAAAGCTTTTATGATCAGGACAACTCGGTATCAAGCGACATTCAATGCATTGATGACACTGCGATGGTAGTTGACGAGCCTCAGAAAACACAAGCACCCCTCTCCAAAGCACCTGAACGCACAGTTGTCAAAACAAAGGCTCCACGGACAACATCGTCGGCATGTTCTTTTCTTTCTGGCCCCATGTCAATATCAAATGACTAACATCTTATTGCAGACCACTGTTATGACCACCAATGCTACGGCACCACCTGCAAAGAAGGTCAGAACTGCGCCCAAGGTCAAACCCGAGCCCAAGGTCAAGCCCGAGCCCAAGGTCAAGCCCGAGCCCAAGGTCAAACCCGAGCAAATGGACACGTCAGAGACCGCCCTAGTGTTCGAAGACGAAGACGAAGACGAAACTTGGGTTGAAATAGCAAAGGCTCGATCGGCCTACCGCAACACGGATCTACCTCCTGCATGCCAGGATGGACAATGGCCTAAGGTTTTCCTTCCCACAATTTACCTGTGGGCAGGAAGTCAACCGAGCCTTTGGAACATCAGTGATGATGCGCTCCTGGAAGCTATCCAGCATACCTTTGATGTCGTCTATCCAGAGGTCGAGTACACACCCACCGTGCAAGGCTCTGTTTTTGGTGTCGTATGTTTGTCAACCGTCCAATTTTCCCCTCTCACATATTTAATTTTAGACTAATCAACGTCTCTCCGAGTGGCGCAGCAATTTTGGCTCCACCGCAATTGCCATCATCATCGATTTTATGGCTCGCAATGATGACACTAGCCCCGGCGAGCTCGCTGAGTACCTCCTTTCAGATTATGCGTTTCTTTATGAAGATCCTGAGGTTATTGACAAGACGAAGACGTTCCAGTCCCCATTTATGCTCCAGCTCATAGCCACTGGCCACTTCCATGCAACATCCGGTCATGCTGATGTTCCAGCACTCAACACTGACGCTCTGGTCGTGAACGGGATTGACGGCGTGATTGGGATGTGTGCAGCTGCAGTAAGCCGTTTTTTTTTCCTTTTGATCAAAGACAATGCTAATTCACTTGTGCAGTTGGAACGCGCCCTGAGGCTCATCAACGACAACATCATTAAAGTCGAGGATGTACTTGCAGCTCCCCCGGCGCTGCGCAAGCTCATGCTCAAAACACCAAAGATGCTCAATAAGGCCACTGGAAAGGAGACCTGGACTGCCTGCGCGTTCTCGGTCAATAATTGGGGCTCAGCAACAAACTCATTCTCAAAGTCGGCTCGTACGAAGGGGAAAACCCTTACGAAGGACATCACCTCAATGGCCCGGAAGCTTCTCAAGAAATCAAACTCTAGACTCAATGACTTCTTTTCCAACAGCGACTCTGAAGAATTTGACGAGCGTGCTTTGGTTTAGTGAGTTGTCAGGATTTTTTGAGGCCTTTTCACATTTAATCAACTCCCTTTTAACAGGTATCGGGCCAAGTCCGAGTCTGTGCAGGTCTTCTTCATCATCTTTGCGTAATCGTCTGCTTGTGCTTGCCTTTCTGTCTGCTTGTGCTTCCCTTTCCGTCGCTGTTCACGCATTGATCGCTACTTTCCGCATATTTCTAATTCGCTTTTTTGCCCTTGTTTTTGCATTGATATCTCTTTCCGCGTCTTTGTGACCTTTTGGACTCTCGCTTTCTACCACTTAATGCCATCTTCCATACACAATATGATGCACTTTTCTCACTTAAAAGATGACGCGGTGCTTTCCAAGATGCTTCCAATGTCCGAAAAATAGGCCATCAAGTGAGTATTAAGCAAATTTAAGTCGAAATCAGAGGACGAGTGGCCTTTTTGCAACTTTTCACCCTTGACTCTTAATCTTCACTTTGGGTCTCTTAAATTCATCATAAGTCACTATTAAGTCATAAAAACCAATCCGTGGTTTTCCTGATGCAGGTTTATGTGTATTCCTGGCGTTCCGTGGATCAGCGCCATGTCATGACCATCATGGGCACGAATGGGTTCGAACTTTCTCCTGCAGCTGGGTGATATCAGATTTGTGATCTATATGCTTGCTTCATAGAGTGCACAGGTCACAAGCCCGGGATTGATCATATGCAGCGTACAGTCACTGGACGCAAACAGTGATCGTCACATCCCTTTATCGTTTGTTCCGAACACATCCTCGAGTTCTTATCTATCAGGCGCTCTTGCTTTCTCCCACTTCCCACGTCCAAACTCTCACCAACCACTCCTACAACTCACAATGTCTACCTTGGGAAATGCGCCAGCTGGCGCTCGTCGGACACATGCCTTTCGCCCCCGAGCAACAGATTCCACACAGCCTGACACCTCCTTCATCCTCAAAGACCTTGGAGATGAGGTAGCCAAATTTTAACTGAACAAGCAATTTGCGAGGATCATTTGGCGTTGCGGTTGAGCGGGCCATGAACTATTGATCATCATATGAATGCGACAAGATAGTGGTGCGTGGCGAGAACTAGTACTTGCAAATTTTAACCGAATACGCAAAATTTTTGCGACTCCGAGGGGCATGATTCATCATTTGGTGTTGTGGCAGAGCATGAGCTATTGATAATCATACGAATCCATCATCCGCCACGTGGACTGTGATGCGTCGCAAATGCTTGTGTCTGCTCGTTTAACACAGCACTTTTATTTGCCTGAGGAGCATAAAATCTGCATGACTGACCGAAGGGCCGTTATTTCTGCGTAGTATCACCCCCCGAAAGATGACAGACTTCAATGAGGCGGAGGCCAAGCTTGAGGCCCTCTTGGACGTCATCAACTCCTCTGCACGTCAAGCAATCGCAGAATACAAGAAGACCGGACATGGGGTCCCCAGTGCCGACGCAACAACCTTCCACCCCCTCGACCTGACGACAGATACGCTTGCGCTCAAAAAGTCGATTAGGCTGCTCGAAGGTGCATACCACCAATTGAGCTCAATACTGGCACCCCCTCAACATACAGTGATGAATGTGAGTGCCAATCGCAAATGATCTCTGCTCTGTTGCTGATTTCGTTAGTATGTTTTCAATTACAACTGGGCGTGCACAAGCGTTGTCTTGCAAGCGCGAATTGCAGATGTTCTGGACCGACACCCGGAAGGTCTTAGCGTGGACAAGCTGGCTGAAGCAGTCAACCTCGACAAGACCAAGACTGCACGCGTCCTACGAGCCTTATCAATAATGGGTTGCTTTAAAGAAGGTAACATACTCGCTATTGTTGAGGAGTTGTCTGAACATGCAGTGCGTTAAACAGTCGAGCGAGACGTCTTTGCAAACACGCGACAATCCCTTGTACTCAAGTCATCAAACAACGTTGGGTGCTTTGCAAAACTTCATTCCCGAGACGTCTCGAAATACGCCGCAGTACTCTATGAGACTATGACCGACGACGAATTTTCAAGATCACACGAGACTGACAAAGCGCCCTCGCTATTTACTTTCAAGAAGGAGGGTATGAAGGGTAACTATTGGGACTACATCAACAATGACGTGAGTTTTCGCCATCGCCATCGCGCTCCCCTTTGCTCTGTTGACACGTCATTTAGGATGACAGCCGTGATGTATGTGCAGAGCCATCCATTCGCCACCAACGACTTACAGAATCATATATATAGGAATTCCACAGAGCTATGCTTGGCCTAACCGAGATGAATTGTGCTTCCGCAGTGCTGCATCGTAAGCAATCGCAAATTTCGAATCATCAACATGACAGTGATGCAGGTTGCAAGACTATCCTTGGGACGATATATCATCTGTGGTGGATATTGGATCTGGCATTGGCGCATTTTCCACTCCTCTGGCGAAAATGTTCCCTCATCTCAAAATCACCAATCAGGATATCCCAGAAGTCATGATACAGGCGCAAACTGTGAGTTCGGACATGCAGTACATATAATACAGCGGGCACATGATTGATATTTGAGTAGGCATGGGAGAAGAATGCTCCTGAGGCACTGCTCGACGGGCGTGTGGACTTCGTGCCAATCAATTTTTTGGAGAACGTGCCTGTTGTTGGGAAGGATGTCTACTATGTAAGAGCCTAAATTTCTTTCCATTCATCGCCAGTAACTTAATCGTCTTTTTATATAGTTGAGGCACATCATTCACAACTGGCGGGACACTGAGGCAACAATGATCCTCCGTAACATTCGCAAGGCAATGGGACCAAACAGCCGAGTGCTAATTCGTAAGTCGGCTGTGGTTTCGACTTGGTGTTTGCTTTAAAGCCACTAGATGATCCCGTGATCTTCCACACATTGCAACAACCTGACATGGGAACTGACAAATTGAGTGTAGTAAGTCTTGGAGTGCAGCTTGGCGTATTTCTAAATTCATGATTTCAAGGCCCCTGAACCTATGTTGCCGAACTTCGGGGCAGGCAGTCATAGAACGTTTCAAACAGACCTGACTATGTGGCTTCTTCTAAATTCCAAGGAGCGAACGTTGGACGAGCTGAAGGTCATCGGGCAAGTTCCTTACAGTATACCTTGGTACATTGGCGACGATTGACTGATGATAATTCACAGGGCCGCTGCTGGTCTGACACTTACCCAGGTGTATGATTTTGTAGAGACAACGGTCATGGAGTTTAGAATTGCTCAGGACTGACCCCAAGAATTCGAATGAGTGTTTTTAAAGATGCAGTAAGTACATATGATAGCATATTAGTTGATCTGCCACGATCCACTAAAGAAGGCGACACACATATCCTTGATTTTTTTTTACCCAAAGCATAACAAGCACCTTGTATATATGTAAATAGCACAATTCCGATGAAGTTTATTATCTTGCTTTGAGATGGCTAGTATATTTAGAGGAAGAATCAAAGGGATGTAACATTGACACGATGTCAACATGTGGCAAATTCACCCTGAGTTTCCCTCCGGTATACAACATCCTAAAATAATCCGAATATTTAAAGTTGACGTTGAGGAGCTACAATTTTTTTTGGCAGAATACCTGGTATGACAGGAAGCCTCGTGTGCTCGGTACCGTGGCGTGTCTCCGTCTCACCCTCGCCCCAACCGACGACTTGATCAATCGAGGAAGAAGGTGCGAAGGATTCAAGATGTTCCCATAACTTCTTATTTCATTTTCGGCACGGCACTCGGTTCATCCGCTTGTGGTGTTTCCGCACTCTTGGTCGTTTTTTCACATTCGAGCTCGGTGTCCGTAAGGGGCACAAGCTTGTCACGACTGGACCATACGCGGTCGTACGCCATCAATCGTACGCGGGAGCAGCTCTGCTGTCCATCGGCCTGTTCATCTTGCACGGATCGTGGTCTTCGTTGATCAGACGCTCAGGGGTTTTGAACATCCCTGGACTAACAGCTGCATGAGGATGAAACGGTGAAGTCAGTCTCCAGAGCGGAGTGGGAGAACTGGGCTAAGGTAGTCAAGTACCGGTTAATTCCTGGCATTTACTAGACTCATTGCGTATCCTATGTGATATACCGCGTAGTGTTGTGGACTCTGGCAGTCTTCGTTCACTAAAATATGTTCTAGTTTTGTTTTACACGCGGAAAATGTTCCTATTAAAATGCAGCCGTCGACTCGGACGGCATGAATCCTAGCCTCAACAATAATTCGACTTCATCGTTGAACTCAACCTTCTCCGCTGAGTCCGTGGCTCATTGGGTGAAAAATACTTTTGCATCGATGGGCTTGTCAGTGCAGAGAACGCGTACACCTGGTTAGTCGACTAGCTCACCACTGGAATGCAAAAGATGCGACAAAGAAAAGCTAGAACGGGTGAGCAAATCATAGTCAGCGAGATCAATCGACAAGCGCTATTTGTGTGACCCACAAACTATTTTCAGGTCTAAGGTTGCCAATCTGGCTGGACAGGACCAGCAACCGTCTCGCTGCCTTCAGACCATGCTTGAAGCTCATGTGGACGGGATAGCATTTCCATCGAAGACGATCGCTCGGTGGGAAAGCTTGGTGTCTCCCTGCTCACTTGAAGGTTGAATAGTATTCGAGAAGCAAGAACACTGTGCGCAACAATTTGAGGTCTGAAATGAGGAATATGAGCTTTCAACAATATACATCTACATATACACTTGACCAGACTAACGTGTTTAGCGTCTCGCTGTACGAGAGCTAGGGGGTTCGCTCAGTTCTGCGAGGTCAACGGAAAGAGGAAAGGACTCACAGGTAGCACAGCGATAATAATCACATTGACTGTGGATATCACTGTAGAGATGTCAGCACGAAATAAATAATAAAGATGGTGTCAATACTTGTGATACAGAACATGTAGAAGAGTCCATCGCGATAGATACTCTTTATTAGCGTGCTATGAGACTCAAGGTAGTGTCGATATCTCAAAAATGCAGTGACGGAGATGAGAACTAGTGGCAGATTGTCAGAGAAAGAGTATTGAATTGATTGTCGCCTCACCAATCTCGAAGAACATTAACAGTCCATATGGGAGGGCACTGCCACGAGACCCCTCAAACACACAATATGAAGGCGGCGCGACTGAAAAGGAATGAATACTAAGACTAAGAAGTGAACCTTGAGACCTTGCCTGCGACTCCTGGGATGTTCAAATTGATGGGAGCAATACTTATAATCAGAGACGCCACCAAGATGGCCTGCGTCATACGAGTTAGTGGTGCGCAGAGATATAGAGATGTCATTGTACCAAACCAAAGGAGAGAAGGCTGATAAGATATACTTTGCTGTTGCCAGAAAAGGCATAGACCCTGGCGATCAATAATCCTGTTGTGCGAATATAAAAGCACGCTGCGATGTGATATAAAAAAGCCAACCTTCCGAGGCAATAATGCCCAAGAAATGTATGCCTGCGAAATGTCATCGCGAAGTCATGTCACGAAAGACGTTTAAACCAACCGTTTACAGCATCGTTAAAGGGTGCACACTGTATATTGATGTGAGTTGCAACTGACACTGCACAGATGATCAAACCTGATGTACTCACATTTTGCGTACCCCATGTCTTGACAGCGGCTGGTCAAGAATCAGCTTTTGCGTGGCAGTGTGCACGGGCGTATCTCACAGTACGAGGTCATAAGTGCACCGGCAAAAGGTACATATCGTGAAAGCGTGAAGGCAATGCGAATTACTCCCCACTTCCGTCCCCAGGTCCATTGGACCTGTAAGAATGATTAGCGGCGAGGTATGGGTAGCTGACTTCTCTGACTTCAGAGTGTAACGTGACTAAGTGTTGGAATCGGGCAAGCAAGCGCTGAGCCCCGATGCACAATAGCAGGCATGTTCCCATTGTTCCATATGTTCCCGTATCATTCCTATTGTTTAGTCTCATGTCCAAGCGGCCATTATACCTACTGAACCTTTTGTTCCCTTGTCTCTCGACGACTCGAAACTTTGACCCTCGTACTTCCCATTTCCATCCATACAAGATCACATCTTCGTTATTTAGTACGAGCCTCACGTAGTATAGAGACCTCAGACGTTTGCGATACGAGCGCGACGACTGAGGTAAGCTACTAACTTTACATATATTCACTGCTCGATACTTACGCTACGTCAGCTTAACTGATTCTCTCAGGTGAATATATATCAGACGTTTGCGATACGAGCGCGACGACTGAGCTTAACTGATTCTCTCAGGTCCCGCGCTAGTGTCTACTTCCTATACTAAGTACATCAGGAAATCATCGAGTTCCTTTTTATCCCTTATATGCTTCTTATTTGTCCTTATTTACCTTAATTCACACTTAAAACCTCCTTAGAATAAATAATTCTAAGGAGATCCATCACCTTAAACCAAGGAGCTTTCCTCGAAACCTCCTTATTTTAAGGCGGTTTAAGGAGAATAAGGCAATCGGAAACTGTGAGGAGATCGAGTAAAATGATTACTTAATTGCACCACTTTATTTTCTGCCACTGACTCAGTTTGAACTCTCAACCATGCACTCACCAGCTGAGAGCAGCTGATCAGTTCCCACAATTTCGAGCATCACTTACCACTAGACTATGGTGCAGTTCACTTATGTGCCGCTACTTTGGGGCAACCGCCAAATTGAAGGGCGACCCAACCCAACCCTAACCCTAGTCCAAATATAGAAGTGTACTTGAGTTACTGTTCAATTTTGGTTCAAAACTCAAGTCTTGTTGGAATAGATGGGTGAATGTACAGATTAAATAGAACATGGAGTTGTCACAGAGGCTGAACTGGCTAGCTAACAATTTTCTCGAGTGTATAGGAAGCTGACAGAGTGTGCACTTCAAGGGGTGACTGGACTGACGACACGAAAATTTGCTCGAAAGCTCGTAAATTTAGGATTCAGTATTGCATTAATGTAGCATAAACATGATGGGATTTGGGACTTTTTGACTTGTTTTGCCCCAATTTTGCAGGTATCTTAGCCTCACCACCAATTCGAGCCATGGCTGAAATTTTAACTCACTCAGATTTCATTCAATGAACAATCGCTCTTGAGAATTTATTCCTATCATCAATCTAAGCATTTTTACAAGACAGAAAGTTCCTGGGACTTTTTCTCACAACACTAGAAATTTTGCACAAAAGTAGCGGTGCATAAGTGAACTGCACCATAGATGACCTTGTATATGTGAAGGCAGCAACTAATATATATACCATATCTGTGGGACTTAGAATAAAATACAACACTTTATCGTCTAATACAATAGGTCTACCATTAGGATTTTAATAAGGAGTGACATGGTGGACCTTATGAATTTTTTCGAAGAAAATCAAAGTTATAGCTCTTGTCAAGGGTAGTCCTTCCATAGTCTCATGACATTTTTTAGTTGAGATCCTAATGAGTTATAAGCAAAATACTACGAAGTGGTGTGTTCAAGAAAGTTCAGGCACACAAGTAATATGACTAATGTTTCCTTAATTTTCCTTAGCCAACTTGCACCTAATTAATTCTACTTTTGTCGAAATAAAACAAAAAAACCAACTTATTCTCCTTAGCCACCTACTTAATTCTACTTATTTTCCTTAGCCACCTTGGTAATTTTTTTAAGTAAATTAAGGAACTCGATGATTTCCTGATGTAGTCATAAATCTGGTGATACATCAGAACGACTCGTAATGAGACTGAATAGACACAGCTTACTAGGATCGCTGACGCAGCGACTTTGGAGCAAAGCAGAATTGTAAATAAAACAACGATAAGCTTGACATCAGCCTCACCGTTAGTATACTTCAATAATAAGAGACGTCAGAGAAAGGCCGGACAAAGCACAAATGGATTACCTTGGCTAACTGCAAACCGAAGGAGACGGACATTTTCGAGTAGTAGCGACAACGGGTGTTTGAATGCAAGTCTGGCACAAGCAGTTGGCAATAAGTACTGCACTATAGTGTGCGCTGCAACAGGGCTGTACATGTGATGATTGCCTCCGGTAAGTAACAAGGTCTGTGGGAAGGGCTCTGGCAGTGCTCAGCGCTCAGATTTGGAGGGTGCCTTGATTACCATGATATCATGATGCATGAATCACAATGGTCACACGTACCCTTGGCAGCACTTTGACGATGTCCTCACGGTATGTCAGGCCCTATTATTATATGGTCTATGGACCCCCCTCCTCTCACAGGTCTCCCCCTATTAGTGTTGTAGGGATGAGTAAATCTTCCTCGGGAGGATACATGCTGACCCTCCTGGCAGAGGGTGAGTACAGCCTCCTGGATGTTTCTTACTCAACGCAGCATCCTATCCAGATGTCGCCTGACGAGGGTGTCAGCAACAGCCTTAACTAGATCCGAGGAGTCTGATAGAGTTTCTACAAGGAAGGACAGAATTGATTAATCGCGGTGGTAGAACAGATGAGATTGAAAGCAAAGAACAAAACCATGAAGAGACGCGTCATAATCATACGTTCGCTAGTCTCGGCAGTAGATGGACCGCTCTTTTCATCACATCACCCTCCCCCAAGGTCGATGTCCTCATCGAATCCTTCTGAACCCTCTTATCCTCCAATCATACACCCCTTGACTCTTCGGCGTGGAACACATCCAATCTTCTCGACGCGGTACACAAATTTTGATTGTTTCATGTTCCTTTTCGCGTCTCAAAAATGTTTGAAGGGCTTCATTCGTCCCGTCATCCATGCTCGTTGTCTGTTTTGGTTCCTACGTATTGAAAGTGAAACTAAGGAACTCATCCCGGCGGTGATAAAGAATCGCTATGGCATTACTTATGCCCAAGGAACACGTCTAGAGAGTCGAGACGAAACGATGTAAGTGATAGACGGCGTGCAAAGTCAACATGAACTGTACCTTGCAGGCCTCAGCCTATGGCGGCCCATGACTCGTCACAGCATACGCGGGCTACAGCCCATCCTCAGGCTCTGGCTCCCACCAGTTCCCGCCTGCCCAGCTCATAACGGCGAGTCTTCGAGATCGAGGCGTGATTTTTCCTAACGAAGTCTGTTATCGCTACAGACACTCATGCACAGGTGCACACCGGCGCTAATCTTGTCCCCCCTAGTCAGGCCATGCCCTTGCTGGAAGTTACGCTATAATCTTCTGGTGTCGCAAACGGGTCTTCCTCGTCATCCTAGCCAATATGTATGAGTTCCGCGAGAGGTTGGTGTGGTGAAACGCTCGATTCCCTACCTGTTCTTGCTCTTTCTGCTTCAAAATTCTTGTGCGCCTCTCGTGTCCATGTTCTACTAATTCTGGTTTCTTCGCGATCTTCCCCTTTAGTTCCGCTTGCGATCCGCCGAGCTTTTCTCCAAGACCCTATGACACGACACGACTCCGTTTAGCTCTGAGACGCTGTATGAGCCCGAGAGCTCCTGCATGCCTTTGTGGCGGAAGCTGACTGGCGTCGGTCAATTCTTCAGGTGCAGTTTGTGTTGGAGTTTCTGTGGAAGATGCAGTCGATCTTCTGGGTTCAGTATTCGTTCCCACGGCGAAGGGGTGTACGATAGAAGCCATTGTGAAATTGAATGAGTTAGGCGGGTATTCAGAAGTTGATAAGTATAAGGAGATCATAGCTAGTACGAGGACTTGCCTTGATTTTAATACACTAAGTTATGATCGTAGGCGTGGAGTGAGAAACCGACAAAAGAAAGCGTAGAACAACTTGAAATTAAGCCGGACACTTCCAGTTGCACTGATCGTTTCGCACACGATGCTGCCTTCGCCATCCTTGCGCAGACAGTTGTAGCTGTTAGCTATAACACTGGCAGATGGATGCATTGAAGATTCAGGACTTTGACGAATATTCATCAGTATGCCCTGAAGCACAAGTGAGTTCGGTATCGGAAATGAATGGGATCTTCCCTGCGATTTGATGTCGGTGAACCAGCGTGTGGTTAATGTTATGTCATGAATACGAGGTTATTCAACTGCTCCGGGGAAATCGTACGAGATGCAATAAAGATACAACTTGGTGTAAAACGGTAACTTACTGTATATCATGATCGACATCTAAATATTCACAAATGGCGACTGGCCCTCCAGAAACATCGTCCATCCTTCGAATTTGTCCAGTAAGCTATTGAATGGAAAGCAACTGTACAAATGCAGGGGGGGCACTCCCATCTCAGCACACAAAGACCGTGTCTCTGCAAAGCGCTCTGCAGCCAAAGCAAAGTTACCATGAACAAAGGCAACCTCCCCAAGTCCACGTGTGCTGAATGCCTTTAATATCAGGTTGCCTTGCATATTGCAACCTTCAATCGTGGCGGTGAGATAGGACTCGGCCCTGTCATAATCGCCTGCAGTGAGCTCGATGCATGCTAATCCGTAAGATCGGTGGAGGAATATGCGTGCATTGCGCAGCGCAAAGAATGGGAAGGGTTCTGAGGCTTTGTGGATGAGCTCCCTCGCAAGGTCATAATTCCCCTGCTTGCTCGCAACAATAGCCTTCCGCACGGTGTCCCAAAGGACGTCTTCCGAATGTTGTCCCTTGAACATGTCTATGATTTTCTGTAGATTGTCCATTGCGTCGGATAACTTGTCCTTGCAAAATGCAGCTTGTGCAAGCCCCTCAAGTGCGTCCCTGCAGCCGAAGACATCTCCGATAATTGTGCATTGCAGATACAGGTCATTCAAGTGTGTGTGCACCTGGACAGTGTCCGCCCCATAATACAATTTGGCCCGCCAGTGCCAAATCTTGAATCTCAAGTCCCAGACATCATCTTCCAAGGATTTCACAAATAATTCATCCGCAGACAGCGTGAATGTGTACATCCGGGCCGTATCCAAGAAATTCCAAGCTCGGGCTTTGATTGATTCGCTGAGAGACTCCCAAGAGTCAGAGTGCTGAAGATCCTCTAAGATATTCTGGGATTGAATAAAGCGACCTTGACATCTCAGGATATCTGCACGGTTTGTAAGACAATATGCCATGTTCTCGAGGTCGCCAGCGGCGAGGTAGAGCGCCTCGGCAGCTTGAAAGGCCCGTACTGCTTCAGCGAGCTGAGAAAGTATGTCGTACAGCTGCGCGAGAGCTGACAAGCAGAATGCTTTTATCGACAACGTGGAGGAGTTCTCGACGATGTTAGAAATAGCGAGGGTAAGGGTAGTCGGACGAGGCAGATGCTGCGTCAAGCACCGCAAAAACTGCCAGCAAACGTCATAGATCTGTTCCGTGCTATCTGGGACGTGGGCAAGTTTGAAAGCAACTACGTGCTCGATGTTAAAGTGATCCGAGATAATGACATCAGCATACTCATCACGATCATCTGAACAGTAGTCGATACTGCGATAGTAGAAGGCACATATATCTTGCAAGCACGTGGAGTCAGGTGGGGGCAATGAATCTTGCACATAATGTCGAATGGGTGCGAGCATCTTGATGAACTTGTCTTGGCGATAAACGAGTGATTGCATGCATAGAACATCGCATATAGTGTCGACTTGCGGAAGCGATGGCAACAAATCACTAGCCAGGTCCTCGTTGAGACCCTGGGGCAAGAATGCGATGATCGCTAAAGCATGACGACTGTCCACTCCGAGATCAAGGACCGACGGTGAGCTGAGTGACAGCTCCATGGTGTCTGACAAGCTTTGCAGCTTCCCCTTGCCGGCATCGAGCACCTTGCTGTGCCGATCCTTCCATCTCTTGAGCAGCGTGGTTGGAGACCAGCTATTTTGCTGTGCGGCATTCGCGAGTATATTGATGGAAAGGGGGTGAAAATCCAATTCCTTGAGCAGGCCTTTTATGTCTTCTTCGGCATCGCTACGACTGGCGTGGTGATAAATCTGGAAGAACACTCGTTGAGCAGAGCTCAAGTCCAGCGGCGGGATATCCTTCGTCATCCAATGCACGTTCGGTGCATTCCTCCTACTGCGTGACGTGAGGACCAGAATGACGCCAGATATATTAGCAATCTCAGCAATGGCTGGTGGTATCTCTCTCAGCGTCGACGATGCACTGGCCTCTTCGAAAGTCTCAGCATTGTCGAGGACAATGAGGGCGCTGGTAGAACGAAGAAATGAAGATATTTGGCGCACGGGATCGGCACCAGCAATTTCTATGCCAAGGGCTCCCGCGAAACGAGTCATAAAAGTCTCGAAAGTGATGGTCAAAGGATCGAGGCCATCGTAGGCCACGAAGAAGCGCCGATCAGTAAATTTCTCCGTGACGAGTGGCTCGTTGAGGATGGCTTTGGCAAGAGAACTCTTTCCCATGCCCCCCGGACCGATCAATGCAATATGCTCATCATTGACAACGAGGTTCGTCAACTCTGCCACAAGATCATCGCGGCCATAAAACATAGCAGGCCGTGACGGAGGCTCAGTTGGGCGATACCTGATTGCGTTTAGAGGACACTCATAACCTGACGAAAATAACAACTTACTTTGGAGCAGTGGTACTAGCAGCATTACCCTTGAGTAGCTTCCTCATACCAACCGCAATGCCAGCGGTCAGTTCAAACTTGAGACGGCATTCAGCAGGCAAGTCGGCATGATGTTACACAGACATACATTGAAGAGTGTGAGGACGCGATCCAGATCCGTCTCCCATCCAGCGATCTGGTCGCGATCAATCGTGACAGAAAAGAGACTCTTCCAAAATCCTTGCTCCTTCTTTGAGGCCACTTCTGTATAGATGCGGTTAACTGATCTGCATGGTGCCATCACTTTCCGGTAACAACGAAATTAATGTGACTCACGCTCACATGTTGAGCTCGGACAAGGCCTCCCCCAAGGACCCTTGCAGATCATCTTCGGTAGCATCCTTGGTCGCTCTTTCGAGTCGTTTCCTGATAGTTTCGCATTTCTCGACTATCGCCAGAAAATCGGACTTGTTCTTGATCACCGACTACACAGACTTCAGGATCCTTCATGAAAATTCGGAAGATTGCGCCAACGCACCTGCGCGATAACCAGGATGTTGGCAACCGTTCCGAGGATTCCTTTCGCCAGGTCGATAGGAACGAGGTCTCTTGTAACGCCGATTGCCGCTATAGTGACACTCAACAATTGGCTCACATTGTCGTCCTGCAACTCCTGGGTTTCAGAAGCTGGTTGTTTTGAGTCCTTCTGTGATAGATCAGATACCCAATGGTAAGACCTAGATACGCGCCTCCTCACCTTCGAGTTTTTGGACCTTCCTGCCTTTGGCTTTTTGGATATTGGCATCGCCTGGGTTAATGTGGTGGATTCAAATTGGAGTGGGTTTCAGTCATCGAACGAACGCCTCCGCCTACCTCAAGGCAGAGACTCAGAGTGGGAAACTGCACTGCCTAGGTGCAAAATTATAACCTGACAGGCGTCAAGAGAATTTGTATGTACTTCTCAACCATTCGAGCAGATTTGCTACATCACATCATGTGATCGGGCGTGGCTATTTTGACACGGTCCTGCCGCGCCTGCCGCGGTCGTGACGCGGCACCAACGAATCTTGACGCGGCCACTGCTGACGCGCCAGTGCAGGTGTTCCTACTATATGTTCTGCATTCGACTCCCACATCAAGCTTAAGTTGGACGGGTTCATGACCATTCCTTTGTTATGTTATTCGTCATAGGGACATGTACTACTGGCCACTAATCAACCAACGACCATTTTTTTTACCTCCCTCTCCGAGTCTGTGGAGCACGTCAACACTTAACATAGGACTGAATTAGCTGCACAGGATACCAATACTTCCCGAGACGGGCCAAAGCGCTTTTGCCAACACTATAATTGAGTCAGCCATATCTCAGCCAGAAGTCGCAAGTCAAACTCGTGTGTGATGGGTAGCTGTGACGAGGCTGTGCCACGGCACTGACGCGGCATGGATGAGGTTTGACGCGGCATGAAGTGGGCCTTGACGCGGCACAGGTAAGTGTGAACGTTGACATTAGTACAGAGACTGTGAAGATGTTTGGGAAAATCTGTCGTGGTATGAGCAGTGGTTGACCCAGCCTGAATGAGGTTCGAGATAACATGGTTGGGGCTTAACATGGTGGCCGCGTTAGTATGGACACAGAAGACAAGCACTGTAAATATGGTGAGAAGTGAATACAGCAGTCTAGGGCTTGTACGCAGACGGACACTCACATGCTGATCATTAACGAGGATATTTAAAGTGTTTGGAATTCAGTTCGAGCGACATAAGATGTTGTTTGAACCAAGTTTGAACATGTCAGGATATCTGGAAAAATTCACGATTAGCTAATGTAAATTCTGTAAATGACCGGCGAGCCGGAGAACCCCGGGTCTCAACTGCAGGCAGGTTCGGGCGCGTCTATGAAGTCACAACGGGGATGTGAAGTCCTGCGGTCAGCGGCAGTTGGCAGCCGCCCTAATGATGTCTCTGTGGTGCGAGTTTTGAGTCTGCGGCCCCAGTAGAACAGATGCTATTGTACAGTACATTTAATTGCATTTAGTTCACACATCTTTCTACAATCATACAAAAGATTCCAATTGTTTTTGAGGAGGAAAATGCATTGGAGAGCAAACAGGTGGCTGAGGACGCGTGGCGGCGCTGTTGGGGCGCCGCGAATGTGCGTGACGACGTTGTAAAGCGCCCATAAAGTGCGGGACGCAAGATTTACAGAGGCGCGGGAAATTTACAAAATTTACGCGGTAAATTCTGTAAATTTCTCGCGGCATCCAACTTTATGCACTTTACAGCACTTTACGGTTCGTTTAATCAGGGCCAGGCGCGAACTCAACCGACGCACGCCCGCCCACAACCCCTGCCGTTTCGATCGCCGGGATTTCGCCCGATCGGGAAGCGCGATCGAGATCACGTGACTTCTCGCAGAGGCGAGGCGTAAATTTCTCGACATAAGTCTATCTCACAGTGCCGCGTCACATATGCCGCGTCACAGGCGCGTCACGACCGCGGCAAGTCGCGGCAGGACCGCGTCAATTTCACCTGGCCCCATGCGATCCACTGCCACACCGCGTTGTCACGCATCTTCGAAATCAAAGCGTAAATTTTTTATAACCAAGTCTGTTATCACTACAGATACTCATGCACATTGCACACCAGTGCTAATCTCGCCTCCCCTAGTTCAGACCGCGCCTTTGCTGGAAGTTGCGACTTCGTGACCACGGGACCGCACGCGTTCGATTTCCGAGTCTCACTCGCGCGCTACTATCTTACTGCCTATTGTTCTAATTTTTCCAACATGTCTCATTCACGAAAGCGAGTGACATCAGCGACTTAAGCGACTTGAGCGAGACTACCAGCGAACCTGAATCCGTCATCAGCTTCAACGAGAACGTATACCTCAACATGCAAAACGCTGCCGTATCTACTGCGACCTACGTGGGACAGGCTCGACAAACAATAGAGCAGCTGGCGACGAATCGACACAGGTGGATCGCAACTCCACCAAGCGTGCACGACGTTGACGCATCTAGGGTTCTAGACGCGATGCTGAGGAATGCTCATGGGACCGGTGGCGAAAGCTCCGAGCGTTATACTGCCTGTGCTATTTGCGCATGTCCTGAGATCCACGAGCAAGTCAATCTCGCGAGAACTTGGTTCATGTATCTGCTCTGGCCATGTAAGTTAGAACTTCGAGATGTCTGCCACAGACACTAACACAATTTTCACTGGTAGTCACAGCCGGAGCCCACCAATCAGCAGACTTGATTTCTAGTCAGGTTACACCGACTATTGACGACACCTATGGCAGTATTAGTCCGGAACGGAGTAGCAGATTTAGGACTTATGTGCGTCCTACCAGTTAGAAAGCGGCTTTGGCGTTAACTTCCAACAGGTTAATCGACGGGACGGTTATAGATGTGTTGTTTCAGGTTTATGGGATGGACCACATGTTCCCGCTAGTGCTCATCAGGGTTATGTAACCTTGATAGGAGCGCACATCTTGAAACGGGCTGTTGGGGTTTTCACCATGGACCGGGTAAGGATTTCTCTGCTAGGTTATCATTGATTCTGACTTCAAGTTGGGTTATGCAGGCACATACCGCGGCTGCAACGTGGAGTATCATTCGACATTACTCAGGAATGTCCGAAGAAACTATTAAAAACATGGAAAGGCTTGTAGACGACCCTTCCAATGGCATGATGCTTGAAGGCAATATCCACCATAATTTTGACAACCTAAAAATATACCTAGAGCAGACGGAGGTGAGCCTGCGGTCTTGCATCCTCGTAATGCCTCACATTGATCAGCGCTCCAGCGAGCAAACGAGTATGTAGTCAGGGAGGTTGGGGGCAGGGCGTGGATGCACCCTCGCAAGCTCCTCGGTAAAACCATCACCTGCAGGAATCACGATGCCCCTACACGAGACTTGCCATTACCTAACCCTCATTTCATCGCACTACACGCAGGCATCTCCCGAATTTTGCATATGAGCGGTGCATCTGAGGTATTCGCACAGATCTTGGACAAATATGATGAGGCAGCAGGAGGCAATATCGGAAGCCTGAAAAGCAATGGAGATCCGGTGCATCAACTGTCTTCAATGATGTCTGCCCTGTTTATAGGCGCTTCATTGATGACATAGTGTCTCGCAATTAGTCCAGCCAATTGATAACGGGCGCTTCAAAACACATGTTCAGCAGCTGCCTGTTCACCTGCATACCATCCATCACCCACCGTACGTAACAGAAATCTCTTGCGAATCGCACTCAACCATCCCTACAACTCGATGAGTGAAGACAATCATTCTTGGAAGAAGCGTCCTGTATTACTGAAGCGAACCCTCATCTGGCGGAGAAGAAAGGGCAGCTAGTGATGTATTGACTTGTCATTACAGCTACACTGTTGTTTCTAATCATGATTATAGCCGTCCTCTCCTCCCCCTTCGAGGAATGGATCTCCCAGGGGATCATCGAGATTGCTCTCAGGTCAGAAACCAGGTCTTGGGTAGATATCTCGCACCTGAGCATATAAGATCATTTCGTTGCAGTATTTTACTTTACGCCAACAGATTTCACGGGGAGCAACATGGCAAAAGCCAGACATTTTTCCTCGTTGAGTGCAATAGGACGGCGAATGTCTTTAGTATCGTCGTCATCGCCCAAAGCTCGACCCACTTGCGAGAGTGTTACCGTAGGTTTGCGAAGCTGTAGACAAGTTCTCCTCTGGGACGACACTCGAAAATATTTGACAGTGTGCCAATCATTGCTGGGTAGGGGTATGCACCCCCCAGCCATAGTATGGGTTAAGTCCTCGATATGCTGACAATGGACATTATTGTGCGCAAGAGACCTACAGTGGCGTAACTAAGGGCAGCGCGGTATCTCTATGAATGATTAATGGCGTGCTGAGTAGGTACACAGCACACAATGATCAAAAAACGAATCCACCATGGGGGGTTCTCGACGACGACAGTGGGACACGACAGAGCGCCTGCTGCGCCCGTCGTGGCATCAGCAGGTGTAGCAGGTATTGTGAATGTCGACTGGGCTGGACAGTGTGGCCGCCGTGCTGGTTTCGCCTCGTCTCATTCAAGTCGCCGAGCAACAAAAAATGCCTGCACAGAAATCATCGAACTTCGGTGATCGTAAACACACCGCAAGAAAGCATACCTGCTTGTCCCGTACTGCAGCAACTTCAACGAGGCCAGGACCTCGATAAGGGAAGATAATTGGCCTTGGACGCGTTGCTTGAGTTCGGTCGCTTAATGAGTCCTGATTTGCGCTCTGGGAGAGCTGAACGAAGGCTCCTAGCGACAGCGAAGAGCCTCTTGAGGAGCATGGGCTCTGCCAGGCCCGTGGCGGGGAAGAATTGTAATACTGTAGCGAATGGTGTGAGTGCGAAATGAAGCATACGCTGGTGCAGGTGCATCATGTATCTTGCGTGCCGTCATCTTTATCTTGGCTGGGGATCTGTCGGAAATCCCCAGGGGTGCCTTGGAAGCATTCTATATTGGGACACAATTGGTGTGCCTGCCAACTGCATTGCGACCGAATTCCCAGGGGGCGTGACTTAATTTGAGGCACTTGCAAGCAAGGCACATGCTAATTTTGGATTCCAAGCAGTGGTGTGATTCGACGTTGACAAGTCTAAGTAATAATAAGGTAATCAATCAATCCTCGGCTTCACCTCCTCCCATCATCGTGTCTTCAGCTGCCTTTCTGTATATCTGTGTACTGCTAGATGGCCCCAAACAGAAACGCAGACCCGGGGCGTAAATATCTTGCTTCAACATCGACCAATAACCAAGTTGATTGTCAATACTGTACCAGGTCATTCGCAGCACGTGGGATCAAATCTCATGAACAGAGTTGTTTGAGAAGACGGGATAAGAAGAATGCTAATAAAGATTTCGCAGCACTTGCAGTGCATGCAGTAGAGGAGGAGCTTCAAAGGAAAGGTACGTGGTCATTGATCAATTTAAGTACTCATTAATAATATTGATACCTTATCGCATGATTGTTAGAGGCGCGTCGAGAGAAACAGCGGAATCGTAGGAAGCTGCAGCAGACAACAGCTTCTGCTGCTGCTGCTGCTGTGTTGGTCCCTTCGGGATCGGCCCTGGATGACGCAGAGTCCTTGCCCGCTCAAGATCAGCAACCTGAAGATTTTACTGCGCATCCATGGTCTGAAGGTGGTTCAGATCTCATCGATATGAGCGTCAGTGGAGATGCACGCCAACGTATGTGCTACTCTGACTCTTGATGCGCCCCCCTCTAAGACCATCCAGGTTCGGCATCAGATACAAGCATGGGCACCGCGCCTATTCCAAATACCCTGTCATCACTCCCAACTATGCCTTCGGCTCGCTCCAATCTCGACACCTTCAAGACAGAGTACCACCCGCACAGTGGCCGCGTGACTTCTGTGGAGACGTTCTCCACTTTTGGACACAAAGAGCCTTCACAGCTGCCCGTCATTGACGAACAACCCTGGCAACCCTTCGCTTGTCGCGCGGATTTCGAGTTCGCCGAGCTCACACATGGCGCTGCTTTGAACAAGAATCAGACAGATGAGCTCTTGCGGCTCATCTGGAGGATTGCGGACGGCCAAACGAACTTCACCTTCAAGTCGCATGGAGATGTTTCCAAAGCCTGGGATAGGGCAGCCGCTCAAATGACACCAGTGAGAGAATCACAAGATGTTCTTACTTTGCAGTCATATTGGTTGCCTTAGTTCGAGAAACATACCATCACCGTTCAGCACAAGCGAGAGGAGCTCGAGTACAACATGTATACGCGGCCATTGTGGGATTGGGCGCTGGACTTACTACAGGACCCTTTACTGATGCCCCATTTCGTTTGGGATGCGCAGCGATTATACAAGCATGACGGTACACGCTATGAGCGCTTTGTACACGAACCTTGGACTGCAGATAGGTGGTGGAATGTACAAGTATGCCATGTCTTACTACTATTGTTCACTTGTATCTAAGTAACGCCGTTTTCCGTATGTTTGAATCACAGTCATCTTTGCCCGAAAACGGCGTGCCGTTTGCGTTTATATTATACGCAGATAAAACACATCTCTCCTCTGCTGGCACAGTTAAGGCATACCCGGTGTTCGCTCGATGCGGAAACTTGCCCGTTGGTATCAGAAATACTGATGGGCTCGGTGGTGGGCGAATGGTTGGGTGGCTACCAATAGTGAGTTATAGTGAATCTTAGTTCCGTCGAGTTTCACTGGCGAAACAATTCTTTCGCGCAGGTTCCTGATGACTCTGAGGAGGACGGCAAGCTCACGTATGTCAATCTCAAACGGGTTGTATGGCACAAGTCATTCTTCAAGCTACTCGAAACTATTATAATGTATGCCCAGATGGGGTATGCGTATGTGTGCTATGATGGCATCATGAGGTGGCTATATGCGTTCATTCTGCTGTTATCAGCTGACTATGAAGAGCAGTACTTCATTTCGTACTAATTTCTGATGTTGTTTTCTGATTTAATCTCTCAACAGATGTGTTATGGCGCTTATACGAGGGACCAACTGTCACTGCCCGTGCCCTATCTGTCTTGTCCCTTCGGACAAGCTATACGACAACGCTTCCACTTACCCGATTCGATCATCCGACGATGCAAAGGCTTTCGTGGAGTTATGGACCAGGGACCGTGCGGCTGGAGAAAAGGCACTCAAAGAACAGGGCCTGCGGCCTGTTACGGTCAGTGCTTCCAATTAAATGTACTACTAACAGTCACATCTAACTCATTACATTATAGAACGTCTTTTGGAGTGTCCCAAATTCCGATCCTCAAGACACGATTTCACAGGACCATTTGCACGTCTATCACATGGGCCAATGGAAACATTTGTTTGGTGAACTCAAACGGCGCATCGCGGCCCTTGGACGCAGCGCTGAGAAACAAATGGATGACCAGTGGGTTTTTAATCATTTATTATCTCACTCCGCACTATCAGACTAATCCTATTTATCAATTGCTCACAGATTCGATGCCTTCCCGCGATGGCGCAATTTAAACCACTTCGATCGGGTTACTAACATCACATATAGCGATGGCAACAAGCTTCGCGATATTTCCAAGGTATGCCGTGACTTTACAGCTATCAGTTCTTCGTATTGATGAAGTCGCTCCTCTGATAGCAAGTATTGTACGCCGCCCAGAACATACTTACGCACACAGAGGATGAAGCCGGCTATGTGCTACTGCAGTGCATAGCAAGCTACTTACATATCGACATGTATATTTCACTTGAGGTCCAAACCGAAAGCACAATTGCTGCAGGGAGGGCTGAGGTATTTGAGTTTCAGAACCGCTTAGAGGTATGTGCCACTGCGATTCTGAGACTAGTTCACATATACTAACTATTTATTCACTATCTCAGGAGTACATCAAAATTGTCAAAGAGACCGATCCTGACACGATCAAAAACTGGAACTTTCCTAAGATTCATTCCGGAAAGCACATATTCGATGACATCATGGCGAAAGGCACCGCCCGCAACTTCAGTACTCGACCCAATGAAAAGCAACACGGGCCAATCAAAAAGTGGTATCTATGGCAGACCAATCGTAAGAATATCGCTGATCAGGTATGTTAATTGGCATTTCTAACTTCCAAATGAGTCGCTCCACACCACTGACTCTGTAATATTAACTAATAGATCCTTGAGCTCGACCATAGGAGTGTTGTCTCCGAATTCGTTCGTAGCCGTATCGAGTACCTTGATGAGGAACGACGCAAAGCCCTGCTCTCGCGGGATGAACTCGAGGATACGGATGAGGATGATGACGAGCTGTTTGAAGAACATCTTCATATTGGTTCACCCCTCAAGAATCATACAAGCTTTGCGCAAGTGGAGGAAGAAAACAAGTCATCGCGCGCCTTTCACCAGTTCCGGAAGAAGCTCGCAACATTTCTCAATCACTTCCTTCCCTCCCACAACATACCATTGCCAGATGGAACAACATGGTTGAAACTTAGAGCACATGACCAGGTGATTATCTTTCCTCGCTGTTATTCAAATCTAACTTTGTGTGTATCAACAGATCCATGAACATCGTTACTTAAAAGTGCACTATGAGTCTGCCGCTGACTGGAAGTTGGCTACCGACTACCTGCGATGCAATCCAAGCTTCCATGGCAAAGAACGGCGCGACTACGCCCTAATACGCACACAGGACAAGGATGGCCACGACAAAAATATCTTTGTGCAGATATTATACATGTTCAAGCACACTGTCGGTAGCAACACTTTAGATCTTGCGCTGGTCCTACCCATGGATGCCTTAATTGGCCCATTGGCACGTCGGCGTATGGATAGGGAACTACGACTAACTCGACTCCGTGCACAGCCCACCTCTTCGTCTGAGTTTATCACCCTTCATTCCATCATTCGTGGTGCCTTGGTCGTCCCCGATTTCGCTAACAAGGGAGATTATTTTCTTGTTGATTATGTTGATACCGACATGTTTCTTCGTACCAGACGTTTGCTACAGTAGTACCGGTTCATCACCCACCTGTTTCCTTGCGCCATCCAATGCCCCCCTCCCCATCAAGATCTCAAGTAAAACTCCCGCATTTCATCGTGTACACCCTCCATCACCCTCCTCATCTAACCGCCAAGTCAAGTTCCCGCATTTCATCGCATATGCCCTTCCCCACACCAACCTGCACTCACCCTCAAATTCTCAAGTCAAGCTCCCGCATTTCATCGCATATGCCCTTCCCCACACCACCCTGCACTCACCCTCAAATCCTCAAGTCAAGCTCCCGCATTTCATCGCATATGCCCTTCCCCACACCACCCTGCACTCACCCTCCAATTATCAAGTCAAGCTCCCGCATTTCATGGTATATACCCTTTCCTGCACCAACCTGCACTCACCCTCCAATTCCCAAGTCAAGCTCCCGCATTTCATCGCATATACCCTTCCCCACAACAAACTGCACTCACCCTCCAATTCCCAAGTCAAGCTCCCGCATTTCATCGCATATGCCCTTCCCCGCACTGACCTGCACTCGCCTCAATTCCCAAGTCAAGCTCCCGCATTTCATCGCATATGCCCTTCCCCGCACTGACCTGCACTCGCCTCAATTCCCAAGTCAAGCTCCTGCATTTCATCGCATATGCCCTTCCCCGCACTGACCTGCACTCGCCTCAATTCCCAAGTCAAGCTCCCGCATTTCATCGCATATACCCTTCCCCACACCAACCTGCACTCGCCCTCAAATTCCCAAGTGAAACTCCCACATCTCATCACATATGCCCTTCCCCGCACTGACCTGCACTCGCCTCAATTCCCAAGTCAAGCTCCCACATTTCATCGCATATACCCTTCCCCACACCAACCTGCACTCGCCCTCAAATTCCCAAGTGAAACTCCCGCATCTCATCGCATATGCCCTTCCCCGCACCGACCTGCGCTCACCCTCAAATTCCCAAGCGAAACTCCCGCATTTCATTGCATATGCCCTCCATCACCCTCCTCGTCTAACTCCCAGGTGAAGCTCCCACATTTCTTCACAAACACCCTCAGAACTTGACACTGACTCGTTTTGCAGGTCTGTTCTTGCTGCCTCATGTTGATGCTCGGGTACCTTCAGCACTGTCAATGATTCATTTCCGCTTTCTGCATGGGGACTGTAACACGCAATGCTTGTATTATGTATTCAGGTAAGCCGCAAAATATCATCACACAGGGTATCATTGGCATAACTGATATTATGTATCTGAATCAGTCCTGCAACATGTCAATGACGCACCGCACTATGATGTGCATGCCTGATGTGATGAGTCTCCATTTAATTTGTGCATGTGATGTTGATGCTGATGCTGTTGCCTTATTACATCAACCGATGGGTCTTATTCTGACACGATCTAGACGACGCTGCAGTCTGAATTAAACAAGTCTAAGGTGTGTGTTTTTATCTAATAGAACAATGTCACGCATTACAGTCAACGTTGCGACGGCCCCCATAACGCATGTCAATGCGAGAGTTGATTTAAAGCTTGTGCGACTGACTGAGACTCCAGTCTGCCATTCTTCGACTCTGCCTCACTGCGCTCTCTGCTAATACTGAGACTGATATTATGCGTCCAATTCAGCAAGGCGAAGACTTTACGCGAGAAATTGAAGACATCAACAGCAACTCCAGTGACACAGACGGATCTGATGGTGATGATTCAGATTCAAATGACGATGCAGACTTATTGCGGATTCGCGATGCAATTGTCGCCCCTGCTGCTAACGCATCAACTCAAGATCTTTGCAAAGTAAGTTAATTCCGTCTTTTCGTTACATACGGACAAATGTTTGTGATAGTGATCATTGACATATCTACTATAGGCACTTGAACTTGCGCAAAGACTTCTTCTGGACATGCGCGGGAAGTACCGAGAGGCTTTGAAGAAGAAGCTTTGCTTGAGGCAACAGTTTCAAAAGGTCGGAAGACGAAACTAACCAAGAATGACCTTGCCCTCGCCGCCAAGGAAGACAGCATCAGAAATCTTGGACGCAAGTTCTCTGTCACGCACTGCTTATGGGTCGAAACGTCTATCTTCCCTTTGCGTGGGCCACCTCCCAGAATCGACCTCTCGACCAAGGAGCGGTGGCTCTCACCGTTATCGATTCAGGATGGCGTTAAAGCCGAAATTTTCCAATTCATTCCCCCAGTCGACCACAATATGATGGCTCACAAAAACTTTGGCTCCCATGTATGTGCCATAATCTGAGACCCTCCTCAATCAACTGACCGTCTTTCCAGTTTGTGAAAGGTGTCAATAATGTTCGCGCTGAAATGCTCTCAGACATCAAGTCATGTGCAGCAGCGATTTTCAGTCTGGATGCCAAGTTCTTCATAAGAGGTTATGCACGGGACACAGAGCCAGCTTGCCGAACTCTGCTCCTCAACCCCCAAGGCATATATACCAAGTTTGCTCCAGTTCTTTTCCCGTGTCCAGACCGTCTTGCCAGAGATGATTTTCTGAAAACATCGAAGCTTGTTTATGTAGGTTCTTCCCTTCCTTTAATTCCGCTAAACTGAATCACATTCATAGGTCTTGAAAGCATCCCTTTTTGGCTGATCTTCACTCGCTGCCAACGCAGTCCCCACTCCAAAAACGAAGGCCAAAATATGGGAGTTACGCGCTGTAACACCTGGCCTCATCACAGCAGCAGCCGTTATTGTACGCTTCTTCTTCTTACACTGCGGAACATTGATATTTACGCGTTTCAGGCTATATTTGTCCTATCCGGCGACAAAGAGTTGGTTGAAGTCGGCGACAAATCCCGGATTCCATACAAAGACTACCATAACTACTACCGACAATCGCTGCTAACCGGAGGTGCCTGGGCAAACGGGGTCTTCACGTTTTTCAACAACGCGCTGTTTGCGACATCTCATTCTGCCTCAACTATCCTCGGTTCAGACCCCTCACACGACTCGAGCGGTCCACAGGACAGCTGGGAAGAAATGTTTGAGCACGCCATGGAAACCGGAGGCGAACTACCAGAACTAGATGCAGTTGGCCCTGTCATCGATTCAGAGGCGCCCACCACACCTCCTGCTGCACCTCCTGCTGCACCCCCCGCTGCACCTCCCGCTGCACCTCCTGCCACACCTCCTGCTGCACCTCCTGCTGTACCCGGTCCCCAATCAATCTCTGCCGCCATGCAAGGTTTAGCTTTAGCTGAGGACGGTCGTCGAGACCCACCACCTGCAGCGCAGCCGGTACTTGATGAGGACGAGCTAGAACCACCTGCTGTCCAGAAGCCGAAGCCAAGGCCAAAGCCAAAGCGGAAGGGCAAGGCCGCCAATGATACTAATACTACTACCAGTGCTGACCCAGAGGATCAAGCTCCTGGAAAGGAACCTGAGGTTTTGTTGTCAGTAGTCAGTGGCAGTGGTGTGCGAAGGGGCCGATCAAGGATCACTAAGTAGACTGTCTTCATCCTGTGCTCAATGATTGTTATTACCTGTAATTCAATACCTGGACAATCCCTTACTTTCAAATAGAATTGTCTGCTGGTTAAATTTTCACGCAATGCATCATCTTAAATCCATTGATTGTGACATTAGCTAGACATGCAACTACAATACAACTAAGTAGAGATTTTGAATGCGAATCAACAGAGCGACGTCGACTCGGACAAGAATTCAGCCATCTGAATCAATCATTGTCTGCTATGTCTATGTTGACGCCATTAATTCAATATGTAATGATTTATAATAATAATTAAACAGTACCAAACAATAACCGAACTTGGAATGTTTTGGAATCACTCTCATTCACTTACATTCCGACTACCATGTCCCAATGGATTCCCTTCGCCACTGTCACTCCGCAATCTTCTCAACAGAATGGTGCATTGCCCCCAATGCCTTCGACATCACAACCTATTCCACCTGCGCAGCCGACGAATTTCCCTGAAGCAACATGTATCAGTGGAAGCGCTGGCAGCCGCGAGCTCTGGTATGTCTGCCCCATTTCCCTCTGTCTGACCCATCTGAATCCAACCCCCCTGCAGGAATTCGGTGTCGACATTATCGGTGAAGACAACAAGACCACCATCCACCACAAAGTCGCTGCCCACGTAGAGGCCATCCCAACATCCGCCTCTCTTCCTCCCAACATCCAGGCGAACTCCAGAAGAGCCATGACACTGGCGCAGAACTGCACTCCCTGAGCTCTTCAATGAATGACATTCACGACACGCTCAGTGGCTTGGTGTAAGTGGTCTGTCCCCGCCACTCTCTTTATTCCTACATACTGACTATCCCCCTTCCCCATAGCCCAAAACCTACCACACTTCCCCCAATTGCTCCCTCCCATGTGTTCACAACAAGCCTCGACCACCTCTGCACCCACGCCCGCATCTGCCGCGCCCGCAAACCCAGAACCCCTGCACCTCCTCCCATGCGTTCACAACAAGCCTCGACCACCTCTGCACCCACACCCGCATCTGCCGCGCCCGCAAACCCAGAACCCCTGCACCTCCTCCCATGCATTCACAACAAGCCTCGACCACCTCTGCACACACCCGCATCTGTCGCACCCGCAAACCCAGAACCCCTGCACCTCCCCCAGAGCACCCTGGCCTTTCTCCTTCGAGCTCGAGTCATGCTGACTCAAGTCGTTGCCCACTCTTCGCAGTATGTGAGTGTCTTGATCCTCCTTTGAGCTCGAGCTATGCTGATCCATGTCGTTGCCCACTCTTCGCAGGATGTGAGTGTCTTGATCATCCTTTGAGCTGCGCTCAGAGCTACATGAGACCCAAACCAGCCTCGCAAGCCACATCGACAAGGTCCGCGCCCAGCTCCGTTTCGTTTCGTTTGACGGAACGGTTTGCTGATGCGGCTGATGTATTTAGGATTCGCATTTACAATACGCGGGTATTGAGTCTATAATGTTGCAATACCTATTTACAGTAGCGATTGTATTATGTATTTGGATAGTATTGCAATTTAAAAAAATTTATTTCAAGCACACGCAATGATTTTAAGGCCTTGGATAGTATTGCAATTAAAAAAAATTGATTTCAACCACACGCAATGATTTTAAGGCCTTGGAAGGACATGTGACTGATATTTGACTTGCAATTTGCTCTTAAATTGGAATGGTCTTGGGACCACCTTGGAAGCCCCCTGGTGTCGCTTTCAAGCGGCTTCCAAAATTTTCTGGTTGCCTTCCAAGCGAGTTGTAATGCCGCCGGCAAATTGAGGGCTTCCAATTCATTTTAAGGACCGCCAACCAAAAATAGAAATCTCCGACATCTCTCCTGGATGGCCGTCAACAAGTATATGAAGTGGAGTACATACGGTCATCGTGCGACAATGCGGGAACATGAGTAAAGGAATTTGGGAGGTAGAAATGAGGCATACGGTCAGGAGGACGAGTCTGCAAATGGCCGGTCTCAGTACGGCTTGCGGAGTTTGAAGTTCACCTTGGGCCTTAGGAAATTGCCGCATCTGTGCCGCACCCTGCTGCACCCTACTCAATAATGTCTTATATGCCTCTACAATACGTCTACGTCGTACACAACTGTCTGAAATATGATTTGGGAATGGGTAATACTATATTCCAGGTGTTTGTGTAAGGCTAACAGTGGTACTACAGTGATATATGTACTTGATGGGTGCGGCAGTGATGCGGTAGGGTGCGGTAGTGATGCGGCACGGTGCGGCAATTCTGTTGTTGGGTGCGGCAGTGGCTGTGCACTACCGCACCACTGCACCGACACCAAACCACCCTTCTTATCAAGTCCACTTGCAGCACCGTTATGAGCAGCTGCGCGAAACTTGGTGAGACCACTCAACGACCCCTCACACAGGCTCACGCCTGTCAGGTTTGGCGCCTCGATGCCTCCGCCTATCATTCAACACCTGTCTTTGCTGGTTGCATGCCTTGCTGACTTCGCTGTCACACATCTCCTCGACCACATTCTGCAGCAACATGTGCAACATTCCCTCCAAGGCCTTCGCATACAATAGACCACCAGCAACCCACGTTCCTTCGCCATGTTCGCAAACTCTTTCATTTCGATCCTAGCACAAACGCAGTTCGACATGGCCAGCCTCGCGATCCATGGGATGTTTGTCTCTTTATCTCATTTCTTTCATAGTTTACTCACGCATTTCCCACAGTTCCCTGCTACGTCGGCCCTGCCTCCCACCCACTCGACTTCAGCGCAGGCCCCAACTCAGTTCGATCATGTTTGTCTTCATTTTGAATCAACTCGCAATGCATCACTAAGTCCTGTCTAGTTTGAAATAAGTTCTCCGCCCCCGCTCGAACAGAGTCACGCAGTTCCTGCGACAGGGCCTTTCCTTCCATAGGTCCAGATCCAGCCATGAGCCACAAGTTGTTGAAGTCGCAGCAGGCCGGAAAGTCACTGTAACCCAGTCTTCTTAATTTTCGTCACATTTTTGCTGATGTGTATCCTACAGCGACTCGTTGCAGCCAAACTACCAGAATACAGAAAAGTCGACGATACACGGCATCCTTCTAGCCAACAGCCTGGGGTGCCCCAGGACATCGAATCATCTGACAATGATTCGCTCCCAGACGTGCATTGGTGCAAGGCGTTCCTTTGCTATTGTTCGTGCTGGTCTCATGGCAGACCGAGGATGCCTCCTCGATGGCGCTTGGAGCGTGTTGACATCCCCCGTCAGGAAGGCGCGACAATTAGCAGCCGTGCTGCGGCTCACGGTAGCAGTTAGCATAATGTTACAAGATGTATTCGACTTGGTTGAATTCCCCGCCAACTGATGATTCAAACTTCTTTCTGCACATTTTGTTTCGTATTACAAAGTGACATGTAGCCACTATGACGGTGCATGATTCACACATCCCAGGGTGAGACAGTCTGGATGATGGTGTCTCATATATACACGGATATACTAAGACTCACCTTGATTGGAAGCTGCCGCACCCAGTACCGCATCCGTGCCGCAACATGCTCAAAATTGTTCTCTAAATTCAGACTCTCAAATGCATTAGTGTGAAGTGGATAGTTAAGGAGTCGGACGAGAAACACTCCTAGTTCATTTATTTAATGCACGAGAACAGCGCAGGCCGAAAATAAGTGCAGTACTTATGATTTGGTATGGGTGCAACAGTGGTGCGTTTTGGTGCGGCAAGTTGCGGCAGTGATGCGGCAATTTACCTGAGCCCGTTCACCTTTCATCCTACTAGTAGCATGAGCATCATAGGCGACCTTTATGCTGCACAGCTTCAAACTTCAGCGAGTGGCCTGAGGTGGCAGGCGAAGGCGTTCATTCAACAACTTGAAACCTACTCTCACCACGCGGACCCACATGATGCTACCCAACTTGACGCTGAAGGCGAGGATGCACAAAAAACCACGGGTAAGAAGTCACATATCTAAATTTCACTTCCGTATATGTGACTTGACATAGAATGGCCCAAATGCTAAGAAACTCTCTTCTGAAACCCAAGAGTCGCAGGACGACAATATCATTAACGGGAGCCAACTGCTGGGCGCCACTATAGCGGCCATTAACGTTACAAAAGACCTCGTTCCTATCGATCTAGCGAAAGTTATCCTCGGAACTGTTGCTAATATCTTGATTATTGCACAGGTGAGTCGGTGTAACTCTTGGAATTCTTTTGCGAAGAATCCTTAGGACTCTACAGTCAGTCATCAAGAACCAGTCTGATTTTCAGGCGGTAGTCGACCAGTGCGAGAATATCAGGCAAATACTTGAAAGTGCAGCCAAGGATGCTACCAGTGACGATCTGCAAGGATACTTGGGACATGCTTTATCTCAGCTTGACAAGTTAGCCAAACCGATTTTACTGTGGCTAGACACTGATGACATCCTGCAGAGCAGTAAACCGTATTTACAGTGAAGTAGCATCGAAGAAGGAGCAAGGATTTTTGCATAGACTCTTATCTGTCACAAGCGATCGTGACCGGATTGTTAGATGGGAAAAAGACCTAGATCGTGTCATCCCCCTGTTCAACGTAGGTTCTGGAACTCCCTAAGGACTTCCGCCGTTGAATGACGTCTCAAGGCTCAAATGCTAGTTGGTATCACGATTGGAGTGAACATGCGGACTTCGGGACTCGAGGGCAATGAAAATGTGCAAAGGTAAGTTGTCATTCGTCATCCACTATCGCGTCGAACAGCGCCAGCGGAAGAAGTACGCCCCCGGGCTGGTGCCGTCCGTGGTTGTTTCAAGTACTCGCTGAGATATACTACTTCCGACGATTCGAACAGTCAGTTGGATTACTGGACGTATGTTCGAACTTCTTGAAGAGCCTACGCAACGTGGTATTTACTAATGTTCCCGGATCCTGTAGCTGTCGTGCATAGGATACTATCCTCGCCATCCAGCATGTGTGTTATGACTTCAAGCTGGTAGTCATAAGTGTTGTTGGTCTCTTGAAGTAATTTTGCCAACTCGTTAACTCTACAATGGACCTAGCAATGGGCATTAGCAGCAATTGGCGCCAGATTTCCACCAACCTGAGTACTAGTATTAGTACCACTGTCACCTGTCGGCATTTCAAAACGTTGAGACTGGATGCCACTACTGGTATTTGCGAAGAACGATTTTCATTCACTTGCCTGCGCTTGTTTGCAACAAGGTGAGCAGTTCAGCCAAGTCGAAGAGCTGAGTACTGAATATTGAATACTTAGATTGAACAGCCTACTTAATACTTAATAGCTCGGCTGCTCTGGCTCTGCGAAGATTGAACCCTCGGATGAGTCCGCACTCATTCAAAGATTCCCCCGTATTCACACAGGTGTCATAGAAATATCCCTGCAGGAGATCACTTGACTTCGGACTTATCCTCAAGGTGTGCTTTGAGCGGTCCGTCTTTATTTTGAATGTTACGGTGACGAGCACCTGGCTCCCCGCTCGTACGAAGACAATGGTGCGCGACGACCGCGGTGCTGTTATCACCCTGAGTGCGTCTACTACAATGTCTTACTCCCATCAGATGACACGTGAGGACCCAGCACGAAACATCGTGGCCCTGCAGTCCATTGCAGCCCTCTGCAGCAGCTCAGAAACTCAGACTTAATTGTGGCTGAAGGCACGATTCCTTGTGCGTCCTGCCAGATTGTTCCGCCTCCAAATCGGTGCAGAGAACGCCTTTTGTGTCCCTCGTTTCGTTACTTCGAGGCCATGTGAGCCGGAAACTTGCGGCCCGTACCTCTGGTCTTCCCAAGTCGGCGACAAGAATGTTTATAAGTACGGCTATTCTGCGTCTTCTTCGTCCTCATCCATACAACTGACGGTCATGCGACAGCCTAGGACAATCCTCCGTAACCGAATGACTGTTTTAATCGGCCATCCGTTAAATGCCGACAAACCTGCGATTGTGTTCTGTTGAACAATAAAAGCTTCATAGGCAACAAGGGTGACTTTTGAGCCCCACTTGCCGTGGACCCTCTGTAACCTGTGGCATTCTAGCTCACATTAGAGTGCGACAACGATCGTCCCCAAAAACAAGAAACGGGTCTTAATCAAAGATGACAGCATCAACAACGGGTGCGATTTTGGCTGTTGCTCTTGCTTTTGTGTCATGCGCGAAAGCCTCGGCTAGTAACTCTAACCTTACCATGCCTCCTGGAGCAGTGGTGTGTCGAGGATCGTGATTCTGCAGTGCTATACCTAACATCTCGCAGTACATTAATCCTCTGATGTACAATGTTGTAGGAGCAAACTACACGGAATGGCGCAACTTGTCCACTGTTGGATTTAACCCCACTACCACTGCACCCCCATTCATTCAAGTCTTTGACCCTTCGTTCCTCGAGGTCACCGGACCATCGGCAACGATCCGCTCAATTACTTCTAATCCTGGATTTGCTTTTGCCCATGAAGCACCCATCTACGTTCCAGACCTCAACGTAGTCTTTTTTTCAAGCAACGATGGTGGTCCACTCGGGTACAACGGTTGGTATAACAACAGCGTTGTTAGCATGATCAACATGACAGAAGTCGACATGGCGCTGGCCTCCACAACCGGAGATGTCAACATACCAATTCAAACGGTGTGTGTGTTCTGCTCAGTTAGGTACATATTATTGATCTCGACTGGCAGCTCAACCTTCCGGACACTGTTCAAATGGTAAACGGCGGGACAGGTCCATACAAGGGAGACCTTCTATTCGTCACCTCGGGTCGCGCTTTGCTTCCTTCTTCTATCGTGCGCGTCAATCCTAGCCCTCCCTACAATGCGACTGTTCTTCTGGACAACTTCTTAGGCAGACAGTTCAACTCGCTCAATGATATCAAAATTCTCCCTGGCACGGACATCATGTTCTTCACTGATACTACGTGAGCAATTGATGTGATCATCGTGTCTACAATGTTAATAGGACCTTGGCTTCTTTAGCTCCGGGTGGCTTCACGGTTTCCGTCCTGAACCAATGCTACCATTACAAGTTTACCGCTTTGATCCATCCACTGGGCAGGTCAGAGTTGTCGCTGACCAGTTTGTACATCCTAATGGTATCGCATTCACCCACGATGGAAAAAGTGCATTTGTGTAAGTTTTCAGTAGTTGCATCGCCTTTCGGTCCACAGATAAGGTTAAAATAACGTATTAGCACAGACACTGGCATCTCTGGAGGCTTCCTCGGAACGAATCAAACATTCCCGGCCACGATGTGAGTTATTCACATCGATCATGATTGCAACAACATTCTGAAGCAAAACGTATAGCTACCAGTTCGATGTTGATCCACAGACGCAGTCGTTCACGAACCGCAGAGTGTTCGCCTACTCTGACTCCGGTGCACCGGATGGCATTCAGCTTGACACAATGGGAAACGTTTATTCAGGTTGCGGAGAGGGCACCCACGTCTGGAACGCCGAGGGGACGCTCATTGGGAAGTTCTATCTTAACAGCACCACGGCTGAGATGATCTTCACAAAGTCTGGTCTCGTTATTTTGGATGAGGAGACGATATATCTAGCAAACATCCAAGCTCAGGGATTGAATCTTGCTACATTGTAGATGCGCTGCGCAATCGCCCTAGGTCATGTTACATGTAAATATCTAAATCCATCGTGGCACTTCCATGCAACCACCAGACAATAAGAATCAGGTACATGAACTCCACAGACTCATCAGCAAACTAGAAGTTTCCCCACAGACAATATTTGCGATGTGGTATACGTATGCCTAGATCAGTTGCATCAGTTGAGATCCTGATGTCACACATAAATAGACGCTGGTGTGTTATCATTTATGCTGTGCAGTTTCTCACCCTCGCTGAGTGACTTGAGGTAGGCGGAGGTGTTTAATGAACCCATGACCAAAACCCGGAAACCACTGGCAGGCGATGAAACCGAAAGCAAGCCTGACAGCCAGAGGGTTCAACTCGAAAAAGCCAAAGGCAAGAAGGCACATATCCAAGTATCACCGCCTTATATTTGATCTGACATAGAATGGCCCAAATTCCAAGGAATCCTCTTCTGAAACCAAGGAGTCGCAGGACGGCTCGAACAATGTGATTCAACTGCTGGGCGCCACTATAGCGGCCATCAATATTACGAGAGACCTCGTACCCATCGACCTGGCGAAAGGCATCCTCGGAACGATTGCAAACATTCTGATCATTGCGCAGGTGTGTTCGCGTAATCCTTGGAAAATTTTCGTGAACAATCCTCAGGTCTGTATAGTCAGTGATCAAGAACCAGTCCGATTTCCAGGCGATAGTCGAAAAGTGCGAGACTATCAGGGAAATCCTTGAAAGAGCGACCAAGGATGCTACCGACGATGATCTGCAAGGATACTTGGGGCATGCTTTATCCCAGCTGAACAAGTGAGCCGCACCAACTTCGTCCCTGCTAGAAACTGATAACACCATACAGATCAGTCAACCGTATCAATAGTGAAGTAGCCTCAAAGAAGGAGCAAGGATTTTGGCAGAGACTCTTGTCTGTCACGAGTGACCGCGATCGCATTGCTGGATGGGGACAAGACTTAGATCGCGTCATTCCACTGTTTAGCGTACGTTTCTGGAACTTCTTCAGAACTTCGACTACTGAATGAGGTTTCAAGGCTGAAATGCTCATTGGCATCACGATTGGAATGAAACCATGGACATCGAGACTCAAGGGAAATGGGAAAGTCGAAAGGTACGCTGTCATCTCGGCGGGTGGTGCGTATCTTTAAATGCAATCAGGTGTCACCCACCAGTGCCCCCGCCACGTCCGTCCATGTTTTGTGGACGTGAAGATCTCGTAGCAGAGTTGACAAACCTTGTCATCAATGATGAGCATATCGGGTTGATCGGTCTAGGAGGCATGGGGAAGAGTTCTCTTGCCAAAGCTGTCATCAACGAGCCACTCACCGTGGAGAGATTTGCTGATAGGCGCTTCTTTGTGACCTATGATGGTCTGGATCCTTCGACCATCACCTTTGAAACTTTCACGACTCATTTTGCGGGAGCCCTTGGTATAGAGCTTGCTGGTGCGGATCCTGTGCGCCAAATATCCTCTTTTCTTCGTTCTGCCAGCGCTCTCGTTGTCCTTGATAATGCTGAGACATTTGAAGAGGCCAGTGCGTCGTCGGCGCTTGGAGACATACCACCAGCCATTGCTGAAATTGCAGATATCCCTGGCGTCATTCTGATCCTCACGTCACGCAGTCGAAGGAATGCACCGAACGTGCGATGGATAACAAAGGATATTCCGCCACTGGATTCGAGCTCTGCTCAAGCAGCGTTCTTTCAAATCTACCATCACGCCAGTCAAAGCGATGCCGGGGAAGAAATCAAGGACCTGCTCAAGGAATTGGATTTTCACCCCCTTTCCATCAATTTACTCGCAAACGCTGCACAGCAAAATGGCTGGTCCCCAGTTACGCTGTTGAAGAGATGGAACAATCGGCGCAGCAAGGTGCTGGATCCCGGCAAGGGAAAGCTCCAAAGCTTGTCAGACACCATGCAGCTGTCGCTCAGTTCGCCATCCATCCAGGATCTCGGAGAGGATGGTCGCCGTGCTTTAGCGATCATCGCTTTCTTGCCCCAGGGCCTCAACGACACCCTGGCCAGCGATTTGTTGCCGTCTCTCCCGCAAGTTGATATTATTTGTGACGTCCTTTGCAGGCAATCTCTCGTTTATCGTAAAGACAGCTTCATCAAGTTGCTTGCCCCCATTCGACATTATGTACGAGATTCGTTGCCAGCACTTGACTCCACTTGTTTGCATGAGATACGCGACTTCTACCATCGCACCGTCGACCGCTGTTCAGAAGAGCACGACCACTACGCTGATATCATTACCTCGGATCACCTTAACATCGAGCACATAGTTGCTTTTGACCTTGCCCACGTCCCAAATGTCGCCGAAGTGACCTATGACATTTGCTGGCAGTTTCTGTGGTGCTTGAAGAGTCATCTACCCCATCCAACTACCCTCACTCCAGCTATTTTCAACCTTGTAGAGAACTCTTCCACGCGGACGTCAAAGGCACGCTGCCTGCAGTATCTCGGCGAGCTCTACACTACTCTTACTCAGCTCACTGAAGGGATGAAGGCCTTCAAAGCTGCTGAGGCACTCTATCTTACCGCCGGCGACCACGAAAATGTAGCATACTGTGTTATCCAATGTGCGGACATCTACAGATGTCAAGGCCGCTTCATTCAGTCCCAACAGGTTCTGGAGGCCTTCCAACACACCGACTCGTGGAAGTATCTCAGCGAAACACCGAAAGCCTACGTCTTGTATTTCTTGGATAAGACTAGAATATACACATTTACAACATCTGCGGACGAATTATTCGTGAAGTCCATGGAAGATTGCGACTGGGGCTTGCCATCCAAGATTTGGCATTGGCGGGCTAAACTGTACTACGGGGGAGACGTTGTTCAGGCGAACGCGCACTTAGAAGACCTTTTCCCGCAATGCCCAAGTACTGGATATCTCTTCGCCCACAGGGACGTACTTGAAGGGCTCGCACAAGTAGCATTCTGTGAAGGCAGGTTATCGGACGCGATGGATATTTTGCAGAAACTCGTAGAGATGTTTGAGGGACAATATTCGGACGGTGTCCTTTGGTACACTGTCCAGAAGGCTGTCGTTGCGAGCAAGCAGGGGAATCACGACCTTGCGAGGGAGCTCATCCACAAAGCCACAGAACCCTTCCAATTCTTTGCCCTGCGCAATGCACGCGCATTTCTCCACCGATCTTATGGCTCCGCACTCATTGAGCTCACTGCAGGCGAGTACGATAAGGCTGCGTCTCAATTCACTGCCACGATTGAAGGTTGCGACATGCAAGGCAACCTGCATGCCAAAGCATTCAACATACGTGGACTTGGCGAGGTGGCCTTTGTGGATGGTGACTTTGCTTTAGCCGCACAGCGCTTCGCAGAAACGCGGACTTTGTGCGCTGAAATGGGAGTGCCCCCATGCCATTTGTACAGTTGCTTGCCATTTCATACCTTGTCAGACAGATTCGAAGGATGGGCGGTGTTTTTGGAGGGCCGCTCGCCATTCACAAATGTTATGTAGATCATGATATGTGGTAACCATGCATGGTACATTGTATCTTCGTTGTATCTCGTACGATTCACCCCAAGCAGTGTCATGACCATGTATCCGTGCCATGGCATGAATTATAAGTTCAATACAACTCCGAGGCTGCCGTGACTTTGCCGTGACTCATAACTCGCTTCGTGACAACCGTGACTACAATCTCTAGGTCTCTCTAGGTCAGACACTGTTCAACGCTTCTATCTGTTGCTGTTATGGTTAACAGCTACAGATGGCTATGCAGCATTTAGTAGCATTAATATTGCGTCGTTCCAAATAATCGAACGACGTCTGCATGTCGGTGAGCTTGGAAAGCATGTGACGAAATCCGTCTACTAGTAGGCTGACCCAACATGAACAGCAAAAAGGCGCTTGTTCCTTCTGTGTTTGGGTGATAGACACCGCACTCTCTCACACGAGTGATTCAAAGCAGGCGGAGGCGCGCATTCAGCCGTTATAACCCTCCTCCACATTGACACGGGCAATGTCGCCCAATGGCAAGCCGAAAGTTATGATAAGGTCTAAAAACCCGGAGGCAAGAAGGCGCATCTAGGAATCATGCCTTTTATTTGACACTGGCACTACTATTACATAGAACAATCCAAATGCACCTGAAACCAAGGAGTTCAAGGACGACAACGTGATCCATTTGCTAGGCGTCACTATATCGGCCATCAACGCTACCAAAGACCTTGTTCCTATCGATCTAGCGAAAGGTATCCTTGGAACGATTGCAAACATTCTGACTATTGCACAGGTGCGTTGGTCTGACTCTCAGAACGCTCCGTGAAGCCACACGTCTGAGACTTTGTATAGTCAGTGATCAAGAACCAGTCCGATTTCCAGGCGATAGTCGAAAAGTGCGAGACTATCAGGGAAATCCTGGAAAGAGCGACCAAGGATGCTACCAACAACGATCTGCGAGGATACTTAGGGCATGCTTTATCCCAACTGAACAAGTGAGGCAAACCAATACCGCCGTCGTTGGAAATTGATGACACCGTGCAGATCGGTAAATCGAATTAATAGTGAAGTAGCCTCAAAGAAGGAGCAAGGATTTTGGCACAAACTCATCTCTGTCACAATTGATCGCGACCGAATTGCTGGGTGGGAAAAAGACTTAGATCGCGTGCTCCTACTCTTCAATGTACGTCTCTGAAATTTCTCTGAACTTCTGCTATTGAATGATGTCTCAAGACTGAAGGAATCGCTGGCATCGCGAGCAGAGTGGAGAAGCTGGCTCTGGGACTCGAGAGCAGCATTAATATCTCTAGTGTCATAAAGTAAGGTGTCGTTTCAGCAAGTGATGCATCTCCTCTAATTACAATCAGGTATCGCCCAACTGAGACTCCATCACGGCCTGCCATGATGTATGGCCGTGATGATCTTGTGGCAGAGTTGACGAACCTTGTCGTCAATGATGAGCATATTGCATTGATCGGTCCGGGAGGCATGGGAAAGAGTTCTCTTGCCAAAGCCATCCTTAACGAACCGCTCGTCACGGAGAAATTCGCTGATAGGCGCTTCTTCGTGACTTACGATGGCCTCGATCCTTCAGCCATCACTTTTCAAACCTTTATGACTCGTTTTGCGGGAGCACTTGGCATAGAGCTTTCCAGTGCTGATCCTGTGCGCCAGATCTCTACCTTTCTTCGGTTCGCCAGCGCCCTTGTCGTCCTTGATAATGCTGAGACCTTCGAAGAGGCCAGTGCATCGTCGGCGCTCGTAGACATACCACCAGCCATTGCTGAAATTGCAGGCATCCCTGGCGTCATTCTGATCCTCACGTCACGCAGTCGAAGGAATGCACCGAACGTGCTATGGACAACAAAGGACATTCCGCCACTGGACTTGAACTCTGCTCAAGCAGTATTCTTTCGAATTTATCGTCGCGCCAGTCGCAGCGATGCTGGGGTAGAAGTCAAGGACCTGCTCAAGGAATTGGATTTTCACCCCCTTTCCATTAATTTACTTGCAAATACTGCGCAGCAAAATGACTGGTCTCCAGCCACACTGCTGAAGAGATGGAACAATCGACACAGTGCTGTGCTTGACCCTGGCAAGGGAAAGCTCCAAAGCTTGTCAGACACCATGCAGCTGTCACTCAGCTCGCCATCCATCCAAGATCTTGGCGATGATGGTCGTCGTGCTTTAGCGATCATCGCTTTCTTGCCCCAGGGTCTCAACGACGATCTGGCTAGCGATTTGTTACCATCGCTCCAGCAAGTCGACGCTATATGTGACGTCCTATGCATGCAATCGCTGGTCTATCGTCAAGACAAGTTCATCAAGATGCTTGCACCCATTCGGCATTATATGCGAGATTCGTTGCCCCCACCTGACTCTACTTGTATGCGAGAGATACGCACCTTCTACCATTACACCCTCGACTGCTGTTCAGACAAACGCGATCAATATACTGATATCATTATGTCGGATCACCTTAATATCGAGCACGTAGTTGCTCTCGACCTTGCACATGGCCCAGATGACACGGAAAAGATTTATGCCATTTGCGGGAAGTTTTTGTGGTGCTTGACGATTCATCTACCTCGTCCAACTACCCTCACCCCAACTATTTTCAACATCGTCGAGAACTCCTCCACATGGACGCCAAAAGCGCACTGCTTGTGGCATCTTGGCTGTCTCTACTCAGCTGTTTCTCAGCTCACTGAAGGGATGAAGGCCTTCAAAGCTGCTGGGGCACTCTATCTTACCACCGGCGCCTATAGACTTGCGGTAGACTGTGTTTTTGAATGCGCAGAAACATACAGATGTCAAGGCCGCTTCATTCAATTACGACAGGTCCTAGAGGACTTCCAACACTCTGATTCGTGGAAGTATCTCGACGAAACAGCGAAAGCCGAAGCTTGGCATCACTTGAGCAAGGCCCGGATGTACACATTCACAACATCTGCTGACGAATTATTTCTAGAGTCCATGGACGATCGTTTCATCGGCTTGGAGTCTAAAACTTGGCACAGGGGCGCTAAAATGTATTACGGAGGAGACATTGTTCAGGTCAAGGCGCACCTCGAAGACATCCTCCTGCAATGCACGCACACCGAAGTGTTTTGCAGCTGCAATAGCGCACTTCGCCTGCTTGCAGAAGGGGCATTGTGCGAAGGCAGATTATCCGATGCGATGGATATCCTTCAGAAGAACATAGATATGACCGGCGGACCACTGTCTGCCCTTTGGTATGGCACCTGGAAAGGTGTTGTTGCGAGCAGGCAAGGAGATTACGACCTTGCGAGGGAGTTCATTCGCAAAGCCTCGGGACTACTCGAATGCTGGGAGCTGCGGAATACATATGAATTTCTGCACAGATCTTATGGCTCTGCGCGCATCGAGCTCGCCGCAGGCGAGTACGACATCGCGGAGTCTCATTTCACCGCCACGGTTGAAGGTTGCGATATGCAAGACCACCTGCTTTATAAGGCGTTCAGTATCCGTGGGCTGGGGGAGATTGCATTTGCACGTGGTAACTTCGCTTTAGCTGCAGAGCGCTTTGCAGAGACGCAATCTCTGTGCATTGAGATGGGAATTCCTCCCGGAAAAATTTACAGCTGCTTCCCATTTTCTGTTCTGCTGGAAAATTTTGAAGGGTGGGCGTCGTTCTTGGAGGGGCGGTCACCGTTTACCAATGTTACGTAGATCGTGTACGATAGACTGCAGTCGCATCTCGTACGATTGTTCGAGCAGTATTATCATAATCACGGTATTCCTGACCAGCCAGTGATGAGACAAATACCAGAATTGTAGCATGAAAGGCCTTAAGATAGACCTCGGTCCTGCTACAAGGCACGTTTGATCGCGCGAGCTTCTTCTCGCACTGACAAAATATTTGAAAGGTGCCACGGCATTGTTTGAGAAGGTATTTGCGAACATCATATGCAGATATACAGATGATATACGATAGGCTGCAGTTCGGCTTCGTATCGCGTACGGTTACACGAGCAGTCTTATGATCGATAGGTACGGCGGGATACCCTTTGCAGATCACGATGCAGCCTCAGATGTGACTTCTACTTCTTGTTCAGCTCCTCCGCCCTTCTATGAAGTTCCTCACGACTCTACGAACGGCTATGAGCAAGGGATCTGATGTTGAAAATGCATCTCAACGAACCAATGGGGCTTCGAGGTTATTGACGATGTCCTTGCTAGGCACATGTGGGTCACGAGCGTGATAGGCCTGAAACTCGGGCTTGCTGGTCAAACCCGTGTTAAGCCGAGGCCCCCCAGCCAAGTCCGCCGGATCGTTAGATTTCTGAATGAGATTCAGCGAAATTATAGAGTCAGAAAGTGGCTGCAGCTGCGTACAGCAGGGTGAGGAAGGATGTTAAATTGCTGCTGTTGTCCCTGTTGGTGACTAAGTGGAGTGCTGTTATCTTTCGTTTGTTGAGACATTGGTAACAGGTAATAGTGGGTTGTGATAGTAGTTGTTAAGCAAGATCGCAGCTCGCATTAACTAGAGCTCCCCTATATACCCCACTGCGGAGCCAATCATACGGATGACATCATTTCACACGTGACGGTTCAAAAGATGAGAGCAATCCTGGTTGACATTTACTTGGGCAGAAGGGTAAGAGAATGTTAAAGTAATTGTACAGGACACATTCCACATCATTTCGATAGCATCATCTTTTGAAAGAAAGGTCAGATGTCTGAAATTGAAACGTACGGACGAAATGCTAACCTTCACAAATTCTGAAACCGACGCAGCACAATCAATACGTGAGTACAGATAAGTACGATGCAAAACTGAGACAAACCATCGTAATTAATCTGGCCATCGCCATCGACATCTGCTTCACGAATCATTTCATCGACCTCACCGTCAGTCAACTTCTCGCCTAGAGATGGCGTTAATTTATAATTGATATTAGAACATCACCACTGACCCAGGTTCGTCATGACATGTCTCAGCTCAGCAGCGTTGATATAGCCATTTCCGTCCTTATCGAACACTTTAAATGCCTCTTTAATCTCTTCCTCGCTGTCGGTGTCGCGCATTTTGCGCGCCATCATTGTAAGGAACTCTGGGAAGTCGATGGTACCGTTCCCATCAGCGTCAACCTCGTTGATCATGTCCTGCAACTCTGCTTCGGTCGGATTTTGACCTAGTGAGCGCATAACAGTACCGAGCTCCTTGGTGGTGATCGTGCCATCGCCATCTACATCGCTTCAAATCAGGTGAAGTAACAACTAAGATCACGTTAGTCGTACCTTTGTCAAACAAAGAGAAGGCTTCCTTGAATTCTGTGAGGGGCGAATGAGCGCTGAAATCATGTGAACGACGACACCAGCGATGATTTCTCACCAGATATCTGTTCTAGAAAATCGGACACGAGCAGCAAAGCATATCAGCACAGATAACGTCTTTGGCCTCCCACCAAGGAAGAATTCACACCTTCAGACTGTGAACCGTTCCCAAATCGATATTAATCAATACCCATCGGAAGCCCACACGTGACAACACAACCCACCAATTGATCCGCCATGTTCTAGAAAGTTTCAAGAGAAAGGTTCGTTGGATATAAGGAAATGCAGCGATTTTGAAAAGAGGATGACGGGGATGACGATCGTCGTTGAGCAGAGCAAAGCACGGCCTTGGATTTGGCCAAGATCATGTCTTCATCGGCAATCGCCAGTGCCAAATCAGGCTAACTCTCCCCAGAGCCCCCTGCCCAGTCCTGTAAATCACCAAATAACGTTACAACTTGACATTTACTTTCGCACACAGCATAGTGCTGTAGCAGACTAGAGGGCAACAAAAGAGCAACGATACGGAGGGAACTGTGAGGCACGCACGGCCTGCACGATATCTTAAGAGGATTCAGGCTTTCAGTTAACAGTCATGCATATCTGTATCAGGGGTTAGGAACTCGAGACTCCTTTCAAGTGATCTGCGGAGCTTCGTTTACCTACATGGCCTCCCCTGGCCTCGCTTCATAAAGCTTAATCCTAAATTATGAATGATATGTAAGGATGTGAATGAAAATAAGTAGCGATATTAGTCCCAGTCATCATCATCGTCCTCTTCGTCACTATCACCTAATCTCTTGTTCCTTTCCAGCAAAGCAGCAGCTAACGCTGCAGTCAGATTTCCGCCTGCCCCACCTCCACTAGATTCTTCAGCAACAGGCGCGGGGGGAGGAGAGGGCGTTGACTGAGGTCCACCCGTCTTCCGTAAATTTGACACACTCTGTCCACGAATGGATGCAAGTAGGTCCCCGCGACCAGGCTGTGGGGCAGCAGGTAATGCCAATGTGCCTCCTTCCCCATGTGAGGGTGGTGGCGGCGGCGGCGGTGGCGCCGCTCCTGCAGGTGGTGGAGGTGGAGGTGGGGGAGGAGGAGGAGCGTTCCCAGATGAAGGTGGAGGCGGTGGTGGTGGAGGCGGTGGTGGAGGTGGCGGAGGATCCCCATATGAAGGTGGTGGTGGTGGCGGTGGTGGCGGTGAAGTACTGACTGGTGGTCGTGCAGGAGGAGCACTAACCGGTGGAGGAGGTGGAGGTGGTGGAGGTGGAGTACTGACTGGTGGTCGTGGTGGTGGAGTACTGACTGGGGGGCGTGCAGGAGGAGCACTGACCGGTGGCCGTGCAGGAGGCGGAGGCGGGAGGACAGCACTCGCAGGGCGGACTGGTGGTGGGGGTGGTCCTGATCTTACTGGTGGTGGCGCGGGTGCAGGAGGAGTAGTTTGAGGGCCACGTTGTGGCGGGGGCGGTGGAGCAACGTAGGTGGGACGCGATGACGGGAGCGCTGTGGCAGGGGGATGAGGCGGCGCAGCAGAGACTGGACGTATTGGAGGTGGAGGAGGATGGTGAGCAGAATCGCCATTGATTGATGATGCAACACTATCCTGCTGCGTGTGCCCCCTATTTCTAGGCGCAGGTAAGGGCGGTGGTGCCTTCTTCTTGGCAGCAGGCAGGGGTGCATTTTGCGCATCACGGAGAAAGCCTTTTATGAAATCCATATCCGAGTCGATGATCTCGCGACTGACACCTTCACCCTCTAGCCCGCTGAGAAAGGTGGTCCATGATGGATCAACGTTGGTGGTGGTATAACCCTTCTCAGCATCATAGCCCATGTGTGCAACATGCACGAAGGAACCACTGGTTGGACCTGAAATCATGGACTTATCTATTCTACCGCCCTTGGCAGACTTCTTCTTCTCTGAGGAGGAAGGTTTGACTGAAATGGAGGTCAAAGGTGGTCGACCATAGATTCTACATGACATACCTTTATCTGCTTTACGGGTGGTTACTTTCTTGTAGAAAGTTTTGGCATCTTTCTCATCAGCAAAGACAAAGCCAATCATGCATTTCTTGGGTAGAAGTCAGTAATTTTCTCTGAATTGCAAATGCACACTTACATCGCCCGCGAATGAATGAAAGAACGGCCTGTCCTGGTAATACTCGAACGATTCATATAGCTCGTGTTCCCATATGACGCCTCTTGTCCCCGTTAAATCAACCAGCCTCAGAATGAAGGCTTCTTTGGAGCTATCCCGCATGAAAGCGAGTGCGCCTTGCAAGCCACCATACGACCACTTGTTTGGCTGCGGATGTGCGAAGTAGATACGAGCAACGGTAGCAGTGAGTATCTTTTGCGTGGACTCGTTTATGGTAGATTTGACTTTAGACTTTTCGTCTGCTGAGAGTGCTGATTGAGAAGGCATCCCTGCAGAACTTGGCTAAGATCTAAGACCTGACCGTCACAATACAAGCTGCGTTTGCTACTGCGTGGGAATCTGTCCTTCCGCTTGTCCAACCAAGTCGCTGCGGCGGGCTGTACGGTACTACGCACGACACAGCTGCTCTCCGTCTGCCTAATGGTCAACCCGGTGGCCAGAGATCATCCTTGTATGATAAATTGCTTGCTTCATACAGAGAATCTTACGAATGTATCAACGACAAGTTTGTCAACTACGGCTGCCTTTACACCAAGATGAAATGCTGGATTCTGGACTTGATGTCCAAACTGGCGGCCGTGCATGCTACTGCGCTCAAATAGCATCCTCTGTGTATGCAAACGTTCCGGCGTCTTGGCATACGCAGTGCACACCACAGGCCTGATTCTGTTGTCATTTGATGTCAGACCGTTCAGCTCTTCAAACTTGTTCAGCAGAGGCCAATGATGAATGACTTTAACGATTGGTGAGTTTTATATCTGACATGACCGCTCGGCCCTCGTCATTGAGGCTTGTCACAATCCACGTTGATTCGCAACTTGGACTTGTCAATATACGGCGAAAAAATGGAGAGAAGCACACCTTCTGTGCTCGTTAGCGTTTCCCGCGCACACGGTCTTCGAGTAACTCGCATATCAGTCACACACGATCTCGAGCTGATCTAAAGATATGTCAACGAGTATCAAGCTCGATGCCAACGATGAGCAGATCTCGATGAAATGTTTGGCCGCCTGGATGCGTATAGGCTCATTCATCAATTCCTTTTGCGACTCCTTCCGTATCTTGGAGCATATCCTCGTTACCATCAAACTATGATGTCTCCTGGTCCTCAGCACCTTCTACATATGTGTGATATTTCCGACGAGCGGAATATGTTGTGTCTCCTGACGGGTTTATCTTCAGATTACTTCAAAGCTGAGCTAGATGCTGTTGCATCCATGACGGTTAGTCTGACTCGGATAGACTCAGTATATGAATCGTTTAAGCTATGTGCGAATCTGAGAGTCGAATGTCTTGTAATTATCTGTGTATATTTTGACAACATAAGTCCTTAATTATGATAAAGAAGCAACTAGACCTTCAACCACTCATGTTGCATGAGATCTGCTGCACTTGCTCTATCCGACGGTTTTAACCTAAGCATCGACCGCAAGAACGAGGTGCACATAGACAGTTCGTCGTCGCCGACCACTTTATAGGATTCAAGAACATTTTCCAAACCTTGGATCTCTTCAACTTTTATGCGAAGTTTGCCTACAATGAACGTTAATACCAGGTAACGCCATGAGTCGTTGTTTCGGCTCACCATCGTCATCGAAATATTTCCCTAAGTGTTTTCCGGTCTGAAAATGAGTGGTATCAAACTCTTCTCCAGCCATAGCAGGCATATGCGCAAGATGGTATGCTTCTGGGGTCCATGTAGGTCCTCCTCGCGGTACGAAAAGCCAGTGACCTGTGAGAAATTCAAAGATCTACAAAGAGGCACGGTTCGGTGTTAAACGAAGAAATAAGAGTAGAACAATATCTTGCCAAGCATCCCAAATTCCAGATATCTGCGCTTGTACCCCACTCACATCCAAGGATAACCTCCGGCGCGCGTAGAGCAAAAGGTTGAATAATATCGGGGTGGAAACCATTTACAGAGACGGCTAAGACGCGGCGATGAGTTATGCTCGCGATCACTATAATATTGATTGGGGTGCTCACCGGTACCAAAGTCGGTCAATTTGACATCAAGTTTTGACAACTGAATCGAATCGAGAAGCTCATCCGAGCTAAGAACACGTAACGGACGAGACAGGATAGCATGCCGAGGTTTGGACGAGACCTTATGCATGGGAGCTACGGAGCGTGACTCTTCCTCCCGGATTTCAATAGCAGTTTTCACATTATCAAGTTTGACGAGGATGTTGTCTGGCTTGAGATCTTTTCCAATGACACTTCAGTTCCAGCATGACTCCAACAAGTGTTTATGGCAGCCTACCGGTATGAACCACATGACATTCACGATGTAGAAAATCCAAGGCCAGAAGAAGTTGTTTTGCCACAACTTTGACCAACGGAACTGGGAAACCAAGACTGCTGATCTTTGGAAATATGCCCATAGCTTCGTGCACCAAGCAGAGATGACGGCCTTGGGTACTCGATACTTCAAAACTGTCTAGCAATGTAACGACGTGGGTTCGCCCAGGATTACTTGACTCCCGTGCCAAATCTCTTACAGCTTGTAGCAAACCAAGCTCGTTGGAAAGCTGATGTTGCACTTGCGTCGCATGTGATGTCAATATCTTGACTGCGACATACTGCTGCTCGCGTTCTCTTAAATGCCAGGCACATAACGCATAGTCACAACTAGCCAGGAGGAAGTGTTGTTTACTTACCCTTCATGCTTCGCCAGCCAGACGCTGGAGTGCTGACCCCATCCAAGTTTCCGAACAATGGTATATGTTGAATTGAGTTTCTTCCCTAGAGTCGCAGAATAGAATCCGCCATTTTGATCAGCAGGAAGATCAAGTGGTTCTTCAGGCCACTGCGATAGAATCTTGGTATCATGTATGGCCCGGCAAGAAAAAGCCTTGAGTTTTAGTCTGAGTGCTTTGAACCCGTTCTTCATAGCGTACAGGAGATGGTATGATAGAAAACGTTCCACAGCAGTACCGTACGGTGGTCTGAGCTTGAGGATGAATGCAAGTAAAACACAATTATGTAATATTTGAAGCCTTTCTGTGCCGATATATACCAGAAATGTCGAAATGACCGTCCGTGCCCGTCCGGTCCTACCCGATTTGGCAATTGGACAAGGTTGAGTTACGAGGGTTTGGAATGCGGGGGTTGAGGGCAAGTCTTAAGTATATAGGTTCGCTCGTATCGTCTTCGCTCCTTGTTCCGCTCCTTCGACGTAGTACTTTAGCCCGCCTCCCTTGTACTAGCCAGTAGCTCTCTCAGGTTTTTTTGTCGCTTTTTTCTGTCTCTTTCACCGCCCTGTAGTAATCCCCTACGTCGACTCCCCGTTAGTCCCCGTTCTTCCATCGTTCTTATCTATCTTCGTATGTTTAAAGCACGCCGTAAAGCCCGTAAAGCCCGTAAAGCCCGCGCTGTTTCCCCGCTGGTGCCTGATATCTCCATCAATATTTTTGCACCTTCAGAGGACGGTGGCTCCCACCCCGGCTCTTCTCCAGGGCCTTCAGCCTTTGAATCCGTTCTGCCTGATGTGGGCACCGATCTTGACGCTGCCAGTTCCTGGGCAGCTACTTCTGGCACAGTTCCCCCTGTGTCCAATGTCCAGCCTGGTAAGTTTACACCCTTTTTGCTGGTCTTAACGCTGTTTTCGGTGCTTATACCTACCCTTTTGTATTGCCTTTTGTGCTACCTTCACGCCTTGTTAAAGTGATACCACTCACTGGCACTCAGGCATCGTAGTCTCCAAAACAAAACATGCTCGTAATTACATTTCGGAACGCTTCCGAGTCATCTCCACTGTCACATGGTCTAAAAATCTCTCCAAACCATACGCCAATGATCCACAACAAAAGGCCAACATTGAACAGATGGTCATCGACCATGCCAAAAACAATGGCATTGAAGCTCGAGGTGCAGAATCGGTCATAATCAAGTAACTTTAGTCATGTAATAATCTCTGTCACGGCTACAAGTTGATCACCTGCAATTCTGCAGATCCACTGCGCACAGGGGCGGCACCAGTCCAGGTGCACCTTCACACGTTACAGCAGAATTTAAAGCCCCGGATGGTGCGCACATTACGACCCAACACGTTCCCGTGTAAAGTTCAGATGCGATGTGGGAAGACTGTGTGGTGTATGATGAATATTGAGGCCTGAGGAAGACGTTATGCGGGCATCGATTTACGCGTGTTGTTGTGATGCTGTACATTATATTGCTCAAGATACCATTACCATCTGTTCACCGGTTCCCTGATTTTAGAGACTCGTTGTGTAGCACGGGAATATATACTCACGCTTGTGCACCTTGAATCGACTGCGGAAAGCTTGTCAAATGCAGCAGTTCACCCGTAACGTTGTAGGCAACACTCTGCCTAGGAAAGACTAATTATCGACTAGCCTGGTGGCTGGCCGCTTTGCTTTATTCACAGAATCCTACGAATATCAATGTCAACTAGAGTTCAGGACTAACATGAAATGCACACTGATCTGGAGTTTCAAACTCGTGGCCGTGCATGCTACTGCGCCGTGGCGCAATTGCTCTGTATCTTGACGCGCGCATGCCTAATTCATGTCGCTGGACATGTCCTTTGGGGTCCGACTGTCGGCCTATTCAGTCTTGTTTAGCATAGGCCAAGAATAAATGGTCCATTTTTATTCGGTGAGTTTGTTTTCTGGCATGATTGCTCGGCACCCCCGTCATTCAACCTGTCAATATAAGTATGGCGAATAATGGAGAGAAGCACACCTTCTCTAAGAACGCTTTTTTTAAATGCTCGGTAGATTTGCCCGTGCACGTCATACACTATCCCTTTTTCTACCTCACAGGTTTCGTTGACTTCATCGCCGATCGCAGATTTTAGACTTCTGTCGGAAATGAGGAGAGGAAATTCTGCCCCGATTGCGCGAACCGATCATTCCACCACTCCGTTTCGTAAATTTGGTTAGTGATCTCTGTCACGAGCTGATCACCCCTGATTCCGCAGATCCACTGCGCACAGCACCAGTCCAGGTGCACCAGTTCGTGAGTAAGGTTCTGTAAAATATTGTAATGGAAAGAACGCAGTGAGCGCTTGACTTGTGGCCTCCCATCGAGTCTCCGTCGGCTGAACGCTGGATTGATCATCGATCCTCGCGCAGTACTTTGCGAACGAGGCCTACCGGCGCAGCTCGGACCTTCTCTCAAGTGCAAATAGGAATTCATCAAATCAAGGGAGTCTACAACATGGGTTCAAAGCAAGCTCACATCACGAAGGACGGTCACGAAAGACCATAAAGGGTGATTCAAGAACAAACTATACGGGCTCAACACGGTACCTAAAACGAAAGGTTTGATGCATGTCGCATGCGAAAGATAGTACTGTGACTCGCCCTATAACACCTAGTGTTGTGTTTTCCGCGCTGCCTCGAGTTCTTCATCCCTCTCAATTGAGTGCTGTAAGTACTGTGGGTGTAATGGATTTACGTGGCCGCTAGGAATCGCCGCATGCATGTTTAGCAAAATACCTCATCGCTACTCGCCATTTCAAGTGCAGGTAGTGCGGATAGTTTTGAAGTTTCATGTAGTGGCTAGGAATTGCCGCACGCATGTTAATGAAGTTTAACAGAATACCTTATTGTTACTCACTGTGTCAAGTTCAGGTATGGGCAGTCTCGAAGTTCTATGTGGCGGCTAGGAATTCCTACATGTATGTTGATGGAGTTTTGTAATAGTAATTAACTCACATTCGAGTCCTTAGGTGCGCATGGTCCTGATCCATTCTAGACTTCTGTCTGTGCCTCAGGACAGTATTTCTGAGTCTTGATACGTCCTTTTTTCATCGACGGGCTAGTAGGGCTAGTTTAGGATGTAAAATCATTATCATCGTACACGCCGGGTACACTGTGACGTCATTTTCCAGATGATACAAAAGGTATCATTGTAGACAGAGGTTGCTGTGTTGTCTGAACGGAAGCAGGAATATATGGGTGAATCCAGCTTTGTTAGCCTGCCAGGCCGATGCTGGAAGTACGTAGTTCGGCCGATCTGCTTGGCCTCCCGTCCATTCTTACGTAGGCATATTTTGCGGTCGCGGATGATTATCGTGATGATTCTTACTGCTAGAATGAACTTTGTGGATACCTGCTTCAAGGCTGCAAACGAGCAAGAGGCCGACGGCAAATCGGTGACGGTGTAGGTCTTAGTGCAAACAGTTGCAAATAAACTTCAACTTGGTGCAGCGAACTTTCATCATGATTTTCATCGTCTCTGCCGTCGACATCTATCGCACATTCGTCTCCTTCTCGGTTCTCAATATTCGGGCTGAGCGCTGCGGACCTGCTGCGTATTGGGGACTCTCGTGAGAATCTAGACTCACGCTCGTACAACCCAAGTAACGTCACTGGTGCAGGCTGTACGGACAATACATGCACAGCAGCTCACCCGCAATACGGCGACCTTCTGCCTAACCTAGGGAGGACTAATTGTCGACTGTCCTGCAGGTAGCCAGCCACCGTACCATCCTTCTATGATCGATCTATATGAACTTCTTACGAAACTCGATGTCAACAACTGGAATTTCGAAGGCCGTGCATGCGACTGCGCGTCACGTATGCGTGCCATTTCTCCGTATCTTGATGCGTGTAGGCCTCATTCAGGTTGCTGAACGTGGCCTTTGGAGTCCGACTGTCAGGCTATTCAATCTTGTTTGGCACAAGCCAAGTATAAACGGTTCATTTTTATTCGGCGAGTTTGTTTTCTGACATGATTGCTCGGCACCCCCGTCATTCAACTTGTCATCCACGTTGACTTGCGACGCGGACCTGTCAATGTAGGTACGGCGAAAATGCAGAGAAGCACGTCTTCGGTAAGAACACCTAAAAAAATGCTCGGTAGATTTGCCCGTGCATGTCATGCACTATCCCTTTTTCTACTTGACCGGTTTTCGTTGACGATCGCAGACTTTAGACTTCTGTCGGAAAGGAGGAGAGCAAGGTCCCGGTTGCCGCGAAGTTCGAACCGATCACTCCACTACTCCGCTCCGATCACGCAAAGCCACATGGACTTCCGAAAACAAGGAATAATTCTTGCAGGCGACACCCGAATCTAACCCGATCGCTCCCATTCTTTGTTCACAGTCGGGCGAAGCTGTGTGCGGTCAGTCAAGCTTTTCAGAGAGGTTAGCGCTATTGGTCGATAGCTGTTGACAAGCCGAATCTAACCTTGACTTATTTTTTCTGTTGTTCGCAGACTCGCCGGAAAGAAGTCGCAGAGAAGCACGCCTTCGTTGACTGCATCACCGATCGCAGACTTTAGACTTCTGTCGGAAAGGAGGAGAGCAAGGTCCCACTACACTACTCCGTTCCGATCACGCAAGCCACATGGACTCTCGAAAACAAGGAATAGTTCTTGCAGGCGACACCCGAATCTAACCCGATCGCTCCCCATTCTTTGTTCACAGTCGGGCGAAGCTGTGTGCGGTCAGTCAAGCTTTTCAGAGAGGTTAGCGCTATTGGTCGACAGCTGTCGACAAGCCGAATCTAACCTCGACTTATTTTTTCTGATTGTTCGCAGACTCGCCGGAAAGAAGTCGTCTCGGGAAGAATATGGACTACGTCAGTGTCGGACTTGTAGCCGAAGCGCCTAGATGTCCCAACTCGAGACAAGTAGGTCGGGATGCACTAAGCGGTTTACGCTAGAAGATATCCAGTCCTTTGTTCACAGTCGGGTGAAGTTGTGTGTGGTCAGTCGGGTTTCCAGAGAGGTTAGCGCTATTGGTCGACAGCTGTCGACAAGCTGAATGATGAATCTAACCTTGACTTGTTTTTTTTTGTTGTTGTTCGCAGACTCGCCGGAAAGAAGTCGTCTCGGGAAGAATGTGGACTACGTGTGTCGGACTTGTAGCCAAAAACGCCTAGATGTCCTGACCTACTATCGATCGAGTTGGGGATGCTCTAAGCGGTTTACGCTAGAAGATATCCGATCTATATATTTTTCAAAGCATACGATCAAAGTTGCGCCAAATGGACGGTAGGTAGTGATCATGCTCATTACTATTCTTCGTGATGCGCTTGTGGCTTAACGGTTTGTCCGTCGCGTCAAGTACTCGCTGCCAAATATCTTACTCTCGAGAGTTCGAGTACGCTTACTTTTCTTTTTTGGATTTGAAGTAAATGTATTTCATTTGTTTGACTTTTTACGCCACAATTTCAGGTGCTCGTATGCTTTGAGCAATATACTATAGACTGGATAATCTCACGAAACTTGATGTAATATATCATTAATAATGTTTATGTCAATTGGCCGTCTGTGAGCCTACATAGACCTACACTAAGCAGTTTAGTTTACGCTAGATAGTCTAATGGAAGAGCCGAACTCGATAACTCCGGTCATATAATGCCGGTTATCATCGTTCTATCCTCCAACTGTTACTTTTTCCTCGCACGAGTGGTTATGACGACATCAGGCTGCAGCTTGGGGGGTTCTCGGGGATTAAGGGTAAAACAAGCTGGAAGATCGCATCGGGATTTCGCGCAAATATTGATCCATCGTCACATGAATCTCGAATGACATCAAACGTTGCGTTCTCTTCCGGGCATTGGACCACAAACGACTTAGCGCACTTGTACTGAAATCATAATGATGATGATGATCTTCCCCCCTGCCATAGATAATCAATAATCACCGATTTCGTTCTGGATCTAAAACCCCACGATCGCATCCATATATTTGGGTCGAAATATTGCTGGCACTTGACCCGTACCCCTGATGGCATATGAGACCCCTTGATTCAGGGACGCTGCTTCTCCGCGGAGGGTGGGGGGGCCGCCGGGTCGCTCAAAATGGCGATATCATGACATAGACCCTGACGTGAACATCATAACATCTTACTAGTAACTCGTTATCAAGCCTTCGCAGCCACCTTGGTGGCGCCAGATCGCAATGAGGAATGAGGCTTCTAGTGAGCATGATGTAGATGGCGTGAGCATGATGTGGATGGCTATGGTGCGCATGCCAAGGGCATAGAATTAAGATCATCGAATGTAGGACAAGAGATAGATAGCGATTCGTGATAGCGGGATCTCCAACATCGCCCCTTTATCACCCCCCATCCTAAGCAATTACGGCTCGCTGTGGAAAATATAGACAAGAATGAGAAAGGGTTTCGTAAAAAAAAGTCATCGTCTTGGCGGGCGCGTATGATACAAGTCGGGCGTCTGGTTTAGCGGTTCAGATATACTTATGGTTGTTTAAATGGTGTACGTCGTGGAAGCTCGTGCTCGTTTGGGGATCGTTATTCATAGCTTTGTGGTGCCTTTGCGCTTGGAGAGGATGTGGCGGGAAGCGGTGAGGCAGGCGGCACCTGCTAGCACGACGACCTTGATAAGGACGAGACTTTCAGCGCTTGATAAAGGGCGAGGACACTGGAGGCTTACAGATGCAAAGACGAGTGGTTTGTACCACACATAATAGCCGTTGACTAGCACCAATGCACCAGCGATCGGATTACCCGTGAGGAGTGCAAAGGAAATGACAAAGGAAGTGATTCCTATCCGAGTGCTATACGTTGTGGATCTGTCAGGGCTCAAGGTCTCGTAAAAGCGACACCAATACTAACCCTATTTCATTAAGGTCTCGCGAAAACGATGCAGCAGCAGGAGTGATGAGGGATATGACTGTCCCCTCAGTCAGTTCCATCCAAGAGCATAATAAAGTAAACACAACGCACAACCACCAGAGAAGAACCCATACAAGATACCAAAGGCAATAGTACCGCCAAGGTTAGTAGCCGCGAACATGAGGAACAGCAATCCTCCGGATATGATAGTGCATGGAATCATCACTGCGAATCGCCGGTTTCATCTCGGTGTGGCGCCAATATGAATATGATGCCTACATACCATTAAAGGGCCCAACGACGTCACCCAAGAAGTTCGGGATCGTCCTTCCAAAGACTGAAGAGGCATTCATGATGGGTATCTAAACGTAGATTAGCTCCTTTATTCAAATTCATTGCTGAACGCTGTTAACCGCGTAAAACCCGATGGTCTTCGAAAGTCCGTGGTGCTCTGAAAAGACTTGGAGGTAGAAGACTAAAACACAGTGAGCGACGCGGAAAATGAGACTTGCTGTTACTCACATGGTACAAACAGGCCCCAGAATGTCAATGTGGCACTGATTGATGTCAGCTGCTGGTTTGATACAATTTCGATGATACGCACCCAATGACACACAGCCAGTATCCAAAGTCAGTCAGTATTGCCTTGATATCAACTGGTTTCGCATCCGGACGCTCCCTCCGACTCGGTAGACGAGTTTTCATGACCAAGTTTGCGGTCACAAGGAGTCCGAGGTCGATGAAACCAGCTGCCCTACGATAACCGGTCAACGTTAAATTCACCGGGTTGCCGCATTTCACACCTCACGCCCCATGCAAAGCCAGCACTGCCGTTGAACAAGTTATTGAGCATGATAGAGTAGATAACTGCTCCGAGCGACGAGCCTGAAAAGAGTTTAGCGCAATGCAAGTGAGATAGGACAGGTACTTGCCAGCCAAGACTACTCCCATTGCGGCAGCACGTCGCCGCCGGAAGTAATGAGAGGTGACGGAGATTGCGGGCAGGAATAAAAGTCCCATTCCGATACCCATTCCAATGCCTTGCGCCAAGAATATTTGGTAGTATTGGTGTGGTTTGGCAAGCGATAGCATGAATATCCTGGAGTTACGTTGATGGGGCGCTTCAGAGACAATGTATCAGAAACTTACGAGAATAGGTAAATAAGCGACCCTGCTCCTATGCAGTGGTGAAAGTATCTTGGGAACGGTTAGACGCTGGATGAGAGTAGAGAAACGAAGGCTCGAACCCTTGATCAAAGAGCTTTCCGGCGGGTAAACCTCCAGCAAAAAGCAAAAAGGTCTGTACTGAACCAATCCAGCTGATGTCACTGGCGACATATTCTGAAAGGTATTGGGACTGGGGGGATGTAGGTGGTGAAGTGGGTGTAGGCTGCGGAACGTGCTCACCGAGTAGTACGCCTGGTAGACACCAAATGACTGGACCGTGCCGAAGGTGCAAAACAGTATCATAGACCTGAGAGCGAAAGCGACATGTGAAAAGCTGGACTCATATGAACTTAGGCACATACCCGCCAAGAACTGTTAGCCACGCTTGGAGGCCACCTTCGGGAAAGGTCGGTGGAGCTTGAGGTTGCTTTTCGACATGAGGTGGAAGTTCTGGATCCCCTGTAGCAGAGTTCTCGGTCTTTGTGAGAGCGAGGTTGGAGTTGCTGTCGTTCAAGGTCCTTCCGCCATCGGGAGTTGCGGTCATGACTGGTACTGGGGAAAGGGGATGAAAGGACAGCTGTGGGAGGTCATGAGTTGTTCTTTAGGATGTTGGTTCACATCGTAAAAATGCTTCTCTTCGGGCATTGCTTGAATTGACACGAGGCAAGGATGAAGAATCCCTAGGTCTGATTGGGTATAGATTGACAAAGAAATTCTTGAAATCTGGAGATTCACACTATAGGATCAACGCGACGCGGTGAGCCGATAAATTAAGAACAACATCCGAGTATGCTTGTCGCCGCATGGGAGTACTCCCATCTGCGGTAAGAAACTCGGATTTCGTTATTATGGGCCTCGAGAACTTGCCGCAAATATGTCCGTTCCTTTAGCGCCAATGGAAATTCCGGTTTGCCGGATAACAACGAGAATGATTCTTATGGGCTACGATCGTACCATGTTAGTTGCAGATCGCATGCATCACCGGAGAGCGGTGTGTGAGCTTTGTCATCATGTGAACCGAATGATTAAGCGATGTGAACCAATTTCAGACTAGCACAATGCTGCATTTTGAGCGAGAAGACTTGAACCAAAAGCTTGTCTTCTGGATTGTGTTAAGTAACTGATGCCTATTAGATAATCTTAACGGATATCGTATGCTACGACCCCGGTTAGCTGCACTGCTACTACGTGTCCATTCCCATCCTTTCGTGAGTACTAACCATATTTCTCTCACTTGGAATAGCGGCCGCTGAGCTTGGCAGTTTAGCTTTAGCATGAATCCTCGTATATCGTTGTTTGTTCCTAGGTCTGTCACTTGTTAATTTCCTACGATGTTATCCACTCATTCTCAATTCGGTAGTTCGGCTGTCATCATGTTCATATCATTTGACAGAATCCTTTACTTGCATCCACGTTTTCAAACTTCAGCTTCGAATTCGCTAGTACACCAGATGATATGATCGACATTCTCTATAAAAAGCAGAACTGATAATCGGAATAAGACATTGTCTCCTCTCTCATCAAACATGTCAGACATCCTCCCCCGTCATCCCCTCTTCACAACAAGAACTGAGTTTCTTCCCACTGATGACCGTGTCTCCCTCTCATACCAGAGGGCAAAACTTCTCATGAACACATACAGTACGTTCTCCACTTCATTACAAGACTTATGTCCATATCCCTTGAACTTAGATCTCTCGGCTTCTGATGTCCAAGTCTGTTCTTCAAAGTATTGGGCAATGATGACAGACCCTATCATGTCACTCGATACCGCCATGTTTACTATACTCGCAGCTCATGTCGGTCTCACAATCGGAACTCTTTCCCGCCATCTTCACAAACGTCCTGACCTCCGTCCACTCGTAAACCGTCTCTTGCGTTTCGAAACAGTCGGTATCTATCTCCTTACAGAGAGGGGTCACGGTCTAGATGCTTTCAACATCGAGACAACAGCTACAGAAACCCCTGACGGTTTCATTATTAATACCCCTCGCGAAGAGGCATGCAAGTACGTACCTTTTCAAATGCCCGAACAACATCTAATTTTTATATAGGTTCATGCCTGCTTCCACTCCAGCCTTCGGTATACCGAAGGTCGCTTTGGTTATGGCTAGGCTCATAGCCGATGGCGAGGACCGTGGCCCTCGCTTCTTTATCGTCCCCATCTGCAACGAGCACGAAATGTTCAAAGGTGTAGAGTCCATCAGGCTTGGCGCTCGTCCCGGAACTTGCCCTCTTGATTTCTCTATAACCCGTTTCAACCACGTCCATGTCCCATTCAGTGCACTCGTTTCATCAAATATCTATGACCATTCCATGCCAAACTCGCCTCTTGAGGCTTGGTGGGATGAGGTATGGCGCATACCTCTCGGAACTCTGGCTGTCACAGCACCATGGATATCTTCCATCAAGGCAGCTGCCTTCATTGCTGGTCGCTATTCCACGCATCGGTCCCTCGTGGGTAAAGGGACGGATCCTATACCTATCATCACATTCAGGACTCAGCAGTGGCCTATTGCTCACGCAACCGCTGTTGGCCTCGTTATGAGCAATTGGTTCCCAATCGTGGCTAAACATAGCGGTGATAAATCTCTGGATCATCGTGTTAGACATGGTCTTGCGGTTATCGTCAAGACCACTGTTTGTAGGCACTTCCAGCGCTGCGTGCCCGAGGTCGCTGAAAGATGCGGTGCTCAAGGCACCTTCGAGCATAATTATATGGCTCGCATCGAGGTTCGTACGCATTCCTTCTAGTGATACTCCGTTGACACATCGTATTAGAATGACGGGAAAGGCGTGATCATCGCTGAAGGCGATGTCCTTACGTTGTGCATTCGTTTATTCTCCGAGCTCCTCCTCCAGCGCTACAAGATACCTCTTCCAGACCCAACCGAGTCGCTTCTCGCTCGGCACGCAGCTTCTATATTGGAGGAAAATATAACCCTTCTCAGCAGCTTGCGTGGGGGACACCGCAGCGAATCATTCAACTCTCTCATCCTCCCCCAGGCGGAGCTTGCGGTTGAAGCCATAGGTCACGCGCTGGCTTATTCCGCCGGTTTGCAATCAGGTCTTCCAAAGCCAATCCTCGATGTGTACGAATGTGCCGTCATCCGCCGCGATCCAGCATGGTATTCGGAGAATGCAGGCCTAACCCGGATTCTCCAACGCATTCGTGAAGATGAGGCTATTACATCCACGCTTCCTCATCTCGACACTTATCTCGACAATCTGGCTATTGAGGAGTACGTCTCTGCGCCTATCGTCTCTGACGAGGCGTGGAAAGTGTATTACGACGCGATGCCCGTTTTCACTGGGAACGCTATTCCCATTATTGATCAGGTACAGGCTATGCTGTAGGCTGTTCTATCGTGAGTGTTAATCATTCGTCTCTCGTCTTAAACTCCGCAGTTTACCATCCTTGTCTTCCCTTCTCTCGCAGTTGAGATTGCTCTTCTTTCTCATGCATTCTTAGAGAACCTCTAAGGGAGGCTTCTGGAAGTTATAAATACGGCTTATTTTTTTGTTTTTGCAAATTCCCGGAGATTTCATCCCAGCACGACCCCTCTCTCGGATATCGGTGATGGCCGTGCCTATAGTGTAATATTTAACCTAGTACTTGATTTTTTTTCCCTTGATTTTCTGAGTGTTTGTTGTAATTGCTATATATCACGATTCACGATTTTTTATGGACCGTATGTACTTAATGATCTTACCTTGCCCCTTGCATTATCTACATGTTGCTATGACCTTGACAATATGTTTTAATTCTGAATACGCATACCGCATATCGCGCATTTTATTCCGCCACAACTCCACATTTGTCCCCCACGCAGCTCATATTTCGCCGTATATGAGACTTACTTCTTATTTGAGTTGTGCCTCTGAAACGCTCGCTTGAAGATCACATCAAGTACTGCCCCTTGAGAAGTAGGGTCTGATAGGTACAGTGCAATTTAATTGGTACAGTGAAACATACATCATGATCTGTCGAAAGCTGGAAAAAAAAGCATGACATATCTATTCTATTTAAGAGATTGATTGATGTCCGTTCACAAGGTTATGCCGTTATGTACGCGTAAAACACGCATCCCACTGCGGCGCACTCAGAATACCGCATGACCACCGGGTATGATGATGCATATGATAGGTTACATGGGGCATAGCGTTTCGTGGTCGGCATCCAGACATTTGTGTGAATGTGCCTGATCTGACGGTGTTCGCATCTGGAGCGGGAACTTCTCGTTTGTTCGCACAGAAAAACATGTCAGAGGGGATATGTTTTTTGGCTCAACTCTATTGCCTATTACCCCATCACGATCTGCTGCGACATGATCGAGGTGATGCGGCCGATACATATACATCGTTTTCGGCCATGGGTTGGGTCCCGACTTCCTATCGTACGAGGTGGATAAATAAATCGGCATGAAAGAGATGCTAGAAGAAACAAAACAAGCACTTACTGTTAAATTGCGTCGAATCGGTTAGAGGCCCGACCGACCGCCATCTGCTCGGGTCCGGCGGTTGATGATTTTTAGAGGGAGCCAACCCGGCGGGTGCGATGAGGTCGGATATGGGTGGGCTTTTTCATTAATTCACCTTACATACAGCCTAACGTGCAATCAAGTCCGGTGGACATCGAAAGCGGCTTTGTGCCGTTTTCAACAAAGGTGATATCGAAGCTCAAGGTAAATCCCGTGTTCAATACTAGGGAGCAAGGACTCGGCCAGACAACCTCAGGCGTAATACAAAAACTGTTACAAGTGAGTACGTGAACAACAGAAATAATACCTGATGAAACACGAAATGCTATGGGTGGCACGATCAAGAACCGTGCTTGCTTTCGTGCAATGTGTCAAAGAACTGCCTGACGTCAGCTTCGCCAACTGTTCTGCCTTCTTGAGCAAACGGCCGGAGATACGCGAGCAGGTCATCCCTGTCAAAATGGGCAATGAAAAAGATTTGTGGAAGGGCATGTGATGAAGGAATACTAACCGCATATCATTGAACGCTCGAATCCCATCAATCGCTCTATCACGAGGAAGGCGTTCCAATGCACGCATACCAAGTTCCTCCAATGAAAGAGCTGACATTAATCAAACCCATCGTGTTAGCACGCAATTACTTCGGATAAGATCAAGGGGGTGCACCCGAATCAGGATCTTCCGGAGGCTCGTAAGTTTCTTCTTCCTCAAGGAGATACGGACGGTTGCTGAGAGATGGAAAACACTGGAATTTGCCGATGAACGGAGATGTAAGAAGGGGCGTGCGTATGGGAAGCTCACACGACTGCATCGACACCACCGTTCGCGCCAACCCTCAGTTAAAAAAACGTCACCCTCCGTCAGAGTTATTTTTGTGTCTGACTGTTGCTGTGAGCCTTGGAATATTGCTTGGGCAGTCGGATTTGGTGCGGGGGCAAGACAAGGCGAGGATGGCTCTAGCGAAATGTGTTGTTTTTTCCGCTCCGGTTCCTGGGAGTGGATAGAATGCGACCGGCTACGTTTTTGCCCAGGGGCTGCCAATGAATCATCTATATCTAGCAATTCATCTTCCGTGTTTGTCGGCGCATCAGCGCCTGAAGGGTTACCGCCTAGTTTCTTCCATGGACTATCTTCTGCATCGCGAACCACCATTATGACACCTTGGGTACCAGCATACCGGCGAAGGGTATCAATCGAACGTACGCACGAGGAACAGACGAATGCATCGTAGTCCTCAGCAGATATGAGCGGCGGAGGTAGCCCTGAAGAGGAGGCTTCAGACTGGTTGTCATCGGGATCATTATCGTGGTTTGTGACTGCATTTTCAGGAACAGGAGACGCTTCACGCGACGATGGTCGTGTCCGCAGGTGTAGACACGACTCGTGGAACCAGTCCTTTGGAGACAAGGTGTGTCAACGACAGCCGACGCGGCTTCACCACATGCACACGCACCTCGCATGCGAGACACTGGATCATTGTTTCCCTCTCGCATTTCGGATCGTATGGTCTGCCACACCGACAAAAAATACTCCTAAAATTCTGGTCGTATGAATTTTCCTTGTTTTCGTCCTCTGGGCTGCGATGCAAAGTGCACCCGTGTGGGATAGCGGTTGTTGGGCAATCACATCGGAAATTGCGCTTGGGGAATAATTCTATTTGCTCGTGATCCGTGTGGCACGCGATGGAGCAAGAAGAACAGAGGCCGCGCGGTAACTGGCAAGTGAGGCAAAGATATACGGCTTGCCTGATTGGACCTAGGGAGTACGTGCAGCGAGAGAATTCGTGCGGAAGAGTCAGAGCTGCTTCTCGAAGAAGTTCATCCTGAGAGGCAACAAACTCCGTTAGAGAACCCAAAGAAGTCATTTTCAGACTTGGTGAACGTTCATAAAGTGGGTTGGTATGGCACTTGTAGGACCTGGTAAGTACTACTCACTCAGGCAGGAGATTACTCAGGTAGGAGATGGTTGCAGACTCGGAGAAGGTCCAAGGCGAATTTCGAACTTGTCACGTGGTGGCGTGGTGGCACTGCGCATTCGGCGTCCGCTGAGCGCTCAAGTTGACCACCACGGTAACCTCAAGACGTTGGACTACAATCTTTATCCAACGCTCATCTGTACACGGTAACTTGGTGCACGTGAACTCCTTAAATTGAAATAGCAGCGTCTGTGATTCACAGTTTGGCTCGCCTTGACAAGTATCTTCCCACCAGGTTATTGAGTGATCGTGCCGTTGAATTTCCATCCGACCCCTCCCCTTCCCTTCTTGTTCGGGGGTGGGCTGGTTGTTCCAGGCCCAGGACCCCACTAGGCCTCACTATTGAATTGCATGAGAGCACATTGCGCTCGATCCGATATGCAGGTGAGCTCGAAACCAAACCTATTCGGATAATATTAATGTCATGTGCCGCCCTCATGATCAGGTCGAGCCTGCGACATCTTATCGGATATCGATATAATTATGCATGAATACCATAATGGAATGACAGTTGAACTACGCGGCTCACACCAGTCATCCTCTTATCTAGAACTACACTTCCTTGACAATACCAGATGGCTACCCTCGACATCGAAGAAGTTCGTGCTTGCTTCCCGTCCCTGGAATCAGGATACATCTACGCCGATAATGCAGGAGGATCGCAGACTGCTCAAGGAGTGATCGATCGGATCGTAGATTACCTGACCAACACCAACGTACAGCTGGGAGCTGACTATTTTGTTGGCATGCTGAGTACCCAGCGCGTGGCTGAGGGCTCTTTCAGCGCTGCAGAGTTGTTCAATGCTGGATCCATCGACGAGGTTGGTTTTGGACCGAGTTCGACGATGATTTTTGAGAACATCGCTAGGGCGCTCGAAAACGACATCCGACCTGGAGATGAATTCATTATTACCGATGAACACGAAGGTTTCTGACATTGTTTTTCTGTCTCTCTCTTTTTCAAACAAACTCAATGCTCGTCTTTAGCCAACAACGGTCCTTGGAAGCGTCTGGCTACGCGGTGCAATGCCGTGGTCAAATACTGGCGACCTACGCCAGTATCTGCGGACAATCCTTACTCAGTCGCATACAAGGTCGAAGAACTGTTGCCACTGGTTTCTTCACGAACCAGGCTGGCCGCCATCACCGCATGCTCCAATATTTTGGGATCATTGGTTCCTGTGGAAGAAGCAGTGAAGGCTCTTCGCCAGCGTGCAAAAGAAAAGGGAGCAAAAAAGATTGAAGTGTCTGTGGATTGCGTTGCATACGCACCACATAGAAAAATAGATGTACAACAGTGGGATATTGATTACTGCGTGTTTGCTTTGTACAAGGTTTCGATATCCTCAACTTCCTTCGATTTCCCATCTGACGCTGTTTTATAAGGTGTACGGGGCTCATAATGCTGCGCACTACGTGCGGTCGGCGGCTCTGCAGGGATCTCTTACGTCCATCGCCCATCATTTCCTGGATGTGGGCAATAAGCCATATAAGTTGCAACCAGGTGGTCCAGGCTACGAGCTGGTATATGGTGCAACGGCAGTCGTGCCATATCTAAAGTCGTTGACGCAAGAAGATGACCTTACAGCATCTTTCGATGCAATCGCAAACCACGAACAAACCCTTCTGGCGCCTTTGCTCCTCTTTTTGACGGACGCAAAACAAGTTGCCAGGGGTGTTCGCGTCGTTGGGACAAGCAAGATCGATTTATCAAGAGTTCCCACTGTCAGCTTTGTTGTCGTCGGACAGAACGCGATGAAGAGCAAAGATATCGTAGGAGCGTTTGACAAAAAGGGAGGGGTAAGTCTGACTTTCAGTGATCTTATTGTATTCGATTATGCATGTTGCACAGATTGGAATTCGATACGGCCACTTTTACGCGTATTCTCTTATTGATAATCTACGCCCGAAACTGGACGTGGATGATGGGGTCGTCCGCATCTCACTTGTCCATTATAACACGGTCGAGGAAGTGGAGAAGATCGTGGACGTTTTGCGGGAAGTTTTGGCTTGAGCAATGGTGTAAATTTGTGAGAATATGTATGTGATATCCGGGAATGTATTTTTCTAGTATTGCGCAGTGCGCATAGTCTCGAGGTTATTGACCTCAGCTGACAGGCCTAAATATTGAGTATACGGGCTACCATTCACTTGGTCATGAGTTATTTGAAATGCAGACCATAAGTCCAGCTTATTCAGCACGGAAGTCCTGCGCGCTTGTTTGATCGTCTTGTGATCTGTCCTCGCGCACATGATTCATTATCATCGTTCGTCCCAGATAGTGCTGCCAGTGCATGAAGCAGCCTGAGATTAAGTCTTCAAGCCACCAGGGTCTCGCATCATTCACCATAGTCAATCATGGCTGTCACTAAACCATCTAGCGGTCCTGACCCCATTCTGCTCACGCTTTTCGCGAATCGTTTCATGAGCGTCGCAGAAGCAATGGGCAGGTCTTTACAACAAACTTCGATCAGTACTAACATAAAGGAACGCTTGGACTTCTCCTGTGCACTCTTCGCCCCTGATGGCGATTTGGTCGCAAATGCGCCGTTCATCCCGATTCACCTTGGATCTATGAGCTTGTGAGTCGTTAAAGCAGTTGCAAAGTGTCTTTGGCGCTTGGCTTAATCTGGTGTCAGCGCTGTGAAGTACCAAATGAAATTGCATGGAAAGGAATTGCAAGATGGCGATGTGCTGATGACCAACTCTCCTCATGCTGGGGGATCGTACGTGCAGCTTCCCTTCACAGTTGCACATATTCACCAAGAGGCAGCCACCTGCCGGACATCACTATTATCACTCCAGTTTTTGATAAAGGGACTAACGAGATCATATTCTTCACCGCCTCCCGAGGACACCATGCTGATATCGGCGGTATACTGCCTGGGTCTATGCCGCCCACCTCTGTGAATATATTCGAAGAGGGAGCGGAAATTGTGAGCCTGAAGATCGTAGACGGCGGCGTGTTTGACAAGAAGGGGTTGTACGAGTACATGGTCGACAAACCAGCACAGTATCCGGGGAGTTCGGGCTGCAGGAACATCAAGGACGTCGAGAGTGACCTCAAGGCGGTAGGTCACTCATAGGTGCACCTTTCAGAATTCACTGCTTATTCATTTTTCGAAGCAAATTGCAGCCAACCACAAGGGAGTTCAGCTAATCCGAGCAAGTCCGTCATATTAACCATCTACTTGTCCCATGCATTGACTATCACGTCTGGATTGCAGTCGTTGATGACTACAGTCTAGAAACTGTTCAAGAATACATGTATCACATCAGGACTAATGCCGAGAACTCGGTTCGAAGTTTGCTGCGCGACGTTGCCAAACAGGCGGGAACTAATGTTCTCGGTGCCGTCGACTATCTAGATGACGGAACACCAGTGAGTTCAGATCGCCGTTGATAGAAAAACATGCCTCTGAGAATCATGACATTGCTTCAAAGATTCAGCTGAAGGTGGAGATCAACGAGGAAGAAGGATCCGCTGTTCTGGATTTCGAGGGTACAGGGTGTGAAGTCAGGGGAAATCTGAATGCCCCGATTTCAGTGGTGCACTCCGCCGTGATTTATTGCATGCGTGCGATGCTGAATGTCGATATTCCGCTCAACGCTGGCTGTCTTGTTCCCATTGAGAGTACGTTCCCTTGGTGCAAATTGAAAGTCCAAGCACTGCATTGACACGAACTACTGTAGTCAAGATTCCCAGAAAATCACTTCTTTCCCCATCTAGGACCGCTGCTGTGTGTGGCGGTAATGTATTGACCTCGCAGCGCATCGTAGATGTGGTTCTCAAGGCTTTCCATGCGTGTGCTGCTAGTCAAGGGTGTACCAAGTTCGTCGTTTTTTCTTCTCCCAAATAGTCCTGTTCTAAATGTTTAACAGCAACTTGACCTTTGGCACGGGCGGTAAAGACAAGAATGGTGCGGCCGTTGCTGGATGGGGTTATTATGAGGTTTGACGTTTCATTACCATTACCATTGACATTGACGTGCGTTCTTTAGACCATCGCGGGTGGATCAGGAGCCGGCTCAGGATGGCATGGCACATCGGGTGTACATACTCATATTACCAACACCCGCATTGGCGATGTCGAAATTCTTGAACGCCGCTATCCCGTCCTTATGCACCGCTTCGGTCTTAGACCAGGCTCCGCAGGAAAGGGTAAATGGAATGGCGGTGATGGTGTGATCAGAGAGTTCGAGGTTATGCAAGGGATGCAAGTGTCCATCCTAAGCGAAGTATGTTATTTCGGGCGCTTTTTTTCCTCCGGTGAAACTCATATGTGAGGCAGAGACGTACACGTGCACCGTACGGCATGGCAGGTGGAGAACCTGCCATGATGGGACGCAACACTTGGATTAAGCAGCGCCGCGTGGAAGACGGTGACATACCCGAGGAAACTTCCAACGAAGATCTAGGACCACGCTACATTAACATTGGAGGGAAGGCGACGGTGTTCATGGGAAAAGGAGATTGCCTATTGATTGAGACGCCTGGTGGCGGAGGCTGGGGTAGGCCTGACGAAGGCCAGTTGGAGACTAATGAGGCACACAAGCATGCTTGGGAAGCGAGAGGAAGTTTCGCAGAGAGGGCTGCTGCGCAAGCTGGGTTCTAGGGGCCAAGTCTCGTACATGCCACGTTGAAGTTCAACCCAAACCGACTTTCGGAGGCGTGGGTATAGGTAATAATTTGAAGGTGCAGTGTTATGTGGCACTGCAGTCGTGCATTAAGTTCAACTAGTAGTAGTCGACATGTAGAATGCTTGAATAATGGATGCAGCTAGGCTTGAGCTAGGCACAGCATGCGCAGTTTTTGAACTGACAGTTGACTGACAGCGAACCAATTGTGCTTGCCACTGGTTGCGCAAAGTTCTGTTTTTTGCCAAAGGCCAAGTCCAAGTCTTGATGGCGTTTCCTTGACTTATTATTATGGTAAGCACGCGTTTTTGCATTGTCTTGTTCGGGACCAACTTGCTTTCCACGACATAGTAATAGAACCGCCCTCGGAGTGTAATCAAACACCCGCTGCTGCTTCCTCGGCCCTAGCTGATTCGGGGGCCTCAGGCTATAGAACCCGATCTTGCCGAACTTATTCTGCTTGCATGCACCAGATGCGCCCGGCTCGAGTTGGATCTTTTTGTCAGGCGAGCCGCCAGGAGCCGCCGCTCTATCAACAACTTTAAAGTCCCACTGATGTGCCACAAGATGAAACCAGGCCCTTCCCTTCTATCTGACTCATGCGCTAGTTATGACCTTTACGATTGCACGATTTGTCTCCCTGGGGCTTTCTGCTGGAGCGAGCAAGGCTTCCTTGCGATTCTTTGCTCCCGCGAGCCCAAGATGTATCAACATTTCTTCTCTGTCGCAACCAGTTAGGACCTCTCCCCACCGATCGTATACTACTACTGTTAGTACCGCCAAGTCCTTCAGATCTGCAGCCGCAGTTGCTGTGATCGTCGGTGGAGCCTCACTCCTAGCCCTGGCACGCTTTCGAGATACTTCTTCTCCAAACCCGACAGCGGAAACCGTCGTCGACGTTGTTCCAACTACTCCTCAGACTGGTTCTGAGCCAATCCGCAATTTTGACAAGGCCCTCGAAGACTTGCAGGCGGAATTTCCAGATTCTTCTGTTGTTTCTACCGATCCCGGTGAACTATATGCTTACGCACAGTCGGCGTACTCCCAATTTGTTGGTCAGTTCGCTTCTCTGTCTTCCTTGAGCTGGAGACCATAAGATTTCACAGGATCACCGCATACCATTGTTGTACACGTCCGAAGCACCGAAGATGTTGTAAAGGTTGTAAAAATATCCAAAAGGTATCTAGTTCCAATTGTACCATACTCGGGAGGGACTAGCCTGGAAGGGAGCTTGTCTGCTGTACGAAAACTCCCACTATTTGTCATCATACCTACTTCTGACTGTGAATCTTGTTTCTGCGTTTTATAGCCATCATCTGGATCAATATGTGTGGATCTCTCCGGTCTTGATAAGATCATAGCAATCAATGGTGGGCGGTGATTATACACTTTTGGATCCCGGCTGACATTTGATTTCAGAATCAGATGCAGATGTAGTTTGCCAAGCTGGGGTCACCTGGAATGATTTGAATGAAACGCTGAAGGAAAAGGGTGTGTTGCTGCGTAGCCGGTATCGCAAGCGGCAAAACTGACTGACATATTCTCAGGAATCCCGTTGTTTTTCCCGGTATGTTTCAGGTTCAATCGGACTGTTTCAAAGTTATAATAATCTACTAGCTTGATCCCGGTCGCGACGCCACAATAGGTGGCATGATCTCAACTGGGTGCTCTGGAAGTGAGTCAGAACCCCGCGAATCCCAAGGGAATTTGACGAACCTCTCCCAAGCCAATGCAGTTAAGTATGGAACGGCAAGAGGCGAATGGATTCTTAACGCCGTGAGTGATTTTTTCAGCCATGCTAATAATATCATTTGGCTTATGAAGGCGGTTTGTAAGACGGTGGTGCTTCCGTCGGGCGAAGTAATCAAGACACGACAGCGCGCTCGCAAGTCATCAGCGGGATTTGATGTCACCAAATTGTTTATAGGCGCAGAAGGCACACTCGGAATTATCACGGAAGGTGAGGTTTTTCCGCATGTATCTGGTCACACACTTACTCGTGCTCCTTCGTGATCCTTGGTGGCGTGTTATGTTGTGGCAGCTACACTGCGTCTAGCGCCCGTTCTGCCGAGCACTGTTGCCGTTGCGCAATTTCCTGATATTCGGCATGCAACCAATGCAGTGTGTGAGATCTTGAACCATGGCGCAGCACTGCGTGAGTCAGAGGCTCTTCAAATACGGCGAATGCTGAACTGGCCATCCTCACAGAATGTGTCGAGATCATCGATGAACTTACAATCAAGGTTCTAAACCAATACGGAACGTCGGCGAGAAACTGGCCAGAGAAAGCTACTTTGTTCTTCAAGTTCCAAGGCTCGGATGATGCGATCCAGGAAACGTCACGCTATGTAGAGAGTGCGATTGCGAGACATGGTGCGACTGACTACCAACTTGCTGCGAACGAGCAGGAAAGCGAGGACATCTGGCAGGACCGGAGAAATGCGCTTTTCGCGTGCCTTGCATACCGTCCAGGATGTAAAGGGTGGATTACCGACGTATGGTAAGTAAGTGATGTCATTCCTGGGATTGCTGCTTCGGCGGCGCCCTATGACGAAACTACTTCACGTTATTTGCTCACCCATGTACTCTTCGTTGACTGTGTTTGTCTAGTGTCCCAGTGTCGCGCCTACCCGATCTTATTACTGCTGCGAAGAAAGACTTCGAGGAACTCGGTCTAATTGCGCCGATCGCTGGTCATGTTGGCGATGGTATGTTCCTTGTCGCACATGTGTACGTATTTACTCATGCTGTGCCACAAAGGTAACTTCCATGCTCTCGTTCTCTACGCGGACGAGGCAGAGCTTGCCCTTGTACGAGAAGCGGTCAGCAGGATCAACCACAAAGCCATCGAACTCGAAGGGACATGTGAGTATCATCGTTTGGTTGAGTGTTGAGTTTCCATAATCTCGCTCGCGCTTTAGGTACTGGGGAACACGGTGTAGGTATGGGTAAACGCGACTACCTCTTGACTGAGCTTGGGGAGGGCACAGTGGCCCTCATGAGAACGATCAAACAGACTCTAGATCCTCACAACTTGTTTAATCCAGGAAAGGTAAGCAGTTCCTCTGCGAACCAGGCACTTGATACGATTGTATTTTTACAGCTGTATCCTGATGTTTCGCCACCATCCGACACAAATGCGTTGACAGAAGGTCACGCTATTTCGGACTCGAAGCCGACCAGCAAATCGTTAGTCTCAGAGCCAGGTGCTTGAGTTTTTTTTGTCGCCTATGAAGGTTGTACAATTTGATTTATCCTCTTGATGACATCCTGTTCCTTATGAGAAAGACAACCGAGTATTGACCAATCAACAATTTGATTATTCAACGCTTGATTCAACGGCCCCATTTCAGATTTGCACACACATTTAGCCGGTTGTCCCGAGGCCATCTCAAGTGATTCCTTGTACTATCGGTGGAAGCCCTTGGAAGCCCTGAGCAGAGTGACATTATGCGATTTTAACGTGTAATTTGTGAGGTCGATTGAGAGGCTATGGTAACAAGTTGAATATATATCTTGCAAAGCTCCAATGTGCCTTTACGTTCACACATGGAGCTTTCCCTACAGCTATTTTCACATCGATAGACTTGATTCCGCTCGGCGTAGGTGCTGTAGCGAATGCATGGGACCCATCAGGACCCATGATGCCATCCCAGGCTAAGTCCTTTTAGCGGTGGAAGGGAACGCCGACTGTGACCGTACAAAGACCACTCGGGAAAGTACCAGAGCTCTTGATCCGTCTATCGCTATTCTTATCAATTGTGGCTGACTTAGACTCTTCAGCGTATCAGGCTCTAACCAAATCACAGGACGGCTTATTAATCGCTCGTGGTGGCGATCAATCGGACCTTCGACAAGGAAACAAGCAAAATAGCCAGAATAGCGCATCCAACTACACCCGCATGACCTCGCATGACCCCGGCATTTCCCCAGAGTCCAGACCGCGCAAAAGTCCCAATTGTTCAGCTGCAGCTGCTGCACATGATAACTTATTGTCTGCCATTTGAATTCCTTGGTCTACCAAGTCACTGAATGTTTAGGTCCGTACGAGAAACACGAAACCCTTCTCCAGCGTGCGCAGTAAGTGAACAATGTCGGAAATTCCTAATTTGGATTTCAGCGCCTTGCAAGGCATTTCAAGGTTTAAAGGCAAAATGGCCTTTGAAATGGGTTTAAATAATAGAGTCGGTCTTTAAATTGCCATAGAAATGCGGTTGCAATTGCATTGCAATCGATTGCAATGGACCTACAATGGTACGGCAATGGTTCGGCACGTTGCAACTTTCTTGCCATATTGTTGCAATATATTGAAATGTCGCAAGATACCTACCAAATTCATTTAAAGAATACCTTATTGCAACCACTTTCACAAATTTCCGACAAAGAGTCACGGCATGTACGCGTCGTGGGATGTCCGGTTTTGACCACACCTGCGTGTGATGATGAGAAACTGATAACGAATGCACTGATTTGTACCAGCAAAATCAAGGATCCGGAGAATCATCTAATACGATTCTGGTGCACACTGCATGTAGCGAATCATATATTAATGGGCTTGCTTCCCTACTTCTGACTGTCTTTTTTTACTTACTGGGTTATTCCCAAGGACGATTAAGTCCACCACCCGACCGGTCACCGCGGGGCAGAGTCACTGATTTGAACTTTAGTTTGCTTCTCTTGAGCTACATAACCATTTGCTACCTTGGACTCGTCCCCGTTCTCTTCCTCGTTATAGAATTCATCATTCGCTATGCCAGGAGGACCGTTGAACATGCCCAGAAGAACTTCTCAGATGTTGCGCTTCATAGTCGTAGGAGGGAGCATCGCAGGCGTCGCTTGCGCATACGCGTTACAAGAAGCGGGGCACCAAGTATTGGTTATCGAGCAAGGCGATGGGAGGTGCAATGTGAGTAGTTCGTTCCACTGTCGAGTCATGGTCGATATGAACCAGATCAGAGTCGTGGCGGAATACGATCTCCACCAAATATGACGCGCCTGCTGAATCATTGGGGGCTCGGACCTGCTATCGCCCGAGTTTCAACAAAGGCCAACAGGTTCACTTTCATGGACGGTACGATACCGCCGGTAGATCACCGTTATCTGTCGGTATCCTTATATATAGTTCCATTGCAGGCAAATCTGGGGAAGAACTCGGTCCGCTCGTGCTCCACGACAAGCTCATGAAGGCGTTGGCGGCGGATTTTCTATATATACAGGTTCGCCACATTCGTGATATGCGACATTTCCGGATCTTTGATGAAAACCTTCAAATCTGATAATAGCATGGTGCGGTGCACGCGATGTTCGTTGAGTTTGCCAAAAATGCTGGCGTCCAATTCCGGTATAACACGGAGGTCGTCTCGGTCGATCCGTGGAAGGGCGTTGTGACTACGCGCAAGGGCGCTAAATTGTCTGCGGACGTGATTGTAGGCGCGGATGGGTACAAGAGCATCGTGCGGTCTGTGGTGGTTGGTCCTGAAGGAATGAATGGCGTTTTGGACAAACGCGTATCGGTGAAGTAAGCAGTGCTCTTGTTACTCGGGTTGATCCTCATTTCTTACGGCTAACGCGTATTGGCGCTTATAGCATCACCGTGCCCACAGATCTGATGCGGCAACACAAGGATCTTGTTAAATTAACGGTTTCACCGGAGGTATGAAGATAAGCATCACATCCTTATATGTTATTAACGCCTGATTAGTGGTCGCTATGGCTGGGTAATGATTGCGCGATGCATGGGCTGCTCACCGTGCGTATCCTGGTCACAAATGCTTGAAAGATCACTGCCTAATCTTCCAAAAGGTTGATCCCCAGTCATCCAAGAAAGAATATGCTATAGTTATGCATGTTCCTACGGAAGGCAGACCAGCACCGGATTCATGGGCACGGTCACAGCCTTTGGATGAGAAGTTCTTGAAGCTGGACCGCTTTGAACCTAGGTGCGTTTGCGGGCTCATTTTCTTCGACATTGCTTGATGCTGGTCAATAGAGCACAAAAGCTAGTGAGACTTGCGCAGACTATGACTCCGACCGGCCATACTATCTACGAACCCTTTGATAACTGGGTCCACGAGAGCGGAAGGGTAGTGCTGGTTGGTGAGGCCGCCCACCCATTGATGGTATGCGTATTCACTTTTCTAATCATACACGTCACCCATTGATCACTGGTTTTCGCAGCCCAACGGGTCGCATAATGCTGCAATGTCGATAGAGGATGCCATGACATTATCGACTCTCTTTTCTCTCCCAGCAACTAAATCGCATACGCCCCTTCTCCTTTCCGCTTACGAAGAACTGCGGCAGCCACGTTGCGCTGCAACACAATCTTCTGAACTACGGAAACGAGATTTCGTATGCTTGCCCTTGGGTCCTGAACAGCAGGCTCGTGATGTCGGTTTGCGAGATGCAAGCAAGCGTGCGTTGCTCGACTGGGACGAAGCAGAAGAAGAATTTTTACGTGACACATGGGAGGAATACATCGACCTATTTGCTTTTGACGCTCGAGAGGCGGTGGAGGACTGGTGGACGAAATGGGGACCGACTATCTCGCGCCCGCAGATGGTAGATTCTCGAATAGAGAGCGTGGCGGGGAAGTTTGAGTCGCTACATCTGAAGGTGGATGTTTTGCGGGAGGCAGTAGCATGACTTGGAGTGCTTCTGCAGGATGACGAAGGATCTAACGATACTTATACCATGGACACTATTTACCCCACGACGACTCAGACTGGTCTCAAGGACAATCAATTCAAATGCTCGCGTCTCCTTGCTTTCATATCACCATCATGTATTTCCACTGTCATACGGGATTTAGACGTAGTCTCTGATCGTCCGTCTTATGTTGTTGCTACAATACTGCAACTTGTTGTCTGTTTACCAATGACCCGTTCGTTTGCGTGTATAATGTTAGAGCGAGTACGTGTACACATGCAGTCTGAGAAATATTGGATGGGGTGATATGTTGATCCCCACTCGAACACGAGAGACTGCTTACCAAAAGATGTTACCAGCACATAAGGATACATTGTACCATGAGGCGTTCGGGGGGTCGGTGTTTGCTGGTTTGCAAAATGACAATGTTTCGTACTTCCGATGTCTCCTCTAGTAGTGTGACACTGTTCCGACTGTCCAATCAAGTTTAGACGTCGTTCCCAGTAAGGGCCTGTGGATATAAAATCCAAGGCGAAGGACATACACGCATCAACGAGCATCAGATCTGGGCTTGTGTAAGAAACATGCTTGTGTAGAATAGTCTATTCCATGGTTACAGTTGAGTGTGAGATAGCGTCACTAAATATTCGAACTAGTGAACCCACAAGAAGGTGCGAGTGACGCTGTCACTCTCTGCACCACATGCGCACCACAGAAAGGCGTCAATTCAAGAATTTGGCTGAGCAGGGATATTCGAACTGGGAACCCGAGGGTCGAAAAATGAGCCAATTGTGCATCGACTCCAGAAACCTTACTTGCAAGGTAATATAATGATGAGATGGTCGCATCCGTCTATAGGTGGGGTAACAAGTCCAAGCACTCTACGAAGGGGAGAGACTGGGAGTGCTCAACTGCACCCTTCTTTCCTCCTTCTCCCTGGCTTGTTCTGCGATCTGTGGAAAAGACGATGAGTATTTCGGGTGGGAAATAAGGTGGTTTCACGCACCAGGGCTCGCCATGAGTGGTCAACCGGTCGCTGGAAGGAAAAAATCAGTATCTGCACCATGTGGACACGTCAAGCTCGGAACTCACGCGCTCGAGGGCGGCCTGACGCTGATTGTGCGTGAGGATACCGGCGCCGATCAAGACGCCAATAGTCAAGCCTTGTGCCCACATACGCACTTGAACGATCTTTTGGGGTAACGTCTGATGTCTGCACATATTCACATCAGAACATGGAAGAACTGTCGATGTAAAGGAAGCAACGAACCTATCTTTTGCAATGATGCTGCCAGCGACTGCCATTGACAGAGCCCAGCTTCCAAGAATGATACTGTACTGGTGTCGTGATGCCCAGTCTCCGATTTTTTCTTTTGTGCTCAGAGCTTGCCATTGTGCTTCTGCCTCTGCTGCTTCTCTGTCTAGTTCCATTTTACCTGCGCCGGTCCTGCGGGATGTTGGAGTGCGATATTTGGTTCAGGAATTGAGACTTACCAGTGCGCACGATCGTACTCTAGACCGCGCCTTTCAGCCTGGATGGATAAGCAAGGCGCGACCACTATGACAGTGCCCATGACCTTCAAGGGCAGAGGGAGTGCTCGAAAGGATGCCCATCTGCGGGAGAGCAGTATTGTACCGGGGATAGCAACGGCTGCGCTTAAGAGTACGCCTTCTGCTGCACCGCGGATGGTAGCATTGGTGTGGCCGTCGATTTCTTCCTGGGTGACGATCTTCATTTATGTATTAGTGTCACCAAAGTGTTACAGTGAAGGTTTCAAGAGCTCGGGTAGTCGTCAACGTTCACGACAATGACCTATCCCACCCTGTACTTATATTTGGTGACTGACGCTCGAGCCTCGCGAGTCGCCCCGGCGTGGAGTATTGGCTGTGTTACACGGTTCGGGTTCGGAACGATACGGGCAACTGGGACTGCTTCTTTGGTTGGTTATCCCGAGTAGTTCCGATATCGTGCTTCTGCCTGAATCTGCCACCATTATAGTCTGGACAGTACTATGATACGAATGACCAAAGTTTACTTCGACCGGCTGTCAAGCTGCAGAAATCTGGTGAACAGAGCCTGGTTTGTTTGCACGTCTAGGACTCTGGCAACGCTGTGCGGAGGCTAATATTGCTCCACTATTGAATTGATAATTATGTATTAGCCCTGAAATCTTGTGCTTCCGCCCCCGTGAGTCTCACTTACCTCTTGAATCTCCTATGCTCACCTTGCGAAATAGCATTTGCCTAGTCTCTGCCTCTTCCTCAGGCTTTAGGCTTGGACCAAGCACCAGCCATGCCAACGCTTTTACGTTGACTGTTGTGAACTTGTGAACAGTCCGTAAATCTACGCCGCTACACGTGACGTCACTAGGTATGTTTTGTCAAACAAACCGCCGTGAATTTTGTGAAGAGACTCATAAGCGAATGTACTAATCTAATATAATGGCTTCTTCCGCAAGTCCTAGCATATATAACGGGCATTTCGTCGTCCTTTCATCCTTCAGTTCTTTCCTTCTCTCCTCACTTCTCTCACCCCCGCATCCTATTCCACTTTCTTTTTCAAAGTCGTTCTTTATCATGAGGTTATCATCTTTTGCTGTCCCCGTCCTCTCTGCATCGACCGCGTTCGCTCTTTCTAAGAATCCGCCTCCTTGGAGACGCGCCCTTGTGCACGATGTCTGCGGTTCTCTCAAGTCTGACCTGATTCTCAACGAGATAATCGACAGCCAAGGTACGCTACTTTTCTTTCGATCCGAGACTCAAGAGCTGATCTTCCTTTGAATCAGGCAGAGCAACCGTCGCAGGCCACATCGAAGCTTGCCTCTGCCTCTCGGATGTTGTCAAGTTCGTGGAATCAAACGTCGCTGCACAGGCAGCTGTGAAGCTCCTCGGCAACCACGGCAAGGTCGAGGCCTTGATCTCGGGCATGGTAAGCTTTTTTTGAACTAATCGCTGCATTCGCTAACTGTCTTATAGGTCAAAGGCCTTTCGACGGGCTCGCACTGCTCTTACCCTGATCACGCCCGTGCTCTTTGCACGGACTCCAACCCATGCGATTTTGAATGCATCGACGGTTACTTAGCCTTCCCTCCCGAGAAGCCCACTTCTTGCAAATGTCCTGATCACCTCATGGAGTGCAATGGCAAGTGCGGTCATTTCAAGGAGTGCCCCAGTGAGGCACCTCTGTCCCGTCGTAATAGCGAGCCCCAGTGCGCCGCTGGCCGCACCATGTGTGGCATCCCTGGTACCACTACTGGTCAACCCTGGAAGTGTGTTGATGTTAAAACTGATACCACCACTTGTAAGTTTTCTCTTCGCAAATAAATGTCAGACTCTAATATCCTCATAGGTGGTGGATGTCTTAAGGCAGCTCCTTTCGGAAAAGCACCCGTCACCGGCGAGAACTGCAAGGACATCAAGGGCGTTATTCATGAAACCGTTACTTGTGGCAACGGCCGCTGCATTGTGAAAGACTGCGCTGAGGGCTTCTTCGTTGCTCCTGCTATGGATACGTGCATTCCTATACCCAAATCTGCTACGGCTGGCTCTAAGCAACAAAGCGAAGCTACTATTCCTGGTTCTAGTGGTTCAACTGGAAGCACTGAAGGTCTCAAGGTTTCTCGCGACAAGCTTACTGCAGCGTTGAAGCACGGTGCGGGTATCGCTATCGCTCCCCTTGGCGATCCAGTCAGTGGTTTAAAGACTCCTCGTGATGTTACCGGCGGTATCCAGAATGGCGCTGCCGTCGTCGTTAAGCCACTTCTCGGAGCGACTGAGGGTCTCGCTGCCGGTGGTTCCGCAGGCCCCGCGGGTGTTCTCGCTGGTGTTGTACAGGGCGCCAAGGTAGTCTCTCCAGTTGCAGGTGCAGTAGAGGCCACGTCCGCTGGCTTCAAAGTGACTCGTGATGTCGCTGGCGGACTGCCTCGCGGTGCCGGCGTTGCGCCTATTGTCGGTGCTGCTAAGAGTCCCGCTGCTGGCCCATTCGCTGGCATCCATGGGATCCGTGGTGTTGAGGGGGGCTTGATACATGGCATTGGTGCTAGCGCCAAAGATAATAAGGCTGTGGCTGGTACGACGGCTGCTGTTCATGCGGCTTAATTTGCTTTACGCTTTCTTTTGTCGGTTTCCCACTCCACGCCTATGATAATAGCTTTATAGTGACGCCTACGAGTACTTGACAGATAATCGAGAGTTTTCTTGCGCCGCATTGCGGATTTGTTCCGATCCCAGCGGGTGACGTCAGATTATCCATTGACGTCACGGGTTGAACAGGACGTGTGTATGGTGGCTCACAAAACACACGAGGAGTATAAAACCCAGGCAAGTCCTCGTACTAGCTACGTTCTCCTTATATCGAATACCTACCCAACCCATTCAACTTTACAATGGCTTCGTCTATCGCACACCCCTCCGCTGTGGGCACGAATACCCAACCCAAAAGATCGACTGTATCTTCCACCGAAACTCCAACACAAGCTGCACCTGAAGCGTCCACCGACGACAGTCAGCTTCCGCCGCAAAGGCATGCAGGAGCCCTTGGGCTCGGTCCTGCGTATGGCCAGGGAGCAGTGAGTCACATCATATAGCGTCTCAAAGCTAAACTGAGTCGTGTCGCGTCATAGGGTCTTGGAGAAAAGCTCGGCGGGTTGCAAGAGGAGATCAAGGGGAAGATCATGAAGAAACCAGAATTAGTAGAGCATGGGCGCGAGAGGCGTACGGGAATTTTGAAGAAGAAAGAGCAAGAACAGGTAGGGAATCCAGTGTTTCACCACTCCAACCGCTCGTGGAACTCATATGTATTGGCTAGAATGACGAGGAAGACCCGTTTGCGAAACCAGAAAATTAAAGCGCAATTTCCAGCAAAGGCGCGGTCTGAACTAGGGGAGGCGAGATTAGCGCCGGTGTGCATGAGTATCTGTAGCGATAACAGACTTGGTTATAAAAAATTACGCTTTGATTTTGAAGACTCATTATGCATTATGAGCTGGGCAGGCGGGAACTGGCGGGAACCAGAGGATGAGCGCTGCAGCCTGCACATCCGTGACAACGCGGTGTGACATGTGACATGCGCGTCTAGGAATCATTATGATGACTTTCATGTAGGTTTTCAAATCTACTTGAAGATTGAGAAGCAAATTCTCTTAACGCCCCAATAACGCCCGGTAGGTTATGCACCTAAGCAGCGCAATTTCCCACTCCGCCTTGAGGTGGGCGGAGGCGCTCGTTTGGTGACTGAAATTTACTCCATTCCACTACACTAACACAGGCAATGTTTTCCAAAAAGCCAAAGGCGGGAAGGTCCAAAAATTTGAAGGTGAGGAGGCACGTATCTAGGTGTCACCATTTTGTATCTGATCTATCACAGACGGACTCAAAACAACCCGCTTCTGAAACCCAGGAGTTGCAGGACGACAACGTGAGCCAATTGTTGAGTGTTACTATAGCGGCAATCGGCATTACAAGAGACCTCGTTCCTATCGACCTGGCGAGAGGTATCCTCGGAACGGTTGCCAACATTTTGATTATCGCGCAGGTGCGTTGGCGTAATCTTCCGAATTTTCATGAAGGATCCTCAAGTCTGTGTAGTCGGTGATCAAGAATAAGTCCGATTTTCTGGCGATAGTCAAGAAATGCGAAACTATCAGGAAACGACTCGAAAGAGCGACCAAGGATGCTACCGAAGATGATCTGCAAGGGTCCTTGGGGGAGGCCTTGTCTGAGCTTAACATGTGAGCGCGAGCCAGATTTATGTCATTGTTACCGGAAAGTGATGGCACCATGCAGATCAGTTAACCGCATCTATACAGAAGTGGCCTTAAAGAAGGAGCAAGGATTTTGGAAGAGTCTCTTCTCTGTCACGATCGATCGCGACCAGATCGCTGGATGGGAGATGGATCTGGATCGCGTCCTCGCACTCTTCAATGTATGTCTCTGTAACAGCATGCCTGCTTGCCTGCTGAATGCCGTCTCAAGTTTGAACTGACTGCTGGCATTGCGGTTGGTATGAGGAAGCTACTCAAGGGTAATGCTGCTGGTATCACTGCTCCAAAGTAAGTCGTTATTTTCGTCAGGTTATGAGTGTCCTCTAAACGCAATCAGGCATCGCCCAACTGAGCCTCCGTCACGGCCTGCTATGTTTTATGGCCGCGATGATCTTGTGGCAGAGTTGACGAACCTCGTTGTCAATGATGAGCATATTGCATTGATCGGTCCGGGGGGCATGGGAAAGAGTTCTCTTGCCAAAGCCATCCTCAACGAGCCACTCGTCACGGAGAAATTCACTGATCGGCGCTTCTTCGTGGCCTACGATGGCCTCGATCCTTCGACCATCACTTTCGAGACTTTTATGACTCGTTTCGCGGGAGCCCTTGGCACAGAAATTGCTGGTGCTGATCCCGTGCGCCAAATATCTTCCTTTCTTCGTTCTGCCAGCGCCCTCATTGTCCTCGACAATGCTGAGACTTTCGAAGAGGCCAGTGCATCGTCGACGCTGAGAGAGATACCACCAGCTATTGCTGAGATTGCTAATATATCTGGCGTCATTCTGGTCCTCACGTCACGCAGTAGGAGGAATGCGCCGAACGTGCATTGGATAACGAAGGATATCCCGCCGCTGGACTTGAGCTCTGCTCAACGAGTGTTCCTCCAGATTTATCACCACGCCAGTCGTAGCGATGCCGAAGAAGACATAAAAGGCCTGCTCAAGGAATTGGATTTTCACCCCCTTTCCATCAATATACTCGCGAATGCCGCACAGCAAAATAGCTGGTCTCCAGCCACGCTGCTCAAGAGATGGAAGGATCGGCACAGCAAGGTGCTCGACGCCGGAAAGGGGAAGCTGCAAAGCTTGTCAGACACCATGGAGCTGTCACTCAGCTCGCCGTCGGTCCTTGATCTCGGAGCGGACGGTCGTCGTGCTTTAGCGATTATCGCATTCTTGCCCCAGGGTCTCAACGAGGACCTGGCTAGTGATTTGTTGCCATCGCTTCCGCAAGTCGATGCTATATGCGATGTTCTATGCATGCAATCACTTGTTTATCGCCAAGACAAGTTCATCAAGATGCTCGCACCCATTCGACATTATGTGCAAGATTCATTGCCCCCACCTGACTCCGCGTGTTTGCAAGAGATATATGCGTTGTACGATGACGTCATCGACTGCTGTTCAAATGATCGTGATCAGTATGCTGATATCATTATCTCGGATCACCTAAACATCGAACACGTAGTTGCTTTCAAACTTGCCCACGTCCCAGATGGCACAGGAGAGATCTATGACGTTTGCTGGCGGTTTTTGTGGTGCTTGGAGATGCATCTGCCTCGTCCGACTACCCTTACCCTCGCTATTTCTAACATCGTCGAGAACTCCTCCACGTGGATGCTAAAAGCATGCTGTTTGTCAACTCTCGGGGAGCTCTACAGTACACTTTCTCAGCTCGCTGAAGCAGTACGGGCCTTTCAAGCTGCCGAGGCACTCTACCTCGCCGTCGACGACCTCGAGAGCATGGCGTATTGTCTTACAAGCCGTGCAGACAAGCTGAAATGTCAAGGTCGCTATATTCAATCCCAGAATCTCTTAGAGGATCTTCAGCACTCCGACTCTTGGAAGTCACTCAGCGAACATAGGAAAGCCGAAGCTTGGCGCGCCTTGGATAGAGTCCGGATGTACACATTCACAGTGTCTGCGGATCAATTATTTGTGAAACCCTCAGAAGATCGTGTCTGGGACTTGCGATCCAAGATTTGGCACTGGCGGGCCAAATTGTATCATGGGGCAGACACTGTCCAGGTGCACACACACTTAGATGACCTGATCCCGCAATGCACCGGAGATGTCTTCGACCGCAGGGACGTACTTGAGGGGCTTGCAGAAGCTGCATTTTGCGAGGACAAGTTATCTGACGCAATGGATAATCTACAGAAAATCGTAGACATGTTCGAGGGAGGACATTCGGGCGATGCTTACTGGTTCACCGTCCGGAAGGCTGTTGTCCTGAGCAAGCAGGGGAATTATGACCTTGCGAGGGAGCTCATCCACAAATCCTCAGGATCCTTCCAATTTTTGGCGCTGTGTAATGCACATACATTCCTCCAACAATCATATAGCTCAGCATGTATAGAGCTCACCGCAGGCGAGTACGACAGGGCTGCGTCTCATTTCACCGCCACAATCGAAGGTTGCAATATACAAGGCAACCTAGATATCAAGGCACACAGCATCCGTGGACTGGGCGAGGTTGCCTTTGCATATGATAACTTTACTTTAGCTGCAGGGCGCTTCGCGGAGACACGGGCTTTGTGCACTGAGATGGGAGTGAGTGCGCGAAATTTGTACAGTTGCTTCCCGTTCGATGCTTTGCCGGACAGATTCAAAGGATGGGAGTTGTTTTTGGAGGGTCGGTCACCATTTGTGAATATTTAGATATCGATCATGATATGATACAGTAAGTTACCGTTGTACACCAAGTTGTAACTTCATTGTATCTCGTACGATTTACCCGGAGCAGTTGATAACCTCGTATTCATGGCATAACATTAACCACACGGCCGGTCCACATCAGGTCGCAGGGAAGATCCCATTCATTTCCGATACCGAAATCAGTTGTGCTTCAGGGCAGACTGATGAATGTTCATCGAAGCCCCGACTCTTCAAGTTGTCAACGCATCCATCTGCCAGTGTTATAGCCAACATCTATAGTTGTCTGCCAGTGTGCAAGGATGGCGAAGGCACCATTGTGCAGTGCAAAACGACCAGTGCCTGGACACCTAGAAGTGTCCCGTGAATCACCTCGACAAACCCGTCCATTGCATCGTTCACGATGCAGCGTCTTGCGGTCGCGTGGAATCTTCTAGCCCAGGTTGAAATTCCGGATGCATCGACACCGCGGGAAGTGAGTAATGGTCCAGTCAACGAGTCCTGTAGCGAGGAGTCGAGTAGATCGAAGAGTAATGACACTTTTGCTCCATCTCTGGTCTGTATCTTGGTATGGATGTGAAACTGGTATAATAATCGTACAACATACAACTGCAGACCAGTGTAACATTATAATTTACATAACACACGGCGACCGACCATCCAAGAACAACGCCCATCCTTCGAATCTGTCCGGTAGAACATCCAGTGGTACGCAACTGTACAAATTCCGGGGAGGCACTCCCATCTCAGTGCACAAAGACCGTGTTTCTGCGAATCGATGTGTGGCTAAAGGGAAGTCACCACGCGCAAAGGCAACCTCGCCCAGCCCACGGGTGCTGAACGCCTTAACGAGCAGCTCGCCTTGTATGTCACAACTTTCGATCGTGGCGGTGAAGTGAGACTCGGCCCTATCGTACTCGCTAGCGGTGAGCTCGATGCTGGCAGAGACATAGGATGTGTGGAGAAATGTACGGGCACTGCGCAGCGCAAGGAATTCAAGGGATCGGGAGGCTTTGTTGAAGGCTTTCTGGATAAGCTCCCTCGCGAGGGCAAAATCCCCCTGATGGCCCGCAACAGCCGCTTTCCAAACGGCATACCAAAGGAGATTCTCACAATCTTGCCCCTCGAACATTTCTACTATATTCTGTAGGATATCCATCGCTTCGGATAACCTGCCTGCGCAAAACGCAACGTCTGCGAGCACCCAAAGTGCGTCCTTACGGTCGTGGAGGTTTCCAGTGCGTGTGCATTTCTCGAGAAGGTCTTCTAAATGCATCTTGACCTGGACAATGTCACCGCCATAATACATTTGGGCCCCCCAGTGCCGAACCTTAGATATCAAGCCCCATGCACTATCTCCCATGGACTTTACAAACAATTCGTCTGCAGATGCTGTGAACGTGTACATTTTGGCAGAGTCCAGGAAATACCAAACTTGGGCTTTCGTTGTTCCGCTGAGATATTTCCACGAGCGGGAGCGTTGGAGGTCCTCGAGGACCCGTTGGGATTGAATGAAGAGACCTTGGCACCTGTATATGTCTGCAAGGGTCGTAACACAGATTGCCACATCCTCGTAGTCGCCGGCAGTGAGGTAGAGAGCTTTGGCAGCTTGAAAGGCCGTAATTTGTTCGGTGAGCTGAGAAAGCATCCGATAGAGCCACCCCAGTTGCCGGAGGCAGTTTGCTTTTGGTGTCAATGTGGAGGAGTTTGGAATGATGTTGAAAATAGCTGGGGCAAGCGTAGTTGGGCGAGGCAGATGCCACCGCAAGTCCCGCAAAAATTGGCAGCAAATGTCGTAAGTCTCTCCTGTGCTATCTGGTACGTGTGCAAGGTCGGAGACGACCACGTGCTCAATGTTTAGATGATCCGAGATAATGATATGAGCATGAACATCTCGTTCTTCTGAACACAGTCGGACGGTACGATAGTAGAAGGCACGTATCTCTGCCAGACAAGTGGAATCGGGTGGTAGCAACGAATCTCGCACGTAATGCCGAATGGGAGCGAGCAGTTTGATGAAGCTGTCTTGGCGATAAACGAGAGATTGCCTGCAAAGGACATCACAAATCATGTCGACTTGCGGGAGCGACGGCAACAAATTGCTAGCCAGCGTGTCATTGAGGCCCTGGGGAAAGAAAGCAATGATAGCGAGTGCACGACGACCACCGTCGCCGAGGTTTTGAATTGACGGCGAGGTGAGCGATAGCTGCATAGTGTCCGACAAGCTTTGGAGCTTTCCCTCGCCAGGGTCAAGTACCTTGCTGTGTCTATTATTCCATCTTTTCAGCAGAGTGGCTGGAGACCAGCTATTTTGCTGCGCGGCCTTGGCGAGTAAATTGATGGAAAGGGGGTGAAAATCCAATTCCTTGAGCAGGTCCTTTATGTCTTCTTCAGCGTTGCTACAATTGTCATTGTTATAAATTTGAAAAAAAGCTGTTAGAGCAGAGGTCAAATCCAACGGCGGAATATCCTTCGCTATCCATGGCACGTTGGGTGCATTCCTTCTACTACGTGACGTGACAATCAGAATGACGCCGGGGATGTCGGCAATTTCAGCAATGGCAGGTGGGATGTCCCTCAGCGCCAATGATCCGCTGGCCTCTTCAAAGGTCTCAGCATTATCGAGGACAACGAGAGTCCTGGCAGAACGAAGAAAGGCAGATATGTGGCGCATAGGATCAGCACCAGCAAGCTCAATGCCGAGGGCTCCCGCGAAACGGGTCACAAATGCTTCAAATGTGATGGTTGAAGGATCCAGGCCATCGTAGGTCACGAAGAAGCGCCTATCAGCAAATTTATCCTTGATCAGTGGCTCGTTGAGGATGGCTTTGGCAAGGGAGCTCTTTCCCATGCCTCCCGGACCGATCAACGCAATATATTCATTGTTGACGACGAGGTTTGTCAACTCCGCGACGAGATTGTCACGGCCATAAAACATTGAAGGTCGTGGTGGAGGCTCAGTTGGGTGATACCTGATTGAATTAGGAGGGTATACACCACGTGGCAAAATAACAACTTACTTGAGAACATTGACACTAGGAATATTGCTTTTGAATTCCAAAGCCAGCTTCTTCACAAATTTCACGTCCATCGCGATGTCAGCGATAGCTTCAAACTTGAGACGCCATTCATTGATTCAACAGCGAAGGCGAAATGAAGTGACACAGACATACGTTGAATAGTGCGAGGACGCGATCTAGGTCCTTTTCCCACCCAGCGATCTGGTCGCGATCAATTGTGACAGAGAGGAGCCTCTTCCAAAATCTGCGCTCCATTTTTGAGGTGATTTCATTATGGATGCGCTTAACTGATCTACATGATGTTATCCATGTGTGGCGATGCTGAAGGTGGTTCTACCTACATGTTAAGCTCCGATAAAGCATCCCTCAAAGATGCTGGTAAATTGACTGCGGCAGCATCAAGATCCTTTGTCACTCTTTCAAGGACTTTCCTGATGGTGTCGCACTTGTTGGCTATCGCCCGGAAATCGGACTTGTTCTTGATCACTGACTATGCAGACATTGTGAGCATCCATGGTGCAGATCCAACGAGTGTTCTGTCAACGCACCTGCGCAATTGTCAGGATGTTTGCAATTGTTCCGAGGATGCCTTTTGCAAGGTTGATTGGAACAAGGTCTTTTGTGACAGTGATGGCCGCTATAATGACGCCCAACAGTTGGCTCACATTATCGTCCTGCGACTCCTCAGTTTCAGGAGCGGGTTGTTTTGAGTCCTTCTATTATGGATCAGATACTTATTCGATGGTGGATATGCGCCTTCTTGCCTTTGGCTTTTTGGATAGCATCGTTTGGGTTCATAAGGTAGATTTCAGATTGCAGCGAGCGCCTCCGCCTCCAGGCAGGTGCCGGTGAGAAACTGACTGCATTGTATAGTAAAGTTTAAACGCACAACGGTACTAGTACTGGCGTTAACGCAACGTGTCACACCGACGTCACACCGTGTTGTCACAGCATATCGGACTGTGTAACTCAGGTTTTGCTCTGGTTCCTGCCCTGCCTAGATCACAACGGTAGGTCTTGCCAACGTACCTTTTGGTGGATGCCAGTAATTGACGCGTGTTACTACATGCCAAAGATGTCACCTAGATGGGTGTACAATATACTGTCGCATGTTCAAATAAACTCGATACCGGTACGGTCTAGTCACCTCGTCGACATGCGTAAAAGCACACTTAAGATCATTCGATTACACAAGCATTTATCATGTACTACTGAGAATGCGTGAATCACAATAATCATTCCAAAGGCACAGGATCTTCCAGCGTCAACTTTCCTTCGTCCACACGCTTCATTATATTTTCTGCGCTGCGCAAGTTTGCTTGTATTTTCTCATCTCGTCCACCTTGCTGCAGAGCAGAGACCGCCCATATTTTCATCATCTTGGGCACGGATCTCCGTAAATCAATGGCAACTTCATTGAAGTCGCGAATAGAGACACCAGCATTCCGCATACAATCCATGGCACAACTCATGTACCCTGGGAAACACTCGTAAAATGGCCGCACGAGTCTGTGTTGTCCACTTACATGCATGATATTCGTCATCCTCAGGGTATGCTCTAGCTGCCTGCATGTACGCCTTTGCCCCGTTCACAAAGCTAAACATACACACCATAAGGTCATTGCTGTACCGAGCTGTCTGTGCGTGATAGAATCCAATCATCCTGCAAAGCAAGGGAACAATGAGCAAGGACCGCAAGTGCAGGGAAACAGAGGCATACGAGTAGGCAATTCCACCAGGATAGATGCAAAAAGACGACACGAAGCCGGGGTCAACTTCCTCCTTACTAGGATTCTTTAGAGCTATCTCGATGTCTTTAAGGAGGTCCTCAGCTTCTTCCTTCAGATGTTCAAGGGGGAACTTGGATTCCAAGCCAGGATCGGTGCCGTAAGCCTGCCATGCGATTAACTCAGCACTCAAAGAAACATGACTCGCAACTCACGTCCATGAACATCTTGAGGTGCATGCTACGCACGCCTCGCAAAAACGTATCCTCGAAAATCATTCCACGATCTGTCTTGATAACATTCTTCCAAACACTTCGTCCCCATTCAAGCAAGTCGATGGTTCGTTTCAAATACTGAATACCTGCTTGAGGTTCATTTCTTAAATGGCTGTCTAACGTGCCTCTCATTATCCAAGCACTGCACTTGACGATCAATGAACATTGCAACACGAAGCTCATACAACGCACCGAACAGTCACGGACAAAGCAGGGCGCACATCATTCCAACCCTTTTCCTTCAGGCGTTTTTGTGCCTGTTCCTTGATAGTTTCGAGCCCGTCAGAGTGCCAGGCTCGGCGAGCCGTAGCTTCGAATGTGACTGAACCTCAGTCAGTGCATTTTCTTCATGTGAGCGTGAAGATATAATACCTTGTTGATTGTACTTGGTAATCCAATCGTTTTGACCGATATGGAATGCGCGTTCGTCACGCATCAATCCATTGGTCAGATACGTCAAGGCCTGTGCGTGTTATTATAATATTACCAGCGGAAGGAAGCAGCTTGAACTCACCTGCAAATTTCCGCCATAGGCAAATCCTCCTGGGGCTTGAGGGTGAGCCACTTTTTTCAAGTCATTCATAAACCCTATCCCTTGCATAAATTCCTAGTACATGTCAATTGGCCCTGATCACATAGGAAGTCGCGGAGATTACCTCGTACGCATATGCGATCACCCAAGCCTGCCAGAAAGGAACATGGAGCGATTGTATACAACAAAACAGTGAAGCTCACACTGCTGGAGACTTTTTCGAGACCCCCTTGCCGGAGTTCAGGGAGCATCTCTGTCGCCACTTGCCAAGGAAGCTTGCCATTGTCGGCCTTGAAATGAGCAAGAGGTGGGTCTCTAGGAACCTTGCTTCGCGCTTGGGCTGCATTCATACCGGCAGTATACTGATCTTTCTGCCGCTGCTCCGCGGGAGAGAGGTTGGTTTTGGGGAGTGCGTTCAGAGCCTTCTGCCACGCTTCAGTGCTTCGCCCCCAGTCTGCAAGGGCCTACGCGGGGTGTGAGATCAGGTTAGACTCGGATGGGAGAGCACGATGACTCACATCTTGAGATGCTGCCAGTCGTGACCACCCCTTGGCATAGCTCGGATCAATCTCTGTAGCCTAAGAATCAGATGCACGCGTTAATATTTTTGAGGTCCATTTATACGACAACTGGCATCGGTACCATCTTCGCGTCACCGACAGCATCTAGGTATCTATTTAAAGATCGTGTTTATTTGTACCGCAACTCAATATAAGTAGAACTCACCTGTTCAACCCATGATTGCAAGCAGCACGATTCGCGTATAGAATAGCGTTCTTGTCATCCAGAGCAATAGCCTCGGTGTATTTCGCAAGTGCCCCTACGAAGTCCTGCTTCCTGAATAACTCATTGCCTTCGTTCTTGAGCTGTACTCCTATCGGTTCTGACATGTTTGAAAAGCAAGAAGAAAGCAAAGCTTCAATTAGCTGACGTGTGATGCCGTCGATGCAGGTCAGGATTTAGTTGGTAGAGGCAGTATGAAGGATGAAGTCTAGATCAAGGTAGAAGTCAACTGACAGGTTTGCGCAGATTTAAACCAGATCCGATCGTCGACACGAGGCGTCTGAAGCGTTCATTACATACACGATCGGTGGCAAAATTTTGACCATTGCGCCTGCTCATGCGCTCGCGGCTCCATCCGATAAAAGGCTAGCTAACTTCTTCCCCAGCGCGTCAATGAGACATTCCTTGCGTGCGTATGCAGTCTTCTAGGTTATTGCATTGTTTATCTTGATTGATCCTCGTTACTTTGATCTGCTCAGCTCTGCGATAAATGGTTGAATACCACGGGCAACGCTAAAAAATTTGTCCATTTCGGACAGGCAGAAATCACAAACGTCACTTACACCGTTGCTAGAATAAAGGACACTGAGTGACACCAATTTCATCCCGCGCACCACAGTCTGATGGGGTGGCATTATTGCATCGAGCGCCGTTGATGATCATGGCATGATGTTTTGGTGCACAACAGTCATCCAACATTGGACCAGCAATCCCTGTGATGTTGAATTGTAACTCAAATTACATGCTGGTTGTCAGTAAGTTGTGATGTTATGTAGACCGAAATGCAACGCACATAAACCGGACATCCCCTGTGGATGTGGGGTCGCCAAGTAACCGAGACTACGTACAGAAGGGAAGGCAAGAAACGTAAAGTAACGGAGTGGAAGAGAGCATAGAATCATCTAGTGGGTCGAAAAACTGTGATAGAAGCTACAAATTTGAAATATTTATACTGTAGATACTCGTAGGTTTTGGGCTGAAGGATCACATTGATACACAAGCGGATTGTCTAATGAACCGGACACACGCGAGACCGTTGTGTCAAGTAGCGTAGCTGGATCATTAATAAGAGGCATTAGTGCGGATAACGAGTCGCTGACTGGGCGGGATGGCATGCTCTGCTGGTGCTTCTACACCACCCGCAAGGATGCCCACGCGCATCATAGCCAGGAGCTATGTAATAGAGTATGTGTGTACAGTGGTCAGTGAAGGGAGCCGACGAAGATCAGAGTCGATCATTAGCATCGTTAGATAAGCGAACAGGGTCATTCTACGCACGTTATGCGCCGCGTGAGAGTGGGCATAGACGCCGCCGAAAAAGGAGGCGGTCATGTCATTCCCAGAGTTTCGTGTGAGCAGAGCGGGTCCTCCCGGATGGCCATCGAGGAAAAAGGACGCGTCGTGAATAAAACCTGAGATGAGGAGAAGAGTACGAGACCGGGACTCTTCCTGAACTATCGACAATGAAGTTTGTAGTCGCTCAGAAAAATCCTTGGGGCAGAATAGCGTTGGCTCACATGTTTCCCACGTTACCACGGGTAATTCCTGCGGGGACACAGGCCATTCGATTGAGTCCTGAAGATCCTTGAGAGCCTTGAGCTTCATCGTGAGTGCGCCCTTTTCGATTTCGTTGCTAGGGAAAATGCGGAGATGGGAAGCGAAACCGAGGTAATGGCACATAGCGATGAACCATTTGGTAGGGTCATACTGGTACCATCGGAATGCATTCCTAGTGCCGGACTCGTAAATAAAAACCGGGAACATTGCAATGGATGGCAACTGCTACCTGTAGTCCATAGGGAATTGATGGTGGAAATTATGGTACCCTTCGCCCATCGTAAGGATAGCGGATAGAAGGTGGTCGCGCGGCGACTGCTTGTCATCGTACGGCGTGCTGCCGAGATAATGAGCAATGGAGTTGATGCAAAAAAACGCTCTAAGATGAAGTTCAAGTTTTGCCTTTGATGAACAACATGAAACTCACGTGATGGCACGTAGTCATGCGAAGGGCACCGACGAAAAAGAATCCGCCTTTCCAGTCTCCCCACAACACACCAGGAATGACCATCGGAAGCAAATAGCCGAAAATAGTCAGGATGACAAAGTACCACCTGTGCTGCCATTGTACGAGAGGGTCCTTACGCAAGTCAGAAATATCAGCTGGCCCCGCTTTCAAGTCTGACTCGAAAATGATCCATCCGATGTGAGTCCAGAGGAGGCCACGTTCCGAGTTGTAAGGGTCAAAGTCCGTGTCGGTATGTCTGTGGTGAGAACGGTGTCGGCGTGCCCACCAATAACACGAGCCTTGCACTGCACTGGCCCCCGCAAGGATGAGGAATACCTGCAAAGGGAACGATGCATTATACGACCTGTGCGACCAAAGGCGGTGGTATCCTGGAGCAACACGTTCTGATGATGTCTAGTTGAAAATACTTTTACCACTCACCAGCAGTGATACCTGGAGAAGCAAATTCAGCAATCAGAAGAAGTGACTATTACCAAGTACCTACCAAGCATGGAGTAGATGTAATAGAGGGTGGTGCAAATGACAGTCTTGCGAAGGATGGGAACATATAACAAGCCATACAGGGAAAGGGCCGGTGTGATAACAAGAACAGAAAGGTTGAACCAACGTATGCCAGTAATGGTCGGAAACCCATGCGTCAAGTTCTTTATGAACTGCATATTAAACCGCGGTCGTCACCACCAGAAATGCGAATAGAAGAAGACGCGTCCAAGAAGAACAGAAGGATGTCGAACTCGTTACTAGGCTTATGTAGTATCACCCTGCGACGGTGGGACATTAGTCCATAAGGTTTTTCCTCCGCATTATATGTGCCGTTGAAACATGACATGGGTGGGCTGATCGGGCAGTAAAAATTAGCGGACGAATGTCGCGTGAAAGATTCCGTGCAGAATGTAACTCAAAACGTGGAAGACAAAGGCAGTAAACCTTGTGAAAACTTAGAGTCTTATTTTCTATGAGCCTGATCATTGCCGACCCGAGACAATGAGACATTTCATTACCTTCACAACAGTCTCGTAAATGGGCACTCACGCACAGGTTTTCCACCAGATGAGGACTTCAAGCTGTCCCATGTTCCCGTCACTTAGCCTCATGCCCCAACGCTTAGATTTTCTTCCTTCCCGGTACCATCGGAAACGGCGAACCAACGTGAAACTTGAGTCCTGTGGAGAATGTATCGGGTTGTGCCGTCAAGAGCTAGAATGTCGGCGATGTGCAGCCTAGTAGAGCCTAGTGTGGTCCGTTTCAGAGTCTCGGCGATAACGTAGGCAAAGAACAAGAGGCGTCGGAAAGCGCCACCGTATACATAGCTACCCTTTGGGTCCGATACCAGATCGTCCGTAAATGCCAGATTATATATGATGTGCTAATTGTCTCACTTCTCACATTATATGGTAGCCACTACATATGTCCTGTACTCCCTCCATAGTTTGATTGAAATGATTATACGCAATGTCAAGTTGAAACCAACACTGAAGCACGACAATGTGATGGATCAGTTTCATATATGTATACAGTATAGGCAGTATGTGCACTTTCGAAACACTAAGATTGTTACCTCAGAGGTGGCTGTCAGAAGCGGAAGTTTCATCGAATGCGCTGAGGTCAATGGTGGTAAACCGCTGAGATGGGGCAATGTCACTGGTTGTGAGCCGTTGTGATATTGGGGCGACTAGAGTCGGGGTGGTGTAGTCATCATCTTCTGGATCGGTGTCGGTTTTACGATTAACTGCGCGGTATGCATATGTCACAATCACTAGCAGGTTGCAAACTATCAGGGAGGACGATGTCTGAACACAGGAACGTAAACATTTGGAGTAATGAGAGTAGAGACGAGACTCCACCTCCAAATTCACCGCAATTATCTCGACTTCTGTGAGTGACAAAAACTGGGTGGTAACATGGAACAGGGAGAACATTGTCGTGATGATGCTAGACGAGAATATTGCCAGAATCATTCGTCGCTGTCGAGTGGGCAGGTTGACATTCCAGAGCAATCGGAGGGGAAAGACCACAAGGATACCGTCAGCGACACAATTAGCTGATTCAATAGAACCGTGAGTATGACACAGAGGAAGTTGGTTAGATGCCCACTTGCGAGTTGGTGGACCGCCGTCGAATGGTCCATATGACAATGTGGACCTCTCTGGCCCATTTCATGGTACCAACTGCGGTTCGATCTACAATTCCGTGCCTTGTGCACAATAAACCCTGCCCACATCGAGAAGAAGAGAATTACGAAGCCCAAGGACAGGCGAAAAAGCCACAGCGTGGGTCGCGCAACTCGCGCAATGGAAAGCAGTATGCTCATACGTGCAGACCTTCAGATCTGTTTGTTTCCTTGAATCAGATTGAAGGATGGACCGGACCTTACCAATTTACGCAGGGGAATGCGAACGATGATATCCAAAATGAAATTACAGATGACCTCCCTTCTATTTCAAGTCCATTCACATTAGTGGCATAGTTGGGATGTCGACAAACGAAGTACGCACCAGAGCACAGGTTAACCCAGGAACTAATCAGGTACACTACCCCAAGCAATCCAGCAGCGGCAGCCCATGCGTCCTCCCACCAGAATCTTCTTATTTGTATTCGGAACCAGACACGGAAAACTGTAAGCCCGAGTGCCATCCCCTGCACAACGGTGGTCACCGCTAAGTTGGTGTAAGACACAATCCTGAGTCCTGACGAGAAAGTGAGTGTCAATAGTTGGCCGACTTACCCTTCATCTGTACTATCCAGGACATCGCCATCCTTTTCGGAGATGGTGATCCCTCAAAACAAGAAAGCACCGAGCGCTACTGAGGGTGCACCCCGGTGCAGAGAGGTGTGTAGTGATGTTGTCCGTGTTCGCGGAATCCCTGCAGGGTTGACGCGTATCGGTTTGCTGTTCGGGTTTGGTCTTCATTAATTTGAAAACGTTCCAGAGCCCAGGGCCCAGGCTGGGCAGGATGAAATCAGGCTAAATCAGACCGGCCGGCCACGATGATCGGCAACTTAGTAACGGTACGTACAGCTGCCGCTCATTGCCCGGGTTGACGGAGTATGAACACAAGTGATCAGGTGACTTCAGTTTAGACGGTGATATTCTCACGCTCCCAACAGGTATTGAAGGTCAACCCCGGTCAACGAGTCGACAACCAAGGCACATCAACCCACACGATTAATGATCACTTACATAGTTCAGCCTTTAGGATAGGACCCACCAATGATCCATCATTAAGTGCACTAGTGCCTTTTCGTGAGCTTCTTCTGCCCATGGGCATAATAATATTCCTATCATCAATTTTTTTCTGAACAGGATGATAATGTGTGTAGAAGCAACCTATTTGTCTACATAGGGAGATTAGCAGGATGATGATTATCTCCTGTAGTACTCCCCGTACCAAGGCAATGAGCCTGTTCGTGTCAAGCTCATCTTGGTTATCTGCGACTAATCTCGGTAAAAGACAGTGCTGCTGGCAGTCACGAATACTCACAGCATCGTGTTATGATTCAGATGGCTCCTGGCATAGGGTACGCAGCGGAATGACTGACGATGGACGTGAGTGCGCTGAAGAGAAGAGAAAGCTGCAAAGGGTTGTGAGCTGAGTGGCTACTTCGTCGCGAAATTTTCGAGAGGGCTTTTTGTATCTTTTTCCTTGCTACTCGGGCCGCCCGACGCATCTGACCTTGCCGTAAAACGAGGCGCTTGTGCATATCCTGCTGCTCTCGAACGCATGGCCGACGTGGTGCTCCGATGAATCTCAAAATCACTCATGTCATCCCAAGTGTTTTGCTCGGGGACTTGTCGCACATGCCTTATGTTCGCCTCTAGCGCTCCGGCAAGGCGGAGAGACTTGACCTTCACTTGCTGTGGCATGTCATCATTTTTGAACGAAGTATCCTTCCGCCAGGTGTGCACTCAAATCACCTAAACGATAAGCCGCAGCTGCTCATGCATAACTGACGTGGCAGCTACTCGCACACTGTACCAGTGATTGGGCAACTGCCACGCAACTTATCACGGCTGCTTTCTTAAACCTGTTCATTGGCCCTGGTTCTGAGCTCCCAAGTCAGACGTTGCTGTATCGTAGCGGTGCCACGCCTTGAAGCTCTCCACAATTCCTGGCTGAGGGTCCGCTGGCCCCGATCTGAACAGATATGCAGTCGTGTCGTCTGTGGAAATCGAGCGGACTTGAGACTTGTCAGAACGTATAAAGAGTCCTCCGAATTTCCAGTGTAGTACATTGACAAAGTAGTCACTTCTCTTCTCTTGCCTCTAAACATGCAGCTTTCTGTGCTCTTTAGCGCGCTTATGTCTTTCGTCATTCTCGCTGCAGCGTCACCCACGCCATTTAGCATGTCGATTGACAAACTTTCCGGTGAGCATTCATGATCATCAACATTATCATAGTTACTCAGATGCCTCAATGTATCACTCAGCCAAACGAGACACGAACTTTCAACGTGATCTCCTGATAGAAGGTAGGAAACCCAACGAGCTTGAGACCAACCCCGTGACTTATCTCTCGTACGACACTACACGCGATGGCCCTGTTATTGCTGAAGGTGGGACACATTGACCTGCCATATATTCATTTACGCATCAACTCTTTTGCATCAGGTATCAACAAGAAGCGCGAGGAGCTTGGGTCGGGGATTGCCTACGACAAGCGGGAGGAGCTCGGGTCGGGGATTGCCTACGACAAGCGGGAGGAGCTCGGGTCGGGGATTGCTTACGACAAGCGGGAGGAGCTCGGGTCGGGGATTGCTTACGACAAGCGGGAGGAGCTCGGGTCGGGGATTGCTTACGACAAGCGGGAGGAGCTTGGGTCGGGCATTGCTTACGACAAGCGGGAGGAGCTTGGGTCGGGGATTGCTTACGACAAGCGGGAGGAGCTTGGGTCGGGCATTGCTTACGACAAGCGCGAGGAGCTTGGCTCGGGTATTGCTTACGACAAGCGGGAGGAGCTTGGGTCGGGCATTGCTTATGACAAGCGCGAGGAGCTTGGCTCGGGTATTGATTACAACGACTAGGACAACAGACTACTACTACATAGTACATAGCATAGTGAGACAACTGTCTTGGAAATACACCAATAGATCTCATGGTTATCCATTAGATTATACAACAAATATTCATATCAAGCTCACATGTCAGCGACTTTTAACATCCAAACACAGACTGAGATCCGCCTAGGCCTGCGAAATATTTCTCCAACACACTCTTCGACACGACATGCTTCGGGCATCTACGTCCCGTCCATGTTTCAAATTGCACATAGCCCTGCTCCAGGAGCACCTCAAACCCCCATAACCCTCGCCCACTTGGGAGCTGCACTCTTCGCGAGCATTAGAAGAGGCGTCTCTGTAGGTTTGTACGTCCACAACCACGTCAATTCACTGTCGCGTCGAACAGCGCCAGCGGAAGAAGACTTCAAGAAGTACGCCCCCGGTAGTCATAAGTGTTGTTGGTCTCTTGAAGTAATTTTGCCAACTCGTTAACTCTACCATGGACCTGGCAATGGGCATAAGCAGTAATTGGCGCCAGATTGCCACCAACCTGAGTACTAGTATTAGTACCACTGTCACCTGTCGGCATTTCAAAACGTTGAGACTGGATGCCACTACTGGTATTTGCGAAGAACGATTTTCATTCACTTGCTTGTTTGCAACAAGGTGAGCAGTTCAGCCAAGTCGAAGAGCTGAGTACTGAATACTTAGATTGAACAGCCTACTTAATAGCTCGGCTGCTCTGGCTCTGCGAAGATTGAACCCTCGGACGAGTCCGCACTCATTCAAAGATTCCCCCGTATTCACACAGGTGTCATAGAAATATCCCTGCAGGAGATCACTTGACTTCGGACTTATCCTCAAGGTGTGCTTTGAGCGGTCCGTCTTTATTTTGAACGTTACGGTGACGAGCACCTGGTTCCCCGCTCGTACGAAGACAATGGTGCGCGACGACCGCGGTGCTGTTATCACCCTGAGTGCGTCTACTACAATGTCTTACTCCCATCGGATGACACGTGAGGACCCAGGAAGCACGAAACGTCGTGGCCCTGCAGTCCATTGCAGTCCTCTGCAGCAGCTCAGAAACTCAGAGTTAATTGTGGCTGAAGGCACGATTCCTTGTGCGTCCTGCCAGATTATTCCGCCTCCAAATCGGTGCAGAGAACGCCTTTTATGTCCCTCGTTTCGTCACTTCGAGGCCATGTGAGCCGGGAACTTGCGGCCCGTACCTCTGGTCTTCCCAAGTCGGCGACAAGAATGTTTATAAGTACGGCTATCCTGCGTCTTCTTCGTCTTCATCCATACAACTGGCGGTCATGCGACAGCCTAGGACAGTTCTCCGTAACCGAATGACTGTTTTAATCGGCCATCCGTGAAATGCCGACAAACCTGCGATTGTGTTCTGTTGAATAATAAAAGCTCCATAGGCAACAAGGGTGACTTTTGAGCCCCACTTGCCGTGGACCCTCTGTAACCTGTGACATTCTAGCTCACATTAGAGCGCGACAACGCCCGTCCCCCAAAACAAGAAACGGGTCTTGATCACAGATGACAGCATCAACAACGGGCGCGATTTTGGCTTTTACTCTGGCTTTTGTGTCATGCGCGAAAGCCTCGGCTAGTAACTCTAACCTTGCCGTGCCTCCTGGAGCAGTGGTGTGTCGAGGATCGTGATTCTGCAGTGCTATACCTAACTTCTCGCAGTACATTGATCCTCTGATGTACAATGTTGTAGGAGCAAACTACACGGAATGGCGCAACTTGTCCACTGTTGGCTTTAATCCCACTTCCACTGCACCCCCATTCATTCAAGTCTTTGACCCTTCGTTCCTCGAGGTTACCGGACCATCGGCAACTATTCGCTCAATTACTTCTAATCCTGGATTTGCATTTGCCCATGAAGCACCCATCTACGTTCCAGACCTCAACGTAGTATTTTTTTCAAGCAACGATGGTGGTCCACTCGGGTACAACGGTTGGTATAACAACAGCGTTGTTAGCATGATCAACATGACAGAAGTCGACATGGCGCTGGCTTCCACAACGGGAGACGTTAACATACCAATTCAAACGGTGTGTGGGTTCCGCTCAGTTAGGCACATATCATTGATCTCGACTGGCAGCTCAACCTTCCGGACACTGTCCAAATGGTAAACGGGGGGACAGGTCCATACAAAGGAGACCTTCTGTTCGTCACCTCGGGTCGCGCTTTGCTTCCTTCTTCTATCGTGCGCGTCAATCCTAGCCCTCCCTACAATGCTACTGTTGTTCTGGACAACTTCTTAGGCAGACAGTTCAACTCGCTCAATGATATCAAAATTCTCCCTGGCACGGACATCATGTTCTTCACTGATCCCACGTGAGCAATTGATGTGATCATCGTGTCTACAATGTTAATAAAACCTTGGCTCCTTCAGCTACGGGTGGCTTAACGGTTTCCGTCCTGAACCAATGCTACCATTACAAGTTTACCGCTTTGATCCGTCCACTGGGCAGGTCAGAGTTGTCGCTGACCAGTTTGTACATCCGAATGGTATCGCATTCACCCACGATGGAAAAAGTGCATTTGTGTAAGTTTTCAGTACTTGTATCACCTTTCGGTCCACACATAAGGTTAAAATAACATATTAGCACCGACACTGGCATCTCTGGAGGCTTCCTCGGAACGAATCAAACCTTCCCGGCCACGATGTGAGTTATTCACATCGATCGTGACTGCAACAACATTTTGAAGCAAAACGTATAGCTACCAGTTCGATGTTGATCCACAGACGCAGGCGTTCACGAACCGCAGAGTGTTCGCCTACTCTGAGTCCGGTTCACCGGATGGCATTCAGCTTGACACAATGGGAAACGTTTATTCAGGTTGCGGAGAGGGCACCCACGTCTGGAACGCCGAGGGGACGCTAATTGGGAAGTTCTATCTTAACAGCACCACAGCTGAGATGATCTTCACAAAGTCCGGTCTCGTTATTTTGGATGAGGAGACTATATATCTAGCAAACATCCAAGCTCAGGGATTGAATCTTGCTACATTGTAGATGCGCTGCGCAATCGCCCTAGGTCATGTTACATACAAATATCTAAATCCATCGTGGCACTTCCGTGCAACCCGCCGACAATAAGAATCAGGTACATGAACTCCACAGACTCATCAGCAAACTAGAAATTTCCCCACAGACAATATGCTATTTTAGATTGTTTCGTACAGTAATAGCTCACAGTGCGGACAGATGGACATACAGGCACAGACACATAAAAGGTAGACCTCAATGCTCATGCGAAAGCGGTGGTGACAAAATTTTAGGTGTGTCACAGGTCACACATTTAAATGCATGAAATACTACACCATTATATATATATATAGAGCACGTCACTAAGCAAAATCCAACTTTTATTTATAGAAAAATGTGGAGTTTTCGTGGAGATATGGTCTTTGCAAACACAGCAGCTCGGAGAGCATCCCTGCCAGATTGTTCCGCCTCCAAATCACCTTTATGCGTTACTCGTTTCGTCACATCTAGATCACGTGAGCCGGAAACAGGCGGCCCGTAACCTTTGGCCTTCCCACTGCCAAGTCGGTGACAAGAAAGTACGGCGATTCTGCGTCTTCTTCGTCCTCATCCAAACAACTGGCGGTCATGCGACAGCCTAGGACAATTCTCCGTAACCGAATGACTGTTTTAATCGGCCATCCGTGAAATGCCGACAAACCTGCGATTGTGTTCTGTTGAACAATAAAAGCTCCATAGGCAACAAGGGTGACTTTCGAGCCCCACTTGCCGTGGACCCTCTGTAATCTGTGGCATTCTAGCCCACATTAGAGCGCGACAACGACTGTCCCCAAAAACAAGAAACGGGTCTTAATCAAAGATGACAGCATCAACAACGGGCGCGATTTTGGCTGTTACTCTTGCTTTTGTGTCATGCACGAAAGCCTCGGCTAGTAACTCTAACCTTGCCATGCCTCCTGGAGCAGTGGTGTGTCGAGGATCGTGATTCTGCAATGCTATACCTAACATCTCCCCGCAGTACATCAATCCTCTGATGTACAATGTTGTAGGAGCAAACTACACGGAATGGCGCAACTTGTCCACTGTTGGCTTTAATCCCACTTCCACTGCACCCCCATTCATTCAAGTCTTTGACCCTTCGTTCCTCGAGGTCACTGGACCATCGGCAACGATCCGCTCAATTACTTCTAATCCTGGCTTTGCTTTTGCCCATGAAGCACCCATCTACATTCCAGACCTCAACGTAGTATTTTTTTCAAGCAACGATGGTGGTGCACTTGGGTACAACGGTTGGTATAATAACAGCGTTGTTAGCATGATCAACATGACAGAAGTCGACATGGCGCTGGCTTCCACAACTGGAGACGTTAACATACCAATTCAAACGGTGTGTGGCCCCGTGGGTCCTGCTCAGTTAGGTACATATTATTGATCTCGACTGGCAGCTCAACCTTCCGGACACCGTCCAAATGGTAAACGGGGGGACAGGTCCATACAAAGGAGACCTTCTATTCATCACTTCGGGTCGCGCATTGCTTCCTCCTTCGATCGTGCGCGTCAATCCTAGCCCTCCCTACAATGCCACTGTTGTTCTGGACAACTTCTTAGGCAGACAGTTCAACTCGCTCAATGATATCAAAATTCTCCCTGGCACGGACATCATGTTCTTCACTGATCCCACGTGAGCAATTGATGTGATCATCGTGTCTATAATGTTAATAAAACCTTGGCTTCTTCAGCTACGGGTGGATGCTCGGCTTCCGTCCTGAACCAATGCTGCCATCACAAGTATACCGCTTAGATCCGTCCACTGGGCAGGTCAGAGTTGTCGCTGACCAATTTGTGCACCCAAATGGTATCGCATTCACTCACGACGGCAAAACTGCATTTGTGTAAGTTTTCAGTACCTGTATCGCCGTAAGGCCTGCGAATAAAGTTACAATAACGTATCAGCACCGACACTGGTATTTTGGGAGGATTCCTCGGAACGAATCAGACCCTCCCGGCTACGATGTGAGTTTCTTACATAGATCATGATTACAATAATATTCTGAAGCAAAACGTATAGCTATCAGTTCGACGTTGATCCACAAACACAATCGTTCACGAACCGCAGAGTGTTTGCTTACTCTGACTCCGGTATTCCCGATGGCATACAACTTGATACCATGGGAAACGTCTATTCAGGTTGCGGAGAGGGCACCCACGTCTGGAACGCCGAGGGGACGCTAATCGGCAAGTTCTATCTTAACAGCACCACAGCTGAGATGATCTTCACAAAATCCGGTCTCGTTATTTTGGATGAGGAGGTGATATATCTAGCAAACATTCAAGCTCAGGGATTGGATCTTGCTACATTGTAGATTCGCTGCGCAATCGTCCTAGGTCATGTTACATACAATTATCTGGATCCATCGTGGCACTTCCATGCAATCACCCGACAATAAGCATGAACTCTACGGAGTCCCGGCACCACTTGACACTGGCACACAGATCTCTGGTTCGTGTACGTGTCGTTGTTTGCATATAACATAACATATGATTTCAATTTGTGGAAGGGATGGTAACAGACGTCTAGCCAGGGCCTCTTTGAGACCATGATATGGCGATGATGGCCAAAGTACGCCGATCGTCCTGTTCGAGTTTCTGGACCGACAGCTACATGGTGTATTGACAAGCTACAGCTTTCCCTTACCGTGGTTTAGTACCGCGCTGACAGGCTGTGCCGATCCTCCCATCTCAATGGTAGACCGGGAAGAGACCAGCCGTTTTGCTGCGTGGCGTTTGTGAGCAGATTGATGGAAAGAAGGTAAAATTCTAATTCTTCAAACAATTATTTCTTCCCGGGAATTGCTACGATTGACTTGACAGTTCTTGACTGTTGATTCCTCCCGACCAGGACTCAAATCCGATTATAGAATTGTCCTTCATTATCCATCGCACGTTGAGTACATTCCTGTTACTGCGTGATCTCAGGATCAGAATGATGCCGCCAAGAATGTCTGCGATGACAGCAATGGCAGGTGGTATCTCACGAAGTACCAACGGTCCACTGGCCTCTTCAAAGTCTCAAATATCAAAGATTACAAGAACACTGGCGGAACGAAGACGGGTGGATGTTTGACCATGCCGCACAGGATCAGCGCTAGCAAGCTCTATGCCAGGTGCTCTCGCAAAACGAGTCACGAAAACGATGTAATGGTGGAAGGTCCCAAACCGATCAATGCAAATATGCTGATCATTGACGAGGTTCATCAACTCTGCCGCAAGATCAATCACGGACATGAAAGGTTGTGACGGAGGCACATGTATAGTGATCCCAGTGGTTATCTCACTTTGTCGTCCTGGGACTCCTTTGTTTTAGGTGAGGGTTGTCCGACGCCGTTTGAATCATTCTGTGTCAAAAACACGACATGATTCCAGGATATGCGCTTCTTACCTTGGCCCTTTTGTCTAACAATTTCATTGCATCAAGGTCCGTATGGTGGATGCGGGTATAAGTCGTTGAGTGTGCTCCTCCCTTGCCTCAAACTCGTTGAGGGTCACAAGATAGAGTCTATTGAATCATGCAATGACCTGGCGGCCCGGCCTGTAGTGACGCAGAATTCCTTGAGCACGGTACCTCAGGCCTCAGGAGTCAGGATCAGGAGGAAATATTGATCATGTGTTGCCAGTGAGAATAAATGATGACAGGAGGAAATATTGACGATATTGAATCTGATCCATCAATTGTGCATTTCATGTGCACATGATGTTGAGAGATGTTGTCATGTGATGCCCACCTACTGGGTAGACACGCAATTTGTCTCATTGCAATTGTGCAGTAATAACCAGTCAGACTGTCAGATCGTCCCTTCTCAATTTGACGTCTCCAACGTCGCTCTCGTACCTCGTGCTCAAACTACAAAGTTGAAACAGGTCCAGGCAACATAGACGAAATCTCCATTCCGATAGGCCAGACCATATAGAAGGAAGACAGTCGTTCCTTCTCCAGTATGTGTGTTATGACTTCGAGCTGGTAGTGTCGAATGGCAAGGTCTCATGAAGCAATTTCCGATGTAAGTCTTACACAATGCAGGCCGTCTGACATGTTTCGGCTGTTCGGCATGGTCGCACTGAGTTTGATTTGTTTGACATTTGCGAAGCGACACGGTATCGACGGCGCCAACAAGATTGGCAGACTACCAATGTAGTACCATTCCGACTGACTCAAGTTCCTGGCGCTGTAGGATCTTGTGCGGTGTTATACCGTAATATTTGCTTTGCTGGCATCAAAAAGATCATCAACACAAATTAATGGTTGGCGTCACGAGTACTCTGTACTCATCATCTGACTTCGACCGAGCGGCATCGGTGGACTGTCACTCAGAGCCCTCCTTAGTCTGTCAAGACTATAAAATCGGAACCGCCGACCGTCGCTGAAATCAGGAAAGAAGACTTGGGAAGTACCTCATCATTGACAATGACGAAATCCGCAGTGGGTATGATTCTGGCTGTTGCCCTTGCTGCCGTGTCGTACACGAAAGCGTCCCCACCTGGAGCGGTGGTGCGTCGGCAATTGTAATTCTGCAGTGCTACATCTAAACGTCTGCCTCGCAGTACATCGACCCTCTACAGTACAATGTTGTGGAGGCCAACTACACAAAGTGGCGCAACTCGTCTGCTGTTGGCTTTAACCCCACCAACACTGCACCCCCGTTCATTCAAGTCTTTGACTCTTCGTTCCTCGAGCTCACTGGACCATCTGCCACCATTCGCAAAATTGCTTCGAATCCTGGCTTTGCTTTTGCACACGAAGCACCCATCTACGTTGCGGATCTCAACTTGGTCTTTTTTGCAAGCAATGGCGGTGGCTCACTTGGGTACAGCGGCTGGTATAACAATAGCGTTGTTAGCATGATCAATATGACAGAAGTCGACATTGCGCTGGCTTCTACGACTGGAGATGTCAATATCCAGGTTCACACAGTGAGTCACTTCCGCTTGGTCATTGCATTGCTTAACCACCTTGACTTTCAGCTCAACCTCTCTGATAATGTCCAAATGGTCAACGGAGGAACAGGCCCATACAAGGGTGACCTTCTGTTTGTCACCTCGGGTCGCGCTTTGCTTCCTCCTTCTATCGTACGCGTCAATCCCAAACCTCCATACAACACCACCGTTATTCTGGACAACTTCTTTGGGAGACAGTTCAACTCGCTCAATGATATAAAAATTCTTCCCGGCACGGACATCATGTTCTTTACTGATCCTGCGTGAGCAATTGATTGGAAAATGATGATTACTATGCTAACAGTAACCTGGTTCTCTTAGCTACGGATGGCTTAACGGTTTCCGTCCTGAACCAATGCTACCATCACAAGTATACCGCTTTGATCCGTCCACTGGGGAGGTCAGGGTTGTCGCTGACCAGTTTGTGCACCCGAATGGTATTGCATTCTCCCCAGATGGCAAAAAGGCATTCATGTAAGTTCGGTTTTGTCTCGCGTCTGGATCAATCCTTAGAATAGCGCATTAGCACCGACACGGGTCTTTTCGGAGGCTTCCTCGGAAATAATCAGACCCTTCCGTCCACGATGTGAGTTTTCCCACCCAGCGTGATGGTAATGAGATACTAAAGCAAACTTAAAAGCTATGAATTCGATGTTGACCCAAAGACGCAGTCGTTCACGAACCGTAGAGTGTTCGCCTACATCGACGCCGGTGGACCCGATGGCATTCAGCTTGATACCAAGGGCAATGTTTATTCCGGATGCGGCGACGGGATTAATGTCTGGAATGACGAAGGCGCGCTCACTGGGAAATTCTTCATAAACAGCACCTCGGCCGAGCTGATCTTCACGAAGTCTGGTCTCGTTATCTTGGCGGAAACGGCGATGTATTTGACAAACATCCAAGCTGATGGAATGTCGCTTGTAGGTGTTTGAAGTTTATGTATAACCGCCACGCCTGTTGTAAATTCGATGTATATTTCCTCGTACAAGCGAGGTGCATGTGATATTTTCAATTCACTCTTATAACTTTCAAGGTTGCGATTAGACAAAACTGTCCTCGAGTGTCCGCATCACTAATTATTGCAGGAAACATTTTCAAGGACCATGATTCAACCAAGCTCGGATGGCTCAGTGCTTGAGCTTGATTCACGCATTGGAATAGGTTTTTTCTGTGCACCTTAATCTTCATATACCTCGGGCTAATGTTGCCCTACACCACAGTTCTAAGTAGTATAACTTAACTCCAGGCCAAAGACAAAACGACTGGTCAAGTGGTAGCCGTCAAGAAGTCCCGTGCACCACTGTGGCTCAAACGTACAATATTGCAACATGAAACCCACGTCCTCCGAACCTTATATGGCCATCCAGCCATCCTTTTGGTGTAAACCAATTCGATAGCTGGCTGTACAGGTGGTGCATACTCCCTCGCTGTATCGTTTATAGTTTATAAACCTAACCTTCTGCATTTCAGCTTTCGGCATTGGGGTACATGCACTCTCGTGGCCTTATTCATCGTGACGTAAAGCCAGATAACATCCTACTCTGTCCTACAGATCATCAGATCATTCGCTTGATTGATTTTGGCACGTCAGGACCGCGCGCAGCTCGTACCCGAGGTCAGCCCCCAAAAGGAACTTGAACATGGTTTGGGAATTTTATCTTACTTTATGCGATTTTACATGTGCGCCGAGGCTTGGGTTGTTCATTTCATCCTTGCAATTTGGTACTGGAAAATTTGTACAAGGGCAGCTTCGACCCGACGAGACGACCTTGAAGCTTTGGCGTACACTCTTTTCAAGATTCTTCGGGGCTGCCTGCCCTGGAACGAACCGCGCGTACCCACAAGCTCGGTCTGTGGTGTAGTGACAGGCATCAAGTTCTTGCAAAGAAACGAGTTAGTCAATCGCGAGATTGGCAGAAGGCTATGATGCTGCATTCGGGCAGTTCCTTGACGAAATACCTAGTCTTGGATTTAACGAAGAAATCGCCGATATCTCAGGGTGACTTGACCACTTGAATTTGGCGCCAGTGATATTGCAGGCAAGTTCTTGTTTCTAGTTGGGTTCTTCAAAGCTCACCGTGTCGATGTCAGCCTCCGACATCCGGCGAAAGTCTGCGAAGCCCACGTCACTTGGCACACCATCTTGCATCGCCTGCAGGCAGGCCAGCTCATCTGCGCACAAATATTCCCAAGAATGACAATCAAAGGTCACACCGTCGGTCAAGGAGATTCATCGTTCCGAGTAGATCCTTTGCTCTCTGACCAAGCGTGGTCTGCTGTTCTGCCACCCGCAGCAGTCCTGCAAGTAGGGATGTCTAAAGTTCCGCTCACGGCTGACAAGGAGTCTTGAGCACCTGATATCGCTATTGTATCAGGTTCAGGCTAGCTGTAGCATCCTACTTGGTGCTACTTTTTTATACATACGAACTCTTTCCTTAATTGATCCTGATCAAGTGAGACTTACCTCCTACGAACAGAAAGTCTGATCTCTTTACAGTGCGAAATAGTGCCGTTGCATTGGAAAGTTGTGGATGATACTCTCGGTGCCCTCCTTTCTCGTCTTGTGGCCGGACCAAACATTGCTGATGGGGAATCCAACTCTTGAAAAACCGCATGGTAGATTGCTGTTCTGAATCCTGATGTTTACCAAAGTGCACTCGTTGGGTTCAGACACAATCACGTACAATGCCCGTGGACAAGCGGTTTACTGGGAATCAGAACGGGGATGGTTTGATCAGCTCGTAGCAATTTCCAAGAGACGCGCTGCTGATAGACAGTACTGGTGGACACTGTGCTGGAGAATCGAGAACCAAACGGCATTGATGACAGTTATGACGAAGAAGACAATACTAAATGGCGGAACGCTTAACAAGAAAGGGACACTGTCCCACACCCTAGGTTTAGTTAACTATAGCAATCTTGACGCCCAACTACCGTTCATATCGGCAAAATATAGAATGACAATTATGCATCAGTGCCGCAGTGGTTAAATTCTATGATATATATAAGTGCCTGCAGTTTCAGTCGGATCCAGCTGCAGGCTTAGGTGGGTTTAAAATATTTGTATTTTCTCCGGACCCTCGAGACTAGACCTGTTACCGAGTTTCGAAGAGTTCGTTCAAGTTGACTTCAGCAGCCAACATTAATATTAGTACAACTTGTACAGCGACATGGGCGCCTACTCCCACTTTCCAGTCGACGGCCCGGCCCCGATATTTGTGATAAGGCGTGATGCAGGTGATTGGTATCATAACTCATGATCTTGCTGTGCAGCCCGTGGTTTCCAAGACTTCTCGAATTCTCGTCATCTCAACAGTTTTCAATCAAGACTCTCTTCGAGATGCTGACTTCGAGGACTCATAGGGATCCATATGGAACCTGGATAATTATTTAACACGTGGGATGAGACAAAGATAACCGGAGGGCCGTAGAGGGCCGCAGTCAATATCATCCGAAGAGTCCTTCTTGGTCCATACCTTCGACATATTCCTTTTGATTGACGAACATCATGTCCAGGACGATGTATACTTCAGGCCAGCGCGCGCCTGGGCACCGACGACAACGATCAAGAACTTCAAGTGACCCCGGGCAGCCGTACGTGGCACCGCCATTCAAAACGGGGTGGCCTGCACCAGCGCGCAGGACGACGGAGCCTATGAATGCCCCCCACCGGACCCCCTCACGGAACTCGTCCGTAGAACGTGCGGGGGACCCATTTGTCCCCTCACCAGGGTCTCTGCTTGCACAGATGGAGGTGCGCTCTCCGATGAACCCTTCCGGTCCAATATCCGCGGGTCCTATCTCACCGTCACAACATTATCGGAGCTCTTCCAGACAGAGTAGCTTGTCTCAGGTCCCCCTGATACAGGATGTACCTCAGCCGCCTAGAACGGCACTCAACACGCCTCCGGTGATGCCCACACCGCAGGTAGCCCCTTCTTATGCCCCAAGCTTCCCTGTTCCCCAGCCAAATTCCCCAGCCTTCACTTCACCATATCAGCAACCATACTTCCATGGGACGGAACACCAGGGTTCCAGCCACAGCGTCCGCCAGGGTGTGAATCAGGGTGTGAATACAGCCCAGAATACACGTCCAGCCGCACACTCAGGCACGCAGAATGCACACCATGGCATGCAGCAAAATAGCTTTCATAACAGTCATAACGGCTCCTATCATAGTACACATCATCGTTCTCGTTCTCATTCGCGCCCTCCAAGTGCAGCATCGCACAGATACGCGTCAAATGTCACCCAGCCTATGTATGGTCATGGTAGTTCTGCCACTCCAAATGGATCGCGCACCTCTCTCAATGGTACCCCTCCCAAGAACCAGTTAGTGGCTGCTGCACTCAGTCATCAGAATGTGTCACCCCCTGACGTGACCTCTCCCTTGAATCGCCCTTCACTCAACTCAGTCCCATCAGGCAGCCGTTCACGACCTTACGGCCGCACAGTCCCTGCTCAACCGGCACATACGTCAAGAAAACAAGAGGCTCATCCCAAGCCACCCCCTCCTATTCCCGCAAAGCAGCTTCACCACATGACGCCGCTGCCAAATATGCCAGCTGGACAAATGCAGACTCGCTATGTAAACATGCTTTTGGCACTTGATGATATCCCACCATTGTTCAACATGATGGCATCTTTCTTCACGTGGATCTTGCTTGCGGGATTCGTCTTGTTCCCCGGAACATTCACGTCTTTACAACAGCAGCAACTCAGCGGTGTGGAAGCACAAGTGCTGAATGCGATAACTAATATACCGCTGTGAGTGATGGTCGAAACTACGGGAAATGAAATTGTTCACCAAACGCCTATAGTTATATCATTGCATGGATTTGTACCGGTATTGGTGGCATCGGTATGATTTGGTTGTGGTGGAAATGGCAAAAAAATTATATCTGGATTGTGAATCGTATCTTTGTGTGAGTGACGTACAGTGTCACCAATTGACTGACGAATTCACCTTCTGAGTAGGCCTGGCCTACTCAATTCGCTCGCTGGTGTCATCTCAGTGCTTTCCAATATCTACGGCGTACAGCATGGAACATACAGCACAACAAGCGAGTCAGCACTTATCGTAACGGTTGCGGTTGCAGTCGTGTGTGGATGCCTTGTTTTCCTGTATCAGGTCTGGTTGCTGGGAAATATCAAGAAAGAACATGACAGAGAAGTTGGTGTTGAGCATGCTGGAGACCATGGCGAAGGAATCCTGGGGAATGAGAGGAAGAAGTGAAGGGGAATGTGAAGTCAATTATGGACATCTGATGGACATTGGTTAATTACGAGTTGTCGGGATTTTATGAGACTCACTTGGTTGTAGGCTAATACGAGACTGCTAACAATCCGCGAAGTTAGTTTTTCAGATGAGCGCTTCGTGCACATTGCATATACCGGTTTTGTTCACATCCGAGCAGGCTGCCTGCAGGCTGCATAGCAAGTAATGTCTCAATTGCCTGCGCAAATTAGTAGTCTACATAATTGGACTGAATGTCGCATGTAAACCTGCAGCTAAATTGCGATGCGCATACCTCGGAACTTCTTTTATGTAAAAGTCAGACAACAAATGGCAAGAGAAATGTTTGAATTGAATACAACGGTTAAAGCATAGTGACTATGAGACGCTCAATATCCGAGCAACATTGGCCGCCACATCCGATGATGAGAGATCGTCCAGCTCAACGTGTTTCTCAACTCCGCGTTCTACGAGAATACAAATTAATAAAGCCATGCATAAATTTGCCTGAGGGCATGAGCAATACACGCACCAAATCGTGCAAACATCCGCGCGGGTGTGCCGTTTGCCTCCCGTATCATGACAGGAAGGTCCGGGTTATGTTTCTTGATGACTGGGTATGTGGACAAGATGAATTGCCTGCAGACATGATCATTAAGTACACGAGTTACTGTCCTGTGCTCAGAAACCATGAACTTACCGCGTGCCCGCCGAAGCTTGGCTTGACTGGCAGCAAAAGATGCGAATTTCACGGAGAGCGGGAGACAGGGTTTTCGCAAACGCGGACATGGCAGGAATAGAACAAGATCAGGTCACAGCCAATACTAAAGGCAAACAACGTTTCCGCAACGCTTTCTTGATGCCGGTCGGGTGAGTTGAACGGGTGCTTACATAATAATCTGACAGCGCATGAGAATTATATCTTGTTGGTTGTCTTGCCCGCTCTTGCCAACCACCCAATCCCCTCGCTGCTGATAGCGACGCCTCGAGGTTCCGGCGACCTCCTACGCCACCATGGACGACGAGCAGACCAGACAGCAAGAAGACTGGCTCAACAGCCGCAAGAACAGGTTGCCTTCTTTCACAGAAGTTCTCTCTAGAAGGACGCGACCACCCGTTGATTTATTCATGTTTTAGTAAGTCGTACTTTTATGCTTACTTGAGTGGCTTAACAGTCTCTGATATCATGTTATGTTTAGCCTTTTCCTCCAACGTGAAGGTGCAGAAGATATCCTGGACTTCTGGCTGGATGTTCAGCAGCACGAGAACCTTTGCAGGGCATATTTCAAAGATGTCCGAAAGTCAGGCCGGACAATCAAAGATGATTGGCCTCAGTACTGGGAATATGCACGCCGTCGCGGGTCAATATATGGCACGGTCGTTGGACTTCAGCCGAATGCCGTAAAGCGAAGTACGACGAGCACAGGCGACATGGTCAACGACCCAGAAAAACATGCTATGGCTCACGCCGCTGACGAGAAGCGCGGTGGTCAGCGTTCGACAACGCCTGGTGTTGACAAGGAGTACATCTCATCCCCTCCCACTGCTGTGAATAGTCCAGATTTTGATCCACCACGGTCAACGACACCTTTCTCCCTCTCGGGGCGAACACCAACCCTTTTCAATCTCAAACGCGCATCACGTGCGCCAACTGTCATCCCACGCTCCGCTGCGATTAGTCGTCTGGATCTCATCGCGTCGGCTGAGCGCATCTTCTTCCGGTATCTCTCTCCCTCCGGCACAGTAAATTCTCCAGAAAATCACGAAATATACCTACCTCCCGCCCTCCGTATACACACTTTCCCCCTCAGTAGCACTCAAGAGCCGAAATCACAGAGCGACCTGAACATGATGGCACATATTCCTGATATGTTCCACGCCCAGAAGGAGTACTGCTTTAGGGCAATGGAGCAAGATGCCTTTCCACGTTTTCTGAGAAGCAAAGCGTTTGGAAAACCTCACTCCCGTGTCTGCATTGGTCCGGCTCGTTGTCGGTCTGATTGTGCTGTGGATTGGCCTTGCCGCCGGCTTTTCCCTGATATTTCTTGATGTACAACCTAGATCAAAGCGATTTTTCGTGCGTGTTGTCTGTTTTGTGTAATGCTGCGTCTAACGGATTGTCTGCTCTGCAGCTCTTCATTCCTTTCGCGTTCGCGATTTTATTCCTTATCTCACATCAATACGAACTCGATCCGATCCTTGTTTTCCTCGGCCAGTCAGAGTCGACACCATTCCGTACGCTCACTATTCGCGAGCCGTATGTGAGGAGATTGCTACTGGGTCGTGCCATCTGGGTTACAACTCTTGTCTCCACTTGCGTCGTAGCGCTCACACTCATTTTCTGGGCTGTTCCCGGACATCGGCTATAGCGATTGGGTCAAGCAAAGAGTTGCTGTGTCTCTGTATTTATCAGATGGACCCGTGTGGGAAGGGTACTCAATGTATGATGCTCACGAAGGAGAGCGAGCTGGTCGATATTGTTGATTTTACGCTTGGGTAACAAAAGACTTTGATAAGCACTATTATCTTCAGCTATTCGCCTACTCCCTCTTGCCCCCTGGTCTAACTCTACCTCCTAATACTTCGCATTCCGTATTTCGCTATCATTTTACCTCGCATACTCCACCAGGTCCACCTTCATCCTCGCTGTGCTGTGATGTTCTTTTGTTTCTCTCATTTCCCTGAATCCTTTATGACCTTTTTATATACGTACGTACATGGTAGGACGTTAGGAAGTTAGACTCATATCTTTAATGACATGTTGAATTCTCATTGATGAAGTTGACAGCCCCTTGGTGACGAATTTTCATTATGACTTCTTAGCGCTGCGCCTTTGAATCTTGCCATTACAGTTTATTTGCTAGCAGCGCTTTCAACAAGTCACAACTTGAACCCACCCCACGTTTCATTAATCTTTATTAGACGGACTGTCTCCCTTCTTCTAAAGATCTGGCTATAACGGGAGACTGTCTTGAGGTCGCCCGTTTGAACTTGATGCGGTATTCGCAGTAGGGCCGTGCGCTCGCGACCTGCGCATGAAAATTTCAGCAAGTTATTCTGTAAGTAAATTGGATTGTGACAATTACCAAACTCTTTCTTCACTGAAGAGTCTGACTGTAAACAATATGCTCTCTTCAGCAGCATTTCTTAACGAGATCAGTACATAAATTTACTGCTCAAACCTCTGGCGGCTGGCATAGAACTGGGCCTCGGCAGCGGCCGTTTCGAGGGCAGCCAAATTTAACGAGTGGTGCTCTTCGCTTAACATCTGGTATCACCGGCGCTGTCGTCCATACGAACTATGTGCGCTTATTTTGTTTTCGGTGTAGCAAACACCGTGAGTTCCCTGCATCCGCCCAAAAGATACAGTGGTGAGCAATAACTGCAGTTCCAGTGCAATAATGTCTTGTGTCTGCTAATGTCCACAACGGAGCAGCCGATTGCGTCAATAACGCCATGACACCCACCAGAACAAAACATTAGTTATAGAAGGCCTCCTGTGGACATTTGTAATGTGCCCTCAAACGCCTCTTCCTCTGTGCCAATATTACCTGCACTTGCGTAAGTCCTTCCTTCTTCAAATTATTACCCCACGATTGGTATGCCTAGAAGGAAATTACCACACACCTGCTTCGCCGGACTTCCGCCACAAAGGCATGCAGGAGCCCTCGGGCTCGGTCCCGCGTATGGTAAAGGAGCGGTAAGTCACATCATACCGTGACAACGTCTCAGAGCTAAATGGAGTCGCGTCGTGTAATAGGGTCTTGGAGAAAAGCTCGGCGGATTGCAAGAGGAAATCAAGGGAAGGATCACGAAGAAACCAGAATGAGTAGGTTCAACATGGGCGTGAGAGGCAACAGTGCAGTTTCCCACTCTCCACCTTGAGGTAGGCGGAGGCGCTCGTTCTACGACTGAAGCTCACTCCGATTTGAATCCACCACACTATGTCATCCAAAAAGTCAAAGGCGGGAAAGTCCATAAAATCGGAGGTGAGGAGGCACGTATCTATGCGTCACCATTGTATATCTGATCTATCATAGAAGGACTCCAAACAATTCACTCCTGAAACTGAGGAGTTGCTGGACGACAACGTGAGCCAACTATTGGGTGTCACTATAGCGGCCATCAGCGTTACAAGAGACCTCGTACCTATCACCCTAGCAAAAAGTATCCTCGGAACGGTTGCCAATATCCTGATTATCGCGCAGGTGCGTTGGCGTAATATTCCGAATTTTCATGAAGGATCCTCAGGTCTGTGTAGTCGGTGATCAAGAACAAGTCCGATTTTCTGGCGATAGTCAAGAAATGCGAAACTATCAGGAAACAACTTGAAATAGCAACCAAGGATGCTACCGAAGGTGATCTGCAAGGATCCTTGGGGGAGGCCTTGTCTGAGCTTAACATGTGAGCGCGAGTCACATTAGTATCATTATTACCGGAAAGTGATGGCACCATGCAGATCAGTCAAGCGCATCAATACAGAAGTAGTCTCAAAGAAGGAGCAAGGTTTTTTGAAGAGTATCTTCTCTGTCACGATCAATCGCGACCAGATCGCTGGATGGGAGAAGGATCTAGATCGCGTCCTCGCACTCTTCAATGTATGTCTGTGTAACATCATGCCGACTTGCTTAATGAATGCCGTCTCAAGTTTAAACTGACTGCTGGCATTGCGATTGATGTGAAGAAGCTACTCAAGGGTAATACTGCTAGTATCAAGGCTCCGAAGTATGTTGTTATTTTTGTCAGGTTATGAGTGTCCTCTAAACGCGATCAGGTATCGCCCAACTGAGCCTCCGTCACGGCCTGATATGTTTTATGGCCGCGATAAACTTGTGGCAGAGTTGACGAACCTTGTCGTCAATGATAAGCATATTGCATTGATCGGTCCAGGGGGCATGGGAAAGAGTTCTCTTGCCAAAGCTATCCTCAACGAGCCGCTCGTCATGGAGAAATTCACTGATCGGCGCTTCTTCGTGACTTACGATGGCCTCGATCCTTCCGCCATCACGTTCGAGACTTTTATGACTCGTTTCGTGGGAGCCCTCGGCATAGAAATTGCTGGTGCTGATCCCGTACGCCAAATATCTTCCTTTCTTCGTTCTGCCAGCGCCCTCATTGTCCTCGACAATGCTGAGACCTTCGAAGAGGCCAGTGCATCGTCGAGGCTAGGAGAGATACCGCCAGCCATTGCTGAGATTGCTAATATATCTGGCGTTATTATAGTCCTCACGTCACGCAGTAGAAGGAATGCACCGAACGTGCGATGGATAACGAAGGATATCCCGCCGCTGGACTTGAGCTCTGCTCAAGCAGTGTTCTTTCAGATTTATTACCACACCAGTCGTAGCGATGCCGAAGAAAACATAAAAGGCCTGCTCAAGGAATTGGATTTCCACCCCCTTTCCATCAATCTACTAGCGAATGCCGCACAGCAAAATAGCTGGTCTCCAGCCGCACTGCTCAAGAGATGGAAGGATCGGCACAGTAAGGTGCTCGACGCCGGCAAGGAGAAGCTGCACAGCTTGTCAGACACCATGGAGCTGTCACTCAGCTCGCCGTCGGTCCTTGATCTCGGAGTGGACGGTCGTCGTGCTCTAGCGATCATCGCCTTCTTGCCCCAGGGTCTCAACGAGGACCTGGCTAGTGATTTGTTGCCATCGCTTCCGCAAGTCGATGCTATATGTGATGTTCTATGCATGCAATCACTCGTTTATCGCCAAGACAAATTTATAAAGATGCTCGCACCCATTCGACATTATGTGCAAGATTCATTGTCCCACATACCTGACTCCACGTGTTTGCAAGATATATGTGCCTTCTACTATCGCAGTGTCAAGTCCTGTTTAGGAGATCGCGATCAGTATGCTGATATCATTATCTCGGACCACCTAAACATCGAGCACGTAGTTGCTTTCAAACTTGCCCACGTCCCAGATGGCACGGAAGAGACCTATAAAGCTTGCTGGCAGTTTTTGCAGTGCTTGAAGCAACATCTGCCTCGTCCGACTACCCTTTCCCTCGCTATTTCTAACATCGTCGAGAACTCCTCTACGTGGGCACTAAAAGCATACTGCTTGTCAGATCTCGGGGGGCTCTATCGTACACTTTCTCAAATCGCTGAGGCAGTACAGGCCTTTCGAGCTGCCGAGGCGCTCTACCTCACCGCCGGTGACCTCGAGGACATGGCGTATTGTCTGTCAAGCCGTGCAGACATGCTGAGATGTCAAGGTCGCTTTATTGAATCCCAGAATCTCTTAGAGGATCTTCAGCACTCTGACTCTTGGGAGTCTCTCAGCAAATCAATGAAAGCCCGAGCTTGGAAGAACTTGGATACGGCCCGGATGCACACATTCACAGTGTCTGCGGATGAATTATTTGTGAAATCCTCGGAAGATCATGTCTGGGACTTGAGATTCAAGATATGGCACTGGCGGGCCAAATTGTATTATGGGGCAGACACTGTCCAGGTGCACACACACTTAGATGACCTGTTCCTGCAATGCACAAGTACCAGAGATGTCTTTGGCTGCAGGGACGCACTCGAGGGGCTTGCGCAAATAGCATTTATCGAGGACAACTTGTCCGACGCAATGCACATCAGGAAAACCACCGGTCCCTTTTTCCCGCTTATGTTACTTTTTATGCTTAATATGGAATAAATCCAAGTGAAAACACTGCTTTTCCCACTTAATTGACTTTTGCGAAAGCGAATTAAGACACACTTAAGCTCACAAGTCCAGACCACCAAAAAAGCGAGAAAAGTTGTATTTACGCAATAAGTGATAAATGGTAGTAGTACTAGTAGTACTAAGTCACCCGTTCTCCTTGCCGTTAATCCGAGTCGTGGTTCGAACATCAAAGGTAAAGCGTCGTAACAAGCGCTCATGCAGGTGTGGCAAATATGCACACCACTCGCAGAAGGGTGGCCAAGCACATTGAGCTGTCTTGTAGTAGTAGTTTTGCGTCATTTGGAATGTAGTATAAATGAGCGTGAACGTTACTTACCTTGGTGTACTAGAGGTTGTGCATGGTACAGAAGCACTGTGCTTTATAAAGCGGTGCTTGTCTGAAAGAAGAAGGTGTCGGGAGAGGCCGATTTGGCAAATATCAGTAAGTACAGACGACGATACCAGCTGAGCATCCACTCACCTATAACACGCTCAACTGTGAGAACGATGGGCCCTCACGATCCTGTAGGTGGCCTGCGTGCTATGTAGATGGCCGATCACTAACAAGTGTGATCAACAGGAGTTAGTCCGAGTGCCGACTCTTGTGGAAACGACACCGCAGGTCTATCGTAGACGCGGACGAGGGCGACGGCAGCTGGTTGAGGCAGATCGGCTAGACGTGCCACTGGATGTGGTGGATGAGGTGGTTGGGGTGAGGGTGGGGTTGTGGAGGAGGTTGAGAGGCTTTCTGGGCCGCTGGAATCGAGCGCTGCTCGCCCGAATCCATGGCGTGGCGTAATCTTCGGGCTGCTGAAGGTATGACGCACATCTTATCATGTCAGTTCATTTCCACACAATAGAGGGTGTACAGGTGAAACTACACGCTCAGTTTGCCGGCGTGAATCAGCAGGGATCTTGGTTGAACGATATCTGTCATGGGCACCATCGAGATGGGGCTGTGGGTGTAAGTAAGGAGCAGTAGTCACAACAACATTCATGTAAAACATACCGGGCTTTGGGGTTGGGGCGCTAGGAGGCGGCCTTGACATATCAACCTGACGACGAGCAGTTTCGCGCTGTAAATCTCAATTTAAAAACTCGATAGTACGAAAAAAAACTAACAGAAGTCCGAGTCGATGATTCAGGAGGGGCACGCCATTCATCGTTGTTGATAAACCGAGAAGCCGGGGCGCTGTCATGAGTGGTCGACGGTGGCGAGAACGTTGTGGTGGCAAAGGTATCCGTTTTCCAGAGCCTGAACGAGCGAGAGTTGCATGCGAATGGCAGACGACGTTGGCATGAATGAGGAAGAGCGGATGGGTGAAGAATATGTACGTTTGATTGGAGGCAGATCTGGCGGGCATAACAAGGCCGCACCTGTTCAGATCATATTCTTCGGGATGGCGGGATGCGTAGAGGGGCGGACGGACAGATCTGGCAGGCATAACAAGGCCGCACCTGTTCGGATCATATTCTTCGGGATGGCGGGATGCGTAGAGGGGCGGACGGACAGATCTGGCAGGCATAACAAGGCCGCACCTGTTCGGATCATATTCTTCGGGATGGCGGGATGCGTAGAGGGGTGGACGGACAGATCTGGCAGGCATAACAAGGCCGCACCTGTTCGGATCATATTCTTCAGGATGATGGGTGGGTGCCATTGTATGGGGAATGTATAGGTAGATGAGGGGGCGTATGGATAGAGTATAGGAGGCGCAACAGGACTACACCTGTTCGGATCATTTTCTTCAGGACGGTGGGTGGGTGCCATTGTATGGGGAATGTATAGGTAGATGAGGGGGCGTATGGATAGAGTATAGGAGGCGCAACAGGACTACACCTGTTCGGATCATTTTCTTCAGGACGGTGGGTGGGTGCCACTGCATGGGCAGATGAGGGGGCGCATGGATAGAATATAGGAGGTGCGACAGGACCACACCTGTTCGGATCATTTTCTTCAGGACGGTGGGTGGGTGCCACTGCATGGGCAGATGAGGGGGCGCATGGATAGAATATAGGAGGTGCGACAGGACCACACCTGTTCGGATCATATTCTTCTGTGAGGTGGTGAATGAGTACCGCTGTGTGCCAAAGCGAAGGGGGCACAAACAAAGATGGCCTCTGAAGGCAAATGCAACGGTAATTCATTCCTCTGAGCATGTGATCGCGTCAAAAGAGTGTCTGTAGTTGGCCTTTCAGTAATTATTTGAGTCCGAGTCAAACAGTCCTACCTGAGATGCGATCTCAAATGCATGATGATCTGCAAACTTGTTTATATAGAATGCTCTGAAAGCATCATACGAGTCATAGTGTTTGAAGTCCTGTGGGATGGTATGTGTTCCATAGATTGGGATGAGGTGTGCAGCGCGATAAATAGAATCAATGTGGACGATTCCAACTGATGGAGAATGGTCAGCATCATACGAAGGTCGCACTACCCACATCCCAGTGTCCTCGTCGGGCCTATCATCGGCTTTGTCGAACCAACGCACCACAGCGCATGGGTATGAAACTGCCTCGAATGTCAAAGAGAAAAAACACATCACTCGTGCTATTTCCATCCCCCCCATCCCTTCGACACTTGCATCTGTGTTCACAAACACGCAGTCATATCGCGGTGCCTCGTTTCTCCAAAGAGGACAAGCACGAATGTGCTCACGGCGCATGCCACCAATCCCGCTGCGGTCGCTAGGTGCATAGAATGTCGAAGATGCGGAGTTGAAGACTTGAATCTTGCCATCGAATCGAGGACAGCTTGCAAGTGGGACTTCAAAGGGAGACCGCTGGTCATCTGGGTTAACTTGTTCGAATAGAAATCGGCGGAGGAGGTTGTAAAGATGGGGGATAGTGAGTTCCACAGATAAGTCAGGTACAGTTCGTGCGCGATTGCGTTCTGCGCAATGTTGAAAATTAAACAAGGTATTCACAATCAAATATAAGCTGGCTTACGGGGTGTTTTTGCCAACTGAACATGGGCCTGCACCAATGTTGGGCTGTCGATAACTTCACCCTCTTCATTGTCGCCCTGTATAGTAATATTGGGGTCGGGGGGTAGCAGAATGCTATTCTCGTTGGGTTGATCGGGCTGGTTGGCATTAGGCTCTGTATTTAACCGCAACCGCTCTAGTATAGATTTTATGTTGGGCCGTCGATAACTTCACCCTCTTCATTGTCGCCCTGTATAGTAATATTGGGGTCGGGGGGTAGCAGAATGCTATTCTCGTTGGGTTGATCGGGCTGGTTGGCATTAGGCTCTGTATTTAACCGCAACCGCTCTAGTATAGATTTTAAGTAAACAATCAAGATGATAGCGCTCAAGAAACTCACTTAATGCTCGAAGTGTTTCTGACAGACAAGTGCCATTCAGCATCCCACGGCTCTTGAAATCAATGCGCGAGGCTGCAAGTTTATCAAGGCGCTGGTTTGTCACCAGCATTTGACCAAGGGCTTTGTAGCGACTTGAGCGCCTCCATGGTTCCTTTACGGCTTTGATGTGCTTTGTCTCGGTAATCGAGGAACAAAGGCCATTAGGTGCGCCAAACAGTCGGATCAGGAGGATGTAATGGGAACAAGAGTGTTGTCGAGGGAGGGAGAATGTGAGAACAATACCAGTGGACTCAAAGATCTTCCTGTAATGATGGAATCGGTTGAGAGCATCCTGGATTTGAACCAGTGTGGATTCTGTGATGATATTACGCCATACGAGATAGCAGAATTCAAGAAATGCACGAAATGTGCGCACGACATCCACTGGGACGTGACCTTCAATGGCGGGTAGATAAACCTGGACTGTTGTTAGTCTGGCAGTCACGACATTCTAGAAATAACTTACCTTCATAAGCGCTTTCGAATCATCGCCGGTCCATTGTTTGAATCCTCGACCTTGTGGAAAACGTCGAAGACCTGAGAATGAAGCAACTGCAGCGATTCTTCCATGACGTGAGCCTTAAAACGTCGAACTTAGACAAAAGGACATACCTTCGATCTATATCGTCTTGAATTTTTTCCGCTCCTTTCTTTCCATGCACGTGGAGCAGATACTTTCCAACCCACTCAACTAAATGATCCTTGAAGGTCCCTTTAATCAATTGATGTAGGAGGTCCGGTGCGATAAGTTCATGAATATCAGCTCGAGGGAAGTCATTTGTAAATGGCTAGCAAGGATTAAATTATAACTGCAGTTCTACGAGAAGACCCATGACTTACGACGAGGTCATTGATGATCCCATACTCGTCCCACAGATCAGTAGATGTTACTTCTTCAACGAGTGCTTTGGTATGGTCACGATTGCGACACAACGACTCAGAGTCCAAATTTTTGCGGTGTGACATACACCTATATATTAAAAAACGGTAAGGCAGAAGGTACATTACAATTACTGATAGGAACCTACCTTGGACACCAAGAGCGCACTATACACGCCAATAGAACCTGCTCTTCATAATCGGCAATGTAGGGCCCAAGCCCATAGATTACACGCCGATAGTGCCCGTCACCAAAGCGCACAACCTCTGGTTTGGTCATGGCGGGGTCTTAGATTCTCAAGAATCTTCGAGATAGACGAATGAAAGAGTTGCCGGCGATATTTCCGATATTTCAGGCAGGAGGCATGCTCCTTCGTAGCTGCTCAACTGCAGTTAGCACAGAACAATAGCAGTAGGATGAAGATTACTTTTTGGCATAGCTAGGAAGCCAATGATGGCAACAGCGTCACGATGTGCACGTCGGACATTATTACGAACATTGCCGATTGATACATACAGCGGATAGTAATCGTTGGCGCCAGTTGCCACTGAAACGGTCGTCTTGTCGCTTCCCAGTATAACCGGAACAAAGGTCGAGCCAGTTGTATCCGGATCTTTGGAAATAATATCCTACCAAAGATCGTCAGCGTGTATAGCGACATATAACAAGAAAAGAGAACATACCGCTTGGTTCCAGGCCCAGTCGCCGGACATGAAGTCCTGCCATTGGCGTTCATTGTCGTCAGTCGAGAACTCACGGTAGGGCTGGTAGTCCATCTCCGTGGCATAGTCAGGGTTTGCCAACATGTTTCGAACGACCTCATGGGGGTCTCGATACCAAACGTCGTGACATTGACCCATCCACGGTGGTACATTGTGTTCCGGCTTCTCCCCCGTGTACTGGACCCTGAAAGATTGCCATTTGACATCACCCACCGGTGTACTGTCAATGGTTTTATGTAGATCACGGCAGTCCGCAAATGGCGGTTTGTCGTTATGTTTCAGGAGGGTTGCAGCCCAAAGATCCAATAAGACGTTGATGTCCCCGGCAGACATCTGGTTGCGCGTGTACAGGAATTCAGCAGTCTCGAATTCGACGCGATCCCGGTATGGAGTCCAGTCATCAGGCGATTTGCTTGGAGGTGGCGTTGGGGATGCTCCGTCTTCAAGGAATTGACCTGTCGCATCACAAGGACGAGCTTGTGTAAATACCCGTGTTAATTCTAACTAGCTGGAAAAGGACCAAGAAATGTACCGTTTAGTTTTGGGTGATAGTTGCGGTATAATCTATCACCTGGCCCCACAAACTGTGTGTCCAGATTATCAGGCTCATCGAGAGCCTGACCCGCGTCAGATAAGCCTGCGGAGAAGTCATCATGTCCTGCGAGGAAGTCGTTGTGTGGTTCTTCGGGCTCATCTTCGACTGTAGCAGTATGCGAGACGCTGGTGGTAGGAGCTGATATGAATGTTGGGTGCGAAGCATTCCAATGCTTTTTGCGCCCTGCCTGAGTCTTGAAGTAGCGTTCACATTTCAAGTACCCACATGGAATCTGAAGGGCGCTGTGGTCCCTGCGAGCAGCCTTGGGCATCCGATGGTAGTCAAGTCGAAGAGCCGGCCGAAAATGCGTGATGACCCTACTAAGTTCAACGTACTATGTAACAAAGTCCGATTAGTGTGTGTACATACTTGTTTGGGGGCTTACGAGTTTTTCCAACTTCCAAGCCCGCCTTTCTCTCTCCAGCAAAAGTTTTGCCCTTCGTCTTACTTCCCAAGTCGTAACCTCATCTCCTCAGTCATGTCTACCCAAAACACTCTCCGTCGCACCCGTCCATCAAATGCAGCCGCTCGGCCTGGCCAGATAGTGCTTGACGCAAAGATCAAGAGGCGTACCAAGGCGCAAAAGGCCGCCGACGACCTTGCCCTCAAGGAAGCGCAGGAAGCGCAGGAAGCACAGGTCCAAAAAGGGCTGGAACGCTTGGCTAGTATGCAAAATGAGATGGAGAAAGCGCAGGAAGAATTGCTCAACAAAAAGGTGATCCCCGTTCGGCCCAAGCCAAGGGCTCGCAAGGCGACTAAGCCTGTAGTAAGGCGTGGTGTTGATCATACTGATAACATCATTGAGGCTGATGAAGCAAATGACCTCCAGGAGGTTGTCGAGACCATGGAGGCTGTCGGGACCATGGAGGCTGTCGAGAACATGGAGGATGGAACCACAGGAGCAAAAAAGAAGAAGGTAACGAAGAAAGGTGGAAAGGCGCTGATAAAGGATGCTATCAGTAACATGCAAAAGAAGATCAACGAACCATCATCAAAATTGGAAGGTGATAACGCCAATAACGTGGCACGTGTATCTGATGGGAAAGATACGCCAGCACCGTAAGGCTTCCTTCTCTCACCATCAGATGTTACTCCTCACTGAATCAACATTGTATTTCCTCAATCTCACCTCCAGTTTCAATGCTACCACTCAGAAATTCGCATTGGGTGGCTGGGTGACCAATTGGATTTCAGGCGTCAAGCCCGGGAAATCAGAACCCATGTCCCGTGCATCCAGCACCTCATTTCCAACTCGAGCGCCTCCAACATCAATTTTCTCACAAGGCACTGCCTCCACCGCGGCAACTTCGGATGCACAGGTTCCAATTTGCAAGCCTGTGGCTCCTGTTGCAGAAGACCTCATTGGCGACTTTGCAGATGATATCGATGATACGTTGGAACGCGAGGCCACGATTGCCCAAGGCAAGGGGAAATCGAAGGTGAGTAGCCACTGTTTGATCATTAGTATCCGCGCGCTACTAATGATTTGTTTCGCAGGTGGCCTCGATATTCGAAGATAATGTGGACTTCGACGAGCCTAATGCTCCAGTAGCGCATGAGCTGGATGATTCTGTGACTTCATTCACAGAACAGGAATGGTACTCGCAGGAGCCCAAGGCCCCATTCATGCAGATCGAAAATCGCGGGACCCTCAAGCGAAAAGCTAGCGTGGAGGACCTCTTAGATGACGAGGAGGAGTCTATGGTGTCTGACTGGTCCATGGATATCGAAGGCCCCGATTTTGAAGACACATTCGAGCCCGAGCCTCCAGTGGTAGTGAAGAAGGAGAAAGATCTTCGCACAACATTCTCAGTAAGGATACTAAATATAATCGCACTCACTCTGACCCTCGTACAGACATCGGTTTCGGTTGTGACTTCTGTCCCCGACAGCAAACCACCTCCTCTCAAAAAAATCAAATTCGGGGCATCCGCTGCACGTGCCCACAGCACTCATGCCATCAAATGCCAGCTCAACGTGGACACTGTGCCGGAGAACATGAAACCTCGTAGCGCATATCGTAATGTTGATTTACCTGCCACATTGCAGGTAGATCAACGCTGGGCAAAGAAGTATCTTCCTACCGTCATGTTATGGGCTGGAAGTTATGAAGACCTCTGGACTATCCCAGACGACGTTCTTCTCCTTCATGCGCAGCTAATTTTTAACGCTGTATTCAAGGAGCTGAACATCACTATTGTTCACGGCGGCGCGATTCATTCCCTTGTAAGTTCACTATTTTATATCGAGCTTTACTGACTGTACTCGTAATTAGACTGCGCAGCGAATTTCTGAATGGCGCAGTAACTTCGGCTCGACGGGCCTGGTCATTATCCTGGACTTTTTATCACGAAACTCTGACTGTGATTCTGTTCAACTTGCCGCCCACCTTCTCGCAGACTATGCATTCCTATTCGAGGACCCCGACAAGCCAAGTCCCCTCACGACATATCGTTCTCCTTTCGTATTACAGCTGGTGGGTACAGCGCATCTTAACGCCATCAGTGGGTACGTTGACGTTCCCGACCTCGACACACACGCACTTGCGACAAGGGCCATCAGGATGTCGGGCGTTATTGCCCTTTGTGCCGCAGCAGTAAGTTTGATTTTAGATTAATTTAATTCGCACTTATTTTTGTTTTAGATCGAGCGCGCCCTGGGAATGTTCGCAAACAAAAACTTGAAAGTCAAGGATATATTGGCGTCCAGTGCCAGAGGTAAACTCGTCATCAAACTACCCAAAGTGCTCAACAAGGTCACCGGGAAGATGACCAATGCCCCGTTTTTGTTTTCAGCAGCTCGCTGGGCCAAAGTCACCACATCATTCATGAAGTCTATCTCGAGCAAGCCTGCTGGGTATGTAGAGACCACAGTACAGATGGCGCGTGCTTGTACTGCCTTAAACGACACCATCGAATCACCGCAGGACTCGCTTAATGACGACGAGTCGGAGGACGATGAACGCGCTATGCTTTGTAAGTACTTGTCATTCCGGTTTCATCCAACTGACATTCATCATTGTAGGATGTTGTCTTCTACTACACCCGCCGGTGGAATCCCACTGTCATATCATCATTTTTGCCGCCGTTTTTGCCCCCACATGTCCGCCGTTTTTCCTGTACCCCCAGCTGGCTCTCGACTTTTTATATTAGAGAGTCTCCTTAATTTTCTGCTTTCTCGTGTATGCCTGCTTTTTAATGAAACACTTGTGCCGCTTTTTCTGGTTTTTTAAGTGAAATAAGTGTGAAATAAGCGAAAATTCAGAGATGGAGTGGGCTTAATTAAGTGGTTCACGCTTTTTCACTCAAATGACTTAATGGTACTTTTCACGTCATTAAGTGACAAATTAAGTTAGAAAAGGAACCGGTGGTTTTCCTGATGAACCGGGGCAGTTGTACCTGTTGACGAGTGCGGCACCGATAACTCGGAATCGTTGGAGTTCCAGGACTCCCCTGCACCCTCTATTCGTGACGGAAAGAGGGTAGGGAATCTCTCCGAGGCCGACTGGTCAGCTGAAAACCTGGACAGAGAAGATGACGAGCCTGAGGTTGATGAATTGAACGACGGGTCTGATGGTAGTGATCACTCGGTACTAGAAATGACTGACGTGGATGATATCTCCTCGGGTAAGTTGAATATTGCTTTTTGCTCACTTGATGACTGAAAATGGCACATTTGCAGGTCCTGCTGCGTTCGCGTTCGTCAATATGGACTCTGCATCATTCAATACTTCTCGTAAACGGAAACGAGAGTCCAAGTCCCCTCAGGCTGCACCCATGGAAAAATACAAACACAATAGATTCGTGCCGCAGGGCCACCTCTCCGACAAAACGATTGATCAGATACTCACCGGAAAACAGAAGAAAACCAAAGGAAAGGCTAGGAAATCCAGTGTCGGAGTGAGTGACACTAGCGAAGATGAGGAAAGTAACGCACCGCGAAGATTCACGGTATATGTTCAAGTGTGGTCCGAGGCACCAATAGAAAAAAAGTCAGGCAAGGGTGCCAAAGCGTCTGTAACGATCGTTTCGCGGGGCCCGTGCAAAATGGATACATCACGCACCTTCCAATCCTTCAAGCACGACATTGCGAAGGTCTTGCCATGTCGACTAACGATGCTTCCGGTCACGAAGTTCGAATGGAAATTCGAAAATCAGGCCCAGAGTGCTCCGCGCAAGAAGATCGCAGATGAACCCGGTTACGAGGCACTTCTTGACGCCGTCAAGGCAAAACGAGCAGCCGAGAATATTGTCATATGGCTATACACTCCGAAACCTGCAAAAGACGAACAAGTAAGCATTTGCACTTGGACTTCGAGTTCTTCAAACTAACATTTGTATAATCCAAGGATTGGGATACGGGTGATCCAGACTACGTCGAGCGTCCATTCAACTTCGATGAAGAAACAGCTGGTACTCACACTACCAAAGGAATGATTGTATGTAATTTTTCATGACACATTCTGCTCCGAGTCTCGCCTCTGACAAACATTCCAAAGGATGACATGTCTACTAAACGAAGGAAGGCTGAGGCCGAACTCGAATCACTGTATCCAGTTGGCAGATATCCGCTTTTTCCACAACTACGTGTTTGGCATGACGAGAGGATGGGCTCGTATTTTGAGCTGACTGAGATACGAATGAAGGTTTGGGCAAATTCAATTGTAAGTATCGTTTTTTTGCCAGTGTGTGATGCTGAGATTGTTGTTGTGATGATCTAGGCAGCAGGAAGAGCTGATACCTCAGCACCTCCAACCACGAGGCATTTCACTGAAAAACTCAAGGTGCCACGTCCTCCACCCGATGCACCTCGTTCAACATTCGGTGAATTTCATCGTCAGCGCCAACTGGAGCAGGCCCTCGAAGGCCAGGAACTAGCTCCTCCACCTCCACTCCACGGTCCTCCACCTCCGAGTCTACATGGTCCTCCCGTGCCTGCACATCCATATGGTCCTCCATTCCCGGGGTCTCATGTCCACGGTCCTACTATGCACCAGCTTTTTCATCCGGCTCAATATATGCACTCTCCGTACATTGGTGGGTATCCGTATGGGCCATTGCCCTATTACTCAGCTATGCGCGATCACACACAACCCCAAGCAGCAATCGTTCCACCTACTGGCGAGGTACCTTCAGCATCTTCGTCTCCCGGTACAACAACTTCTCACGCTGTATCACTGTCTGAGTTTTGCACCAAGTATCATGTTTCTACCAGCGACGAAGCGAAGCTCACAGCTCTCGAATATCAGCCTGGAAACAGAGCTGTCGAGACACTTGACGAGAAGGAATGGCGGGAAGTAGGTCATTTTACGAGACTTGGCTGGCAAGCTTTCCTTGCCGCACACAAAAAATTTTGTAGCGCCATAAAGTCGGGCACTTGGTCCAAATGATTCTGTAGTTTTCGCATCACCTTTCATTGATCTTCTTGGATGTTCCGAGTTCGTGCATTGTTCAATCATCCAAAGTTTTTTTTTGGCACAGCTGCATTCAAATTGTACAAGTACAAGCATTCTTGATCATAGCACGATGTACCCTGCGTTCCGGAACCACCCATATGCCTTCTCCGCTGTAATACAACTCGTTGCTTCAAGCAGGGCATCAACAGGATCTTCGAGTTGTCGCAACTGATGGCCATGACGGCGAATATAAGCTTTGACTTCAACAATAGATCAGACACAGAGAATGCGTGAATTATTGATAACTTACGGGCACTGAATGACTCCTCGATTGGAGTCAGATCAGGTGAGTACGGAGGGAGGTATAGTATGAGACAACCTATTCGATGTTAGCTTTACGAGGGAAGGAACAGATAAAAAATGTACCGGCACTTTCGACAAGGTCAACAAGGTCTTCGTTGTGATGAATCCGGCAATTGTCGAGAACAATAATGGAACGCTCTGCGGGGAAGGGATTCATGTGTGGAAGCTAGAAAAAATTGTATCTTCAAAGCTAAACAGGCACAGAAAGGACACATAATTACCACATCCTCAGCAATGAAGTCGTAGAAGTCCTGCGCATCAAATGAACCTTCGACTACTTGAGCTGCAATGTAGCCTTGCACAGTCATAGCGGCACACAAAGAGTACCGATCCCCTCGAACAAATACGTCCGTGAGTTGTGCGCGATGTCCCCTTGGTGCTCGTCCGTAGTGCCGCGCATATGTCCGGTCATTCTTGCTGGTTTCGTCGATGACGACGAATTCTGAGCCATCTCCGATGAAATCGTTTCGAAGACTTGCTTTGAATTCCTCTCGTCGGGCCTCGTCACGCTCGGAAGCAAGTTTTCGAAGGATCTTGCGTGTGAGACCAGCTTCTTTGAGGTTGCGCGATAGGGTAGAGGTACTGACAACGATATCATGGCCGACTGCAAGCCAAGTGCAAACCTCGTCAAGGAAAAGATCAGAGTCCACAGTGAAGAGATCTTCGATGGCTGTTAGCAGGGCTCGCGTGATTGTTCGAGTTCGTCCCGTGAGTGGAGAAGGGGGCTTCGTTGCAGTACCACACTCCTCAAAGATCCGTCGCCAGCGGTAGCAACTCCTCAGGCCCCCTGAAGCTCCCCCATAGGCTTGTCCGAATTTTAGCATTTTTGAGGCCGAAATTTGGCCAAATCTCTGTCCGGACTTAGCATTTTTGAGGCTTTTGGAGGGCCGATGTCTGTCCGAAGTTTGCATTTTTGGCGGTCTCAGGCGGACATCAGGGCAGGTCATGTAGTGACTTGGAGATGGATAATATAGACTTTGCCAGCGCAGGTCAGAGCCCCGTTCTCATAATGAAGCTTCCTGAAGATGATCTTGTGCGGCAAACACGCCAAATTCGAAATATAGAACTCACACACTCCGATCTCGAACCCCTATTGTCCTCTGATCGCAAGAAGATTCCCGGAGTACTCATCAATGCATACAGCGCGGTACTACAGGATGGAGACGACAACCGTGACTACGTCGTATTCAGCTCATGGATCGCTCCTCTCGCTACTGGCCAAGTTAAACCAAGTCCTGGACATGGATCTATCGAGGGACACATCCTACAAGCGGTGAGTTACACTCTCGATGTTCAATTAAACCTGGTAGACTCACTGGATTCTCAGACAACAACTGGTGTACCAGCGGATGAACTCATTGCACGTTTCCGCTGGGGATTTCCACTATGCGGAGGTAATCCTCTACACTGGGTCTTGGGATGGGAGTGGGGAAAGGATTGTCTAAGAAGCCAGTTAGAAATTAGATGTCCCCAAGTACTAACATACCTTGTCTATGTACGCACAGTACACACCGCAAAATGTCACACTTTTGGTGGAGGTCACACTCCCATCACACTGTGTGACCACTGACCTCTATCCGACTTAGCATTTTTGACGGTCGAAAAGTTGCATTTTTTAGGGCTGATTTTGGAGTTCTGGACGGACAGACCTTATAGGGAGCTTCAGGGGGCCTAACTCCTCTCGCTGACACCAAATGCTTCACAGATGTCTGCCAATTCCCACCCATGATTCCACAGCCGAAGTGCGCAGTCTTTGAGATCGTTGCTGATCCTTCGGTTAACCATAGCATTTACGTGACAGGGCAAGCTAGCTGGTGTCGCCAATGTCGTCTGAAAAGTCTACAAATGCCTGCGAGCGTCCTGGACGCATTGTTCTACCTATTTCCTTTTTCGTCACCGCGGATGCCAAAATTTTGCCACTGCCATTAGTTTCGCACACAGCTGTAAACGGCGCGGACGAAATAGGGAAAACATCGAATTCCACGGGCGCGGCCCAGCAGTTGTTGAGGTCCCGTACGCACAGGGAAAACGTGTACGTTTTTTCTCCTTCTCAGATGTTTGACTCGTCTTGACATTATGTAGAGGAATGCGTCAGCAAGAGAGAAACGAAAAAAGAAACCACTACGCACTACTCTGGGCAGCTCACGGCCTCCCAAGCCCAACGCCACACAATCCAGTGGTGCGACTCAGACCCAGCCATCTTCGCAACCACAGCCACCCATCAGTGAACCGGGGAGGAACGTAGAATGCCATATATCACGATATATAGTACATAATCACAAGAATCAGTATAATTCTGCTATCGATGATCACATTGTTATGTGTGGCCTTATAGCAGGCCGAACATTCCCTAATTTTCCTACAAAAGTTTCCGATCGGGAAAAGGTCATGATATCACTCAAACTCACAATTGAAGTGAAGGGGTGGCAAAAGTTTACAGTTAAGCTAGATTGATCAAGAAGGCCACATCGGAAGGGAGGTTCATGATTACGAAGCTACGAGTGAAGGTCGATATCTTCCAAATGATAAGTATGTGTTGGCCCGAGTGGGCGACAATAAATTTCGCGACTTGCTTGAAGGCTCAACACCATCGTGCGAAGTGCCTAACATCTGAAGACAGGTTAACAGTTTCGAAGCTAAAAGTGAAAGTCCATGCCTTCCAGACAATAAGTATGTGTTGGCCTGAGTAGGCGACAGTAATTTTCGCGACTTGCTTGAAGGTTTGACATCATTGTGTGAAGCGCCTAACATCTTAAGGAAGGTTAGCAGTTTCGAAGCTAAGAGTGAAAGATCAGTGCCTTCCGGATGACGAGTATGGGTTGGCCCATGCGGGCGCCAGCAAATTTCGCAACGTGCTTCAAAATCAGTGAACTGGTGGACGATTTCGAAACCAAAAGGAGAAGAGGTGATATTGTAAAGAATGACGGTTGTCCACCAAGCGAACGAGAACAGATTGTTGTTCGGAAAAGCCAATGGTTGAGCCAACACGCGCCACTTTGAATTTTAACACATGATGTGTGAGATATTCAATGATCGTCTGCCATATATCAGTTGGGAATTCGTGCGAAAAAGCATTACCTTTGCGAAATGGCGAAGGTGTGCTCACCAAGCGAGCGACAAAAAACCTTTGGCCTGCTTCGACTCTCCAAAATCACACCGAAGGATCCGCGCTCCAGAACTTAAATAGTTCTATGAATATTGTTCGGATTTATTTTATATTGTACATGCCTTCACGCACATACAGCACGAATTCTTGGCTTGAGGAAAACGATGCTAATAACTCGACTATCCTAAGCGTTGACAGCAGGACTTTGAATTCAATGTGTCGTTCAATTGTATCTACCTCACAGGTCCATACTTTCTGTCCTGTGATCACGATGTTCGCGCTGTATTTCGTGGTTTCAGACTGTGAAAGACATTGTGCCGATGTACGAACCGGTGCTTGATCCGAGTTATTTGCAAGTTGACCAGAAAACAGAGAGTTCACGACATTAGCGCTGTATTTTGTGGTTTCGGACTAGGAAAGACAAATGCGCCCATCAAGGAACCGGTACTTGATCTGAGCTATTCGCATAATGACCAGAAAACAGAGAGTTCACGACATTAGCGCTGTATTTTGTGGTTTCGGACTAGGAAAGACAAATGCGCCCATCAAGGAACTGGTCCTTGGTTTGAGCGATGATTCGAAAACGGCAAGTTCAGCATAGTCGCGTTATCCTTTGTGGTTTCAGTCATGTGCTTTGCAAGCGACTATCATCAAGCAAATTAAATTCATTTAAATTGGTAGTAAACTAGGGAACTGGGTAGTAGAGCTCTATGGCGAATCCAACATAGCATCATCGCGCAGTGCCCGCTGCCTTGCCAAAGCATTAACGGACATGTTCTCCTTGGCCGCTTCGCTGAGGTCATTACGGTGATTCCTTCCGAAAATCTTCCTGAATGTTACCAGTTCAGGCGAGGCGTGTTAGGAGTATGCATAACACACCTAGTCCACCAATCGAGGAGTCTCTTAACTCTGCGCTGCGCTTCTCGACCAGGGGCCCTTTCGAAGAAGTCTACAATGGTCTGCCAGAATTGGACATAGTCGAAGTCCCCATCAACAGACCGCCACGAGGTAACAGACGACAGCGCGAATCGAACCTACCAGTGTGAGCGTCAAGTATCATTCAAATGGCATAACAATACAACTTACTTGGCACGTGATGTATGCGATCGAGCGAGGCGTGACCTTTTTCATGTTGATGATTTGCGCCACGTGTTTTTTTACCTTGATTCCGGAGAGAGTTTTCCTAGCACGTCTGTTGTTCTGAATGACATCCGCGCCGTCGCCATCACCTTCGACGTCCTTTGCTGACGAAGGTGATGTGAAAACAGCTTTGTATCCCTGCGAAACTGTTGAGATCGCCGCCAACGGCTTTGTTGGTATGACACACCTGAATAAGAATTTTACCCTTGAAGAGACCCTCCTCCAGATCGTCCGGATTAGCGGTGTACTTGTCATACAGGAAGGTCGGAAAAGACAGATCTGTCACAACATGACCCTCTGAGCGATCTCGAATCCCTGTCCTTACACTAGTGAACAGTGAGTTGCTTTTCTCGGGATCCCGAGGCACTACTCACGCTGGGTCGTTCCAGTCAAGCTCAGACGGGCAGAGTAGCCTCCCGCACGCATCGTTGATGAATCCGCGGGAATATTTATCGTGGGGGTCGACCGGGGGATCTGACTTGAATTCCCGATTAACCCATTCGGAAACGAGAGTCTTGAGCTTGGAAGTGTCGTCACCTCGAGCGCTATCAGCCCCTAGTCGAAGCTAAATATATACTTAGGAAGACACAAGCGATCACTGATAAAGGACAAGCGTACCGTTTTCAACAGTCGTAAGAAGTCGTCGTACTCCAATTCCATGCCCTTTTTATGAAACCACGTCAAGGTGCCAGTGAGGGCACCGTACCCTATCTGCAGCCTATCTTGGCTACATGAACGAGCGCATGGTCAGTGCGTACAAACCGACTTAAAGAACGAAAAACTTACTCGATGGTAGAGTCTTGGTCGTCCCCGCATTCTAATCGTCGGTCGTTTTCGGTAACGAGGTCCTCGATATTGTCGAAAAGAGAGACGACACGCCTGAAAGCTCTTCCTTGAGCCATGTAGTAGTTTGATTGCCTGGCAGATAGTGAGAGGGGCCAACTCCCTACGTGCTATAAAAGTCTGAGTCATACCTTTCTTTGATTGCGCGCCCCGACTCCAGGACCTCCAACTTCTCCTCCAGTTGCGCAATCCTGCGTCTCTGTCGAGCATCTGCAGATGCTGCCGCTGCATCGGGCCGTTGGATGTGCTGGCCTTCGAGGTTTGACGTGTCGCCTTCAGTCTGTCGGTTCTCGACGTGCGACGTACTGCCTGAGTGGTCGTGCGACGCGCTGCCCTCGACATGCAACATGCTGCACCTGCCGTGTGATGTGATAGAGATAGGAGGGAGAGGGAGTGGGAGTGGGAGAGGGAGAGGAATGTTAGTAATGGGAAGACGGCTTGCATCTTATATTTATACGGTCGGGAACAGCGCTTAAAAAGTCCATGCCTGTTGAGGAGAACACTGGTAGTAACGTTAGCATGCTTGAACAAATGCCTCTTTAGGAAACATTTACTAAGGGCCCGCTTTATGATGCTCTGGTGTTCGGCCAAGGTGGTTGCCTAAACAGGATACCAGGGCATAAGACCTTGGTGATACGTTAGTACTAGGTAGAAACAACCGGCAACCTCAAGGTACCACCTATTAGTCACGGATAAGCGTCTCATACGCTGCGCGATCAATAAGGGTGCTAGGTGGCCGGGAGAACTTGAATGCGCGGAAGAAGTCAGTGTCAGACTCGGAGCCTCTCGATCAACTCACGAGCTCGTGTCATCTGCATGGGGCGGAACTTGATTGCAGAGCCGGGATGGAAAGTTTGTTGAAAGAGTCGTCGGCAAAGGCTCCATTCGTCGCCGTAACCTGTGAACGCAAAGTTGACCGACCAACCAAATCTTGCTGAACTTCAGAATGATTGGATGATTGAATATTAGAAGAACATACGGCTCGATCATGGCTAAGTATGGTCGATCGGAATAAATCCGAGAACGTTTGTCCAGTAAAGCTCGTGCAACATGCTCAGAATTGATCACTACGACTTCCTGGTCTAGAAGTCGCACGAAGACCAAGTCTCCTGATAGAATTATGTGCACCACATACGCGCCATACTATTTGTTCACATACCATAAGCAGCGCCCCATTCCGTATAGGTCAACCAAGGTTCCTTGGTATCAACAGACAAGAGGTTCCCCAGCAATGGGAGCGGCACCGGGCCAGGAGGAAGGCGAGGCTTGTTCTGTCTATTCTATCTGAACCGAGTGAAGGCTATGACTATAGCAAGGGAAAGAGGTAAGACGGCGAGGATAGCAAGGTGGCCATCAACTGAAGGCAACATGATTAAAGTAGTGCGCTGATAGAGATCCAAAGCAAGAAACAGATTATCATACTAAGTGCATGGGGAGCCGCTTATCGCTTCTTGTACCTGGCGTCTATGAAGTGATGGTGGCGGCAGATGCGTAACTGAGAAATTGAAATCATCATATCAGAATCCAGATTCATGCCATGTTTGGTAACTCACATATTTATATGTGCTCGATGAGCAGGTCTCATCGTGAAATGGGAGGTGACGTTGATTACTTAGTCCTGGTCGTCTTGGACGGAAGAAATATCCACTGTGACCAATATGATCATAGTATAGCTATGTGAAATTGCGGCATAGACACCCATGGTAGTCCTCGAGGTTGGCGTGAATGATGTGTTGAACGTACACACGGTGAAAAGGAAATTCGCGCAACCAAAGCTAGGAGAACATCAACAAAGTCATTGTTTTCAACAGAAATGCTACGACTTATGTACCTTATCCCAGTCGTGACTGCAACTTGGCCCAACAAGTTAAACCAGCCCGTGATTCAAGATGCAAGTGGAGCATTGCCCGGTTCAGACAACATAGCAGCCCAGAAGTAGGGACCACCACTGGTAGGATGCGCACTACAGACCTCTTCACAAAGATCAGCCTGATTAATGTCATACACTAGTTACTGTGACACCGACTCACCTGCCATAGCAAGTCCTACAAGCATCGTGGCACATGCTGAGACGAATCGTTATGAGGTACCTGAGCTCTTAATTGATACTTGCGACGCCTACATGGATGTGAGCGATGAATGTGCGGTCCAGGTAGCTCAAGAACGCACCATATTTTTAAGTGCAGCATCCGCCTTTGCCTCAGCCTTTGCCTCCTTTTTTGCAGTGTCCTTCTCGCCGAGCTTTGCCTGCACCTCCAAGCTGAGGGTGCCAATATTTGACTGGAGAACCTCTTGAAGACAATCGCGATTAGCAGAACACTAGTACTGAAATGCAGTGCTTACCATCTGAGCAGTACTTGTCAAAAAGCTGAGAGTCACGGTGCGCCCTGGAGCCATTCCTTGCATCTCGTCAAGCTGGAGCCAAAATCACAGTATTCGGGAGGAAACGTGCAGACTAGAGAAATAGACGTACATCAGCAATACGAGTCAAATAAATAAAAAATCGTGTTTACTCTGGCAGTATAGGACCTGTAGCGGACGAATAGCCTGGGACTCTTGTTGGTCTGAGGAAGACATGGTATCAGTAGACACGTGACTTATAGGCCCATCGCGATTTTGATCTAGTCCTCCCCCTATATAGACAGACCATCGCTAGACTCATCGGATGAACAATCGTTCCTTCTACATACACTATGTTGATCAGCTGCGCCATGTGAGTTCTGACATAGCTAGAATTTCTAGCCTTCAAATGCAACTTCAAGATTTTTTAAATTTTCCGCTGAGAGCTCAAAGTGAATGATACGACGCTTGATAATAAATAACATGATTATGATTACTAAAGCGCTGTGGAATAAATAGGTCTAGATCTAGTAGGTATGTCGACGGAATCCTGTGCAGGGATTTTGGGCGACCAAATGGTGCCAGCGGTGTCGGGATCACTATAGAGGACAAGCTGTTCGCTGGAATCCCAAATTGTAATGAGTCCTTGTATGCCCGGACGGAAAGTGACGGTAGTGATGCCATTAGGGGGTACCAAGGAGACTCCTGCCCCTTGTATACGAGGTGTACCACGCAATGTCAGAGCAGCCTCTGACTCAGATGTAGAGTCACCGTAGAGGTACAGTACATCTCTCCCACCAATCCGGCCTGCATACAGAACCTGCGCTGTAGAATATAGAATCTTCGATAACGAGCCAAATGAGTAATCGGTGACGATAATTTTTGATTGTCTGCCCGTGAGCGTGATACTGGATGTAGCACGGGGGACCTCAAAGTTACCAGCAGAAGTAGTGACATTTAGCTTGAAAGCTGTTACATCCCTAATGAAATTGTAAACACACAGGTCAACGTGACGGCATACTATGAGCTCACGTTGTCGTGGAGTTCTCTTGTCTTGCAATGTAGAACGACGCCGCCGAGTCGGGGTTCCTCAATAGAGTCACAAAGGCGGCTGGATTGGAGACGGAAACAATTCTGCCAGTACTGTCTCCAACCCAGTCCGTCTTGTAGAAATCTGGGGGGCTTCGCAGAAAGAGACCTGACACTTAAGCTCCGGATACTTGGCAGTCAGCTCTCTGTTCTCTGCAATGGCACTCCCGTAATCATACGAAGCTGTGAGCCAATAAGCCAGCAATTGTACTGTATAGGAAGAATCTCACTGTAAACACCGGGGAAAGGAAGTGCACCCCAGGAAGTTCAACTCTGCGAGCGTGTTAAGCTTCCTACCAAGTATGAGAAAAAAGGGCTTGCCCATATATCATGTAGTAGTTGATTAGTTTTGCATTAGACGCCCAAAGATGAAGGTTGAAGACATTCTCAAAATTGGATCCCGTGAGTACGCGGCATTGATCATGACCTGGCGGGATGGTCATGTGAAAGCGTAACAAGGGCGTAGAATAATGTGTTACCTGGTAAGAGCTGGAATGAAAAGGGATGCATTATTGACCACGCTAGGCGAAGCTACTACTTGCGGGTGCCGGAGGATGTTATCTAAATGCATGAGTTGGTTCTGAACTTCTGGTCGAGGACTTAGCGAAAAGAAAGAAAAAAAGAGTGAACTCACCTAGAAACACCCCGACATTAACTCAAATGTTGGGTTGTATAGGATTTGTAGACTCACGGCGGTAGTATGGATGCAGCGGTGGGAGTCCGTGGGACAGCCTGGCGTGAAAACTGGTGTTAGTATTTTGTCCGCTTAGACTTTTTTCTACGTCAGGTTATACGCATACTCCCTCGAGATAGGGTAGGGTTGTTGTCTCGTTTCCGCAGTGAATGAATATGATACAGAAGTTTGACCGAGTAGCAAAAGTGATGTGGCATACGTAAGGTGACATGAGTAAAGGAAAATCTGAGAAGGTAACCGCTATATCAAGATTACGAGCAAATGGTGTTCAATGTATCAAAGACGAGTACAGTGAACTCTTCCCACCGAGCAGATAGCTCTGGGTCTGGTAGGATAACGGTTTCGATGTAATTCATGAATGATTCATATTCCTCTTTGTATTGCGAGACCACAAATTCTATCCTCGCGAACCTCCCACTTGATCGCTCCTTCAGGGCGCAAAGAACAGCCGCGCAAGCTGTGCAGGTGATGCTCTTGAGATCTGTTAGGTACGACGAGTATCCGAGGTCCGTGATGGTGTTCAAAACGACGTCTAAGACCACCCGGTTCTCGAACGCCCACCGCTTATCAGAATCATCCTTCTCGAATATAAATTCCGGGGGGAATGAAGCGGTGAGATTCTCCACCATCTGTACCTGGTGCTGGATTTCGGAGGTACGCAACCAGACTGAGGGACGTAGCCCATACCCGTGTTGGACTAGTCCACGCGCGACCTTCTTACAGCTCGACATGATGCTCGCGGATGGCGGCGTAGTTGATCTATAGAATTCCCCCAGGTTGTCTGTGGCCCATTGCTTCCCGTGATCTTTTAGAGTGTCAGTTACGCTCTGCAAAAGGAGTGCTGCCTACCTTTCTCAAACTCAGATGCTGAACTAATTAGCGCGTCCAGGGCCTGCTGCTTTCTTTCTTGCTCGAACAAGAAAGGATTGTTGTTCAACGCGGATCTGATGAGTGTGTCGGTAGTGTTGTTGAATATGGTTTGATGAGTTGAGTTGTCCTCATCGTAGAGCGACGGTCCGATACGGGATGGTTTGGGCTGCAGGGGCTTGCCCCCATCCGGAATATCCTGGGATAGTTAGTTAGAATTTGACGGTTTGGACAATAATAGCTCACATTGTTTATTGCTACGCCCCTTAGCTTTAACTGGGACGAGCGGTTGTATGGGTGAAATTGGAGTGGGCGACTTCGTGACCCAGACTGACGGATCGGAAGAGAGTCAGGTACCGAACGTCCGACAGGCTGCGGACGTGGCTCATTGGGAGGTAACAGAACAGGTAGGGGGTCACCGAGCGGGGGTATGTCATCTCCGCCTGGAGGCATCGTAGAGAGCCGATCAATGGACAGGAAGTCTTGAGGCTGATCCTGAGCGACCGAATTGTAGTATGTATCAAATGGTATATTAGACAACACTGCGGAGTCCCAGTAAGGTGGTACGTCCTGGGATGGACTACGATATTGGGGCGTGGACGAATCGAAGAAGTCGGGACGAAGAATTGGATCGGGGAATGACATTGGGGGCCCAAAGGGGGGCTGGCTGGAAAACGATGAGGGAGGCAGATGGTTAGCGTTAAAGGTGGCGAGACGATAGTCACGATGGCTCTGGTCCGCGGCAGTCACTGGCGGCGGCAGGAAGGTCCCAAAGGGTTCTTGATACATGGGTTGATTGGAGAATGATAATTGCGGATGGGAAGAAGTGGCGGGATAGTACGCGGCAGTCGATGACGATGGTAGAGTGGGTAGCTCTGGATACTGGTCATCAGCCTGAGGAGGGAAACTGCGACGCGTTTGAGCATCGAAATTTTGGCCAAAGCCAGGATACATGGTGGTCGTGTTGGACACACCCAGAGGCAGTAGTAGCCTGAGATCATCAGCAGGAATTCATCAACTAATTTTTATGGCGGCGCAACCGCAAACCTCTGGGATCGAGTCTGTGATAGGAAGTCAGTTTAATGAAAGCTTCTATCAATATAAAACCGCACAGCCGAAAAAATGAGGCATGGGCGCTATAATTGGGATCCCTAATCTGGATTTCAGAACCGGCACTATTTAATGATGTATTCCATGTGCTTTTCACATTTTCGCGGGTGTTTCAGTGGTATGGCTGAAAGGTATCTGCAGGATTTAGCAGGACTAAATGAAAGGGCCGGTGACAGTTGGGTCCAGGGGGTGGGGGGTGCGTGCGGCTTTTTCCGGGCAGCGCAGACAAAGATATCCGCCGGGTCGATTAGCAAATAGGGCGTCGAGTGCACGACACAATCCAAAAACGCTGCTAAAACACCTAAAGGGAAGTGGTAAGTGGGTAAGAAGTCAATAGGGGCGAACACGAGATGAAAGCGAAATGAAAGACGCATGTATCAAAACGCGTCTCAGTTACGCGTTCGCCCGCTTAGTAGGTCGCGGTGGAAGCCGTGATGACAAATAGAATGACTTAGTCGTAGACACGAATTAGGGCTGCCTCAGATCCTCAGCTACCCACCATCTTACGAGTTATATCTACCCAGCGAAACTACGCCGCCTCATGCAGATCATCATCTGTAGATCCAGAGAGATTTGAATAGACGGCCTCGCTTTCTTCCCCAATGCCCATTGACACGATACCTGTAAGTTATGTAAAATAAGTTTCCTCTATGTCAGGTATGTATTCAGAGTCTAGACGCGGTGCGCGCACACCACGACATTTTTTATGTATCAAAGTCCCCATCTTATTGCACCGCACCTTATCATTCTACAGCCGTGTCATTAATGACGACCAGGTAAGTCCACTCGTTGCGTTGCACTCATGTCTTTTACTAAACATATTTTCTTCTCATCTGCTCACAGAACACCCTCCTCACCCTCTTCTGATATACATCATGCGTCCGGGGCAGGTCCCGCTTCACGCTGGTCAACCCATCCCACTTGCTCAATCTCGGCTTGCACTGGTACCACGCCAATCTCTCCTGCAGTCTCCATCTGCCCCTCAACGAAATAAGCGAAGGAACGGCTATTTTCGTCTGTCGATGATCTGTCTAGGACTAAGTACTAGTAGGTGGATTCGAGTCTCATCGTAACTCTACACTCAGCCGTAAATCTTCCTCCGCCACTGACGTGACAGCTTGAGCGACCGTACCTTCGCTCTGCCTGCGCCGCTCTTCACCATACTCAACAATATCGAGGACCGATGACCAGTCAGTGCCAGTTTTCTCCCGGCAGATACGCTTGACAGTAGCCGGGGCATCACTGAGAGGTATGTTCTCTTTACCACCATGTTCAGCGTCGACACCATCGATACTATCAATCTTCCTCTTGCAAGTCTGACGAGTTGCAGTGCAAGAAGCCTGGCCTACTTTGGTGTTCTACTTGAAGATCAGTACAACGAAATTACTAAGCATGCAGATGCAGACACCCACTGTTCTTATTGCGACAGCTCTTTGATTTTTTGATTCCTTGTCTGAACACAACTGAGACAAATGTGAGTATGTCATTGCAAGCAAAGTATTGGAGTGAGCACTTACTACTCCTTGATAGCTAGGAAGCGGCTTGAGTGCAGCCACCTCCACATCAGGATCTGATTCCTCGTCTGATGCGAGCCTGAGACTGGGAGAGATCGCCCCCACTGGGTAGGTACTAGTATGGACCCTGACAGCGGATGACGCGGCAGAGAGTGATTTATGCCATGACTCCGGGTCAGTACTACCATGACTAGTAGGATCAAGTACCAGTACTGTGGATGGTTGACTCAGAGCATCAACCTGAATATCCGAGTAGGGAATTCCAGTAGGAGATGACGGGGGGCTTGAGAATTCCCCCCAGGGTAAATGAGCATGGAGTCTTGATACATTCTTAGCAGTCCTAGATGTAGACCTAGATGTAGATTCAGACACTCGATCAAAATCGATATGTGCGATCATATCCTTGACGAGGGCCAAGTATCAGCGTCCTGAGTATATATAGCTGCCATGAAGCTGGTTTTTATCCAGGAGTTGGCAGCTCTCATAAGTACTACATAGCAATTGTTTGTCACCAAGGGGTGCTTCGTGTGGAAGCAATGCCGCAGTTTCCATTTTTGGTATGTTCTGAGTTTCAAACAGTTCTAAGTTACCAGTTTTGGTATGTGCTGCGTTTCAATACAGTTCTTCCTTTCGGAAGTATATGTTACCAGGTTTAATAATATGTACTGGTTTTCCAGTGAGGTTCTCCGATGTGACCTTCTTCTGGACTAGAACACCTCGTCACACCGGAATATCATTCATTCCTGGCTCACGTGCTCCACGAGTCAACAAGCTTGTCTGAGGTGCGAGTGCTATGATTGGTTCAGGGAGAGTGTTCAGCGAAGGTTAGTTTCAAACTCCGACATCCTATTAACCAACGTGAAAACCAACTCATGAAATCGCTCTCAAACAATGATGTTTAACTTGACCCCAGTGTCTTGCACTACTGAACTTCAAGCTGAAGAAGTTCCATGTCCTACCATGCTGCCATCCACGCCTCCTCGGCGACCTCACCATTCTTCGTTTGATCTTGCTGGGAGTACCGACACTTCCGGTCGCCGTCCAAACTCTCCTCCGAGCTCTCCCTCATTATTATCCATGACAGGATCAGGTAATTATGATTTATCATAAATCAAGTCTATAATATATAAAAATATAAAAATAATAGCAACTAGCACTACCTCAGATGCAGAGGATAAATATCCGTTGACACCCAATTCCAAGGGTTCCGGCGGCGCATGTCGTATCGCCAACACCTCTGAAGGGGTTGGATCGCCAACTCCGAGTCATTCCACCGAGAACCAACACAGCGACGCTCCCCCTCCCGATGGGTGGATCAATTCGTCTGAAGACCACCGTGTCCTTGACAGGCTGTTGAATAACATTGTCTGTGACCAGGGCATATCGGAAATTGTCGAACAGAAGGTAGACCCTAATTTTATACATATTTTATTGCTCTCATGCTGTGTGCCACCTTTCTAGGTTAAAGATGCGTATTTGAGGCATTTGGGGCGGCTCAATGCGAACTATTTCCACCGCGTTATTCACTTACTGGAAGCAATTCGGGAGCGGGAACGCATGCGCTACTTCGTCTCATGCTGGGACATCGCGGTAGTCCAAAGATGGGAAGCTGTTGCTGTTTCTGCGTCTGATACATCGAAATCGGACTTCGTTATGGTAGAGCGGGAATTGGGAATGGTATTGGACATCCTTTCTCAACGACTGTCATTACCTCGTGTACCTCCCACAGACTCGGATAGTCAGCATCTCCTTACCGCCCGTGACAACGATAGGAGATCTGTCCGGCGGGCTGACGACGTACTCGGCTTTTTACAGGCTCATGCTCCTCCTATGGAGAAATGTCTTGTGGATCACTAGTACATTATGCTTACAGTATCTTGGTTTTGTCGCATGTTACGTTCAGACATATGGTAGATCAGTTTTTCATACGTACTGCACAGTGTAAACATTACATTCTGATCTACCCTCGGGTTGTACTGGTACTATTGTGAATCAATATGTATGCCCATGCAATGCTGGACTGTCAGATAGCATATTGAACTTGCGTCCGTGGCAAACAAATGTCAAGTCAGTCGCTACTACTAACTAGTAACTAACCCGGAGTCAAAGTTCGTGTTTGCAACACGATCATCTAGCACTAGTACTAGTTGCAAAACATCTGCTAGCCAGCTCGGAAGTGCCATGCACTTTTCCGCAACGCTTTGGATAGGTTTTTTTGTGTTTTTTCTGATGGTGTCTTGTGATGCTCCGGGTTGCTCTTGGGAGAGGACAACAGACCATCGAGGACTGTATAGGCATCGCGCAAACTGTCGGTCCTATAAGAGGGTTAGTAGTCTTGCAAGTCAAAGAAGACGAGATCGCGCGAAGGAGGCTGTTGATTCACACTTTGTTCCAAACGCGTCCGCAAGCACATCAGTGAGTGATTCCTGCTTCGCAAATGAGCTTGAAGTCGTTGACATAGTATCTCAGGCAATTTCAGCCATCCAGCATGTGAGAGACCGTCCGAGTCTGGCACCAATTGCCCCTTGCAGACTCATTGGGCCAATTTCTATGGCTCGTGGGTTATCTAGTGCCTCCGAGTCCAATCTCGCAGACTTGCGGCACCCCTTCGACTCGGAGCAACAGCAAAAAGGCCAGAATCACGATGTTGAGATGAGCAATAGTTTTGGAGTGACTGCATTGGACCACGATAATCCAGGTTCATATTATCTCCTTCAGCAGCCACCTGAGCTGTCTTCTAATGTGTTTATTAATCACTCACACCTTCCAGAGGAAACCGTGCTCCCAATGGGACGAATTCCGAGACGTCTTGATGATATCGAGCCTTCACGCGATGATCTTAATCCCTCCAATAGTGCCGACATCCTATCAGCACAGACGGCTCCAGTAGTACCCGCTCAATCCAGAATTCGACGTGTACTTCTAACGTTAAGAGATACCCTGCAGACCACCTTCAACTCATTTGGGCTCTGTCGACTCTACCCTCGTCGTCCTTCCTTCGAGCCAGATCAATTCCTTCCATCCTCGCTACTTGCAAGAACGGCACCAACAACTACTAGTAACCCAGGGGCTGACTCGGATTCTCCGAAGGTCTTAGCCCCGCCTTACCCATTCCCAAATATGACTATTTATCGACTTATCTCCTGGATGAATTCTGGCAGCACCATGGTATCTGAAAGTAAAGTCTCGCACCTGGTTAGAGATGTTATATTAGCGGAGGATTTCGACCCCGAGCACCTCCAGAACTTCTCAGTGAGGCGGAGCTTGCAAAAACTCGATATGGATGAGAGCGGAAAGAAGGTCACTTTTCCAGATGACTGGGTTCAGACCGACGTCACCATCAACATTCCAACGAGGTCAGCAGAGGATGGCCCTCAACGTTATACCATTTCCGGATTCCATTACCGCCCTCTTGTCGAAGTCATACGCGCGGCATTTGCGGATGTACAAGCACGGGCATTCCATCTCTTTCCTTTCCAACGGTTGTGGAAGGACCCCTTGGACGGTCATCAAGAACGGATTTATGACGAGCTTTACACCTCTGATGCCTGGCTAGAAGCTCAAGACAGTATTCAGAGGCTGCCAAAGGAACCTGGGTGTTCACTAGAACGTGTCATCGCAGGTCTGATGTTTTTTTCCGACGCTACACACCTGGCGAACTTTGGGACTGCTAAAGCCTGGCCCCTCTACATGTATTTCGGAAATCTGACTAAATATGCACGATCATCACCGCAGTCAGGAGCATGCCACCTGGTAGGGTTTTTGCCATCAGTAAGTCTTCCTGAATGTAGCATGCCTGTTACTGCTGTTGACAATATCAGCTTCCTGACAACATCAAAGATGTTCTGAGTAAATTATCTCGCATCTCGAAAACGGGCATGGCATCCCTTCAAACTCATTGCCGCAGGGAGTTATTTCATTCCTGCTGGGAAATATTGTTAGATGAAGACTTTCTTACCGCATATCAGCACGGTATTGTTCTCAAATGTGCCGATGGTGTGATGCGAAGGGTCTTTCCCCGAATCTTCACGTATTCCGCCGACTATCTGTCATATTCCGTACCTGAAGCTTCTCGTCCGGTCCGGTCCGTCCGTTCTCTCGGTTCCATTCTAGAATTCATTTCCCCGTGTCCCCATTTGTATATGCTTCTTGATGCCCCTATACGCCCGGATCCTTCTGACAGTTAATATCCGGGTTCATTCTGATCCGTCCGTTAGTCTATTCATTTTCCTTTCATTTAACTTGTCCCCCCTGTTTCATTTAATCTCCGGCTCCATTCTCGATCGTCCGCAGCAGTTCATATCCGTTAGTACATTTTCTACATAGCCCTCTGATCCGAAGACTGCGCTTCGGCCGGACGTCCGTCGGATACCTTATAGTATATAAACCCCTTGTAACCCGTAGTATATCCTCAGTTCGAATATCATCTTAGACTCAGTTCATTCCTCGTGTTCCCTCGGCTCTTAGGATTGTCTTCCTAGTCCGACCCTCCGAGCCTCGGGATTATATCCCTAAGGCTAAATCCCTCCGCTTCTACCTTCGGGTAGTCTGTACCTTGTTAGTTTCTACCCGGACGAAGTCTCGGGTAGTCTTCTCTCTCTCGTCCGGCCCGTCTATACCCTTCGGCCGACGATATCCAAGACCCTGTAAATTAGGGGCACGTACTCGGGTAAAGAGCGCAGCGCACGAGCTGAAGCTAAGCCCCTCCGGTCCGACCCGTTGAACACGGTCTTAACAGTATATTCGAACTCACACTTTACCGAGTATACTTATCATCATGGCTCCCACTCAGACAACCAGAACCAACCTCGCCGCGGCCGGTTTTCTAGCCAGCTCACGAAACGCTGCGTCCGACGCACAGAACTTCACTGGTTTCACTCGTCGTCGTACGAGCGTACTAAGAACCCCCACGGACAGCGTCTCGCAAATTATAAACCGCCCGCACCCAGAAACTCCTACTCGCCCGACAACCCCCGGACCATCAGACCCGGATGGGCCTGACGACGGTGGTGATTCAGATCCGCCGGGCGATGATGGGGATGACCCATTTGGTGGGCCCCCGGAGGATGAAGACGATGGGCTAACCCCCGCTGACAGAATCTTCCTCCGCTTCTCTCAAGCTATTGAGAACCTTGCCCGCACTACGCGGAAATCCCCATCCGAAGACTCCAAAGTCAAGGTTCGGGAACCCGATACTTTTGACGGGTCCGAACCTCGCAAACTCCGCGCATTCTTCGTCCAATGCGAACTCAACTTCCAGAACAAGGTCCGCTCTTTCCGCACGGACCGGGCTAAAGTCAACTTCGCCCAGTCCTACTTGAAGGGCATGGCCCTGGAGTATTTTGAGCCCGACCTCCTGTCCGGTGCAACTAATGACCGCCCGGACTGGATGGATGACTACGCTGAGTTCATGCTAGAACTCCAGACCAACTTCGGCCCCCATGACCCAGTCGGGGATGCAGAAATGCAACTCGAACAACTCGTTATGCGCGACGGACAGCGCATTAATAAATATGTAGTAGAATTTCAACGACTTGCTTCCCAGGTCCGAGGTTGGGGCGACGGAGCATTACGCCGTCAGTTCTATAACGGACTTCCGGCCCGCATCAAGGACGAGATTTGTCGTCAGGGGAAACCCGTGACCCTCGCCGAGTTCAGATCCCTATCCCAGTCCATCGACGCCCGATACTGGGAACGCAAGGGCGAGACCTCCCGCGAGGTTAAACCATCCACATCCGCGCCTCCAACAAAACCATATGTACCTCCTACCCGATCCTTCGCACCCGCTACTGACCGGACAACCCCTTCCGGAAGTAAACCCTCCAAACCCTCTACCTCCTCCTCACAGCAACCGGACTTGTCCTCAAAATTAGGCAAGGACGGTAAACTGACATCCGAGGAGCGCCAGAGGCGCATGGACATGAGGCTCTGCCTTTTCTGCGGTGGACCCGGCCATACGGCCCGGGACTGCTCCAAATCGACCTCGCGCGCTGCCAAAGGCCGTGCAACCACAGTGGCCCCGGATGCTATTCCCGAGGCCCCTGTTGAGGCAAAAAATTAGTCCGTGACCCTCCTGACTCCGCGCGGGGCGAGGGTCGCGTTGACTCAACCCGCGCATTGGAGTTACGACTCAACGCTGTCGCACTCACGAACCCATCATCACTCCGTCCATCCGTATCCATATCCGCATATCCGAACATTGCCCAATTTCCGGCTTTAATAGATTGCGGGTCCTCACACTGTTTCATAGAGACAAGCTTCGTCCGAAAGTACGGACTCTCTACCTATGCTATTCCTCCGCTCTCGCTCCATTTATTTGATGGTACTTCTAATGCTACCATTACACAAGCAGTAGATTTACCGATCCAATTCGCATCCGGTGTAGTAACCTCCGATACATTTTATGTAACTCCTTTGGATTCATCTTGTCTTATCGTCCTTGGATATAGCTGGCTCTCCCGACACAATCCGTTGATTGACTGGGTTAAGGGCAGCATCGAGTTCCGGACGATACCGCATGGGATGCCATCGACTCCCCCGACGTCATCAGATCCGGATTCACCGGACATCCTTCCTCCGACTTCACCGGGCCCTTCGGGTCCTTCCACTGATAAAACTGCTCCTCACATTTCCTTAGTCAATGCAGTCGCCTTTTGTCGGGCCTGTAAACTTCAAGGTTCGGTCCAGTTCAGCATATACCTTCGTCCTACTGGCGTTGACATCCGGTCCGCTTCACTCTCGTCCGAACCCCCGGACCTATCTGGGGTCCCCTCGGATTATCATGAGTACGCGGATGTATTCGACAAAGGCAAAGCCAGCCAACTTCCTCCTCACCGGCCTTACGACCTGAAGATCGA